CCTAATTCCCATTTCACCATTAAATAAACAAATTTCACCATCCCAAAAATGGCCCAGATATTTCCCTATAATAAAATATAAAAAATCAAACTAGTGGTAGGTATACGATACTATAATCATCTTTACTGTCCAATTGCAATTTTATTACCTAAATACTTTAACACTAATTAAAAATAGCCTTTCAAAGGAAAATGGCACTTATCTATTTAGTGATCTTAAAGAGTTTTGACTGTCCTATTTTTTCTTTGAAAGGTAGATTGGCTTTTAGTAGTTTAAGCCAGAAATAATTCCATTCGAAACTGTAATCGGAACTTTTAAGAAAATTATTAAGACAAGATTTTTATCATTTGTCTACGTTATAATTTATAATTATCTGAAAAACTTAGCAATTCTATTAAGAGTATTATCGGACTTATTTTGTTTTAATTTTCTGAAATATTTTGAAAGCTGTTCACATTTTTCTTTACAGTAGCTATGAGAAGAAAAGAAAAAAACACGGTATTGCTCCCCTTTTAAAATTTAGTTTGTATTTTATTTCCTATAATTGAAGATATGGGTAGATTAATTTGCCTAATTTTAATATCAATGTTTATAATACCAAATATGTTGTATAATAACTGTGAAGTAGTGTAGAATATAGTTTTGTAAAGATCGTCTAACTAGAGCCTGACTCCAGAAAGGCTTAGCCAACTTTTTAGCCGGAACTAAGCTCAATTTCGAGGCTAATCTATATTAATATGATCAAGTTTAATAATCTATATACTTTGTGGCAAGAAAGTTTTGGACTAAGAAAGATAAATCCGACTGATCTCAAATTATAAGATACATTTCTTACAGCATCGAAGCGAGGAAACTTTCATGTTTGTTAAATCATTGATGCCTAAATATTACCAGGAGGAGAGAGATGTGCAGGTATATTCTGTAGATGAGATAATCAGTAATAGATATTTCAATCACACTAAATGTGGCGTTCGCGTTGGAAAATAACAAATAAAGCCATGTCGGTGAATAAAATGGTTGAGAAAAAATCTTGGTATAAAAATAATAGGTGAATCAGAATATTAATAACATGTCATAGAGATATGTATCATAAAATAAAGGCAACAATAAGGTAAAATGTAATAAGTAAGAAAGAATCATATACGAGATGATAGGTGCCCCGCAGTCAATGCCCCTTGCAACAAGCCTGCATAAATAGGCATTGAATTTTGCTATAGCTTGTAGGACCGAAATCTTAATCAAGAGTTTATCTACTAATCGGGATAAATACTACCCATATTTACAGTTAAAATATATTTTAACTATGACAGAGCAGAGTTTGAGGAAGGAAATATAGAAAGGATTGCACAATCCCGATTGTATAACAAACAACAGCAGGGAACCGCTTTTGATCGTAGCATTCAAGTTAAAGATGATATAGCAGATAACTATCAAACAGGTAGGGGAGACTGGGGTTAGGTAAACCGTGGGGCTTGGCAAACCATTTAATATTATTTTAAAGTTATAAACACTAGAAGGTTAAAATTTTATCTTAATATAGATTTTATTAGTTTACATCTATAGACAAAAAATCTTTTGAAATGATTAATTATTAAAAATTTTATTTAAGAAATAAAATTTTGATGAAATTTTCTAAAGATTTTTACATGACAGAATTTTAATTTTTATTAAAATATATATTCATTTATATATAAATTAAATTTTATAGCAAAGTTTAAACACTCTTCTATAATTTGGGAAAGTTTTATGAATATTTATTATGTCTATATAGTATTTCAATCATGATTAGTAAATTTAGAGCTAGCGGGGCTTGTTAAACCATACATGTCAATCTATTTCAATAATTTTTTTTTAGCAATTATTACATTATTCAATATGGTGCGAAAATATAAATCCAAAAATATTAATAACGGAGAATCATTTAATATTGATAATTATTTAGAAGTATATAAAAATTTAATGAATTAATATTATAATTGTAATTAGGCTATTAGGGTATATGAAAATTGTAAATCAACAAGGAAGACTAGCCAACTTACAGGTAAATTTATCTACATTATCTGTCTTATTTTTAAGATATGATCACAATAATTTTATGTAATTTTTAAACAATATAATAAATTTTTAGCAATATTTAATAATAGAAATTATGTAAATATTTTTATTAAATGTAATTTATAAATGATCTATTTTAGATTGATTACAATTTAGATGAAATATAGTATTATTGTATTAATTTTATGTAATTCTTAAACAATAAAATCAATTTTTAGCAATATTTAATAATAGAAATTATGTAAATATTTTTATTAAATGTAATTTATAAATGATCTTATATTTTAGATTGATTACAATTTAGATGAAGTATAGTATTATATTATTGTATTAATTTTATGTAATTCTTAAACATTAAAATCAAATTTTAGCAATATTTAATAAAAGAGAATATGCTAATAAAATCTAAATGGTAATGGTAAAGAGATTATCATTTTAAATTTTATGTTCTTAAATGTTAAACTTATAATTAAATAATTATATATTTTACTTGACATTTTTATTTTAGGTATTCCTAGATCAAACTTTATAAGATATTATAAGAGATATCAAGAAAGTGGCATACTTACTAGTATAGGACAAAATAATAAAAAGAGGATATTCACAGAAGAAGAAGAGGGTGATATAACTAAATATCTGATTCAATCTAGCCAAATTTTTTATGGCCTTTCAATTAAAAAGGTATAGTTTATTCTTCATTATTTTATATTGTTTTTTAGATAAAAATATTAGCCTACCAAATGGCAGTAAATATAAAGAAAAAATTTCCTAAATCTTGGAAGGACAATTCAATGGCTGGCCATGACTGGTATTTAGGATTTATGTCAAGAAATCCTACTCTCTCCTTAAGATCCCCTGAAGCTACAAGTATGGCTAGAGCAACTGGATTTAATGAAGAAATGAAGGATGTTTTGCCTTTAGCAGCATCACCTCTTAATATATCAAATGGTTTTAAAGCATGTGGAATATATCCACTGAATACAGATATATTCAATAAAGAAGATTATGTGGCCTCAGTTTATGGAGATTCTATATGTGAACTTCCAAAAAGCCCATTATTAGAATCAAGCTCAGTATCTTTGGTATTAAAAGATATTTTAAATACTAATAGAAACTTAGATATATGTAATGATACTCCATCTACGTCTTATGTTCATTTAGATAATATTCCTAGACCATCGTGCAATTTATCAATATCCTTGCCTCATCCCAAAAAGGAAAGAGTCAAGAGAGTTAAAAGGAGAGCAGAGATATTTACATCATCTCCTTATAAAAAGAAATTAATTGTGAAAGAAAAGAAAATATTAACAAGAGAAAAATAGTGAAAAAAATTATTCACAAAGATATTTGTGTTTGTTGTAAGCTGGAATATATCAAACATCATAATGGTGAAGAGTGGTACCAGTGCAGAATGTGCCACGAATGGGCACATGGTACATATGCTAATTTTGATAAATTTTTTATATGTCCAAAATGTGTATTAAATTAACCAAAATTAAGTTTCAATTTTTATATATAATTAGCTTCAATTTATATGTAGTATGATATTTTTAACAATAAAAGAATATAATTATAGTATATGTATCATTATTAATAAATAAAAAAACATTTCAATTTATTATGGCCTAAAAAAACCATTGGTTTAGGAAACCCCTTGAAGTGGTTTACCTCACCCCGATATTAGGGCTTGTTGGGCAAATTTACGACTTTTACAAAAAATAAAATTTCAAAAAAATGATTATATTCTAGAATTTTTTTATAAGGCACCTTTATAGAGTATAGTTTTAGGTATCCAATCATATATTGATTTTTATATTATCTAAAAAAACCCAGGAGATAAACAATTTTGAAAAAGGTTCACCTAACCCCAGTCTTCCTTACAGAAACATTTTCGCCATAAAGATAATCTAGGTCTATGATATCCCCATCGGGAACAATATGGTCCTTTGATAATCACATTTGGTGCCAAAATTGTTTTCAGTACACGTGACATTAGTTACACTTCATTAATTAAAAGTATGATTAAAGTGATTGGTACTTTCTAAATAATAGCACTTGTAAACTATTATTAACGTTTTATGTAGTGCATAGTAATGAAATACAACTAACCAATGCAAATTCCTTGGCAATGGGCTAAAAAGGAAAAATAACAAAATAGATTACAGACAGGATATCATATTCAGTTTTATTTTTGGACCGTTATTTCTCTTACGGGAGATCACAAACCTCCAGAGTGGCTGTTGTGTTCTGCTAATTAATCGGTTGACAAAATTTATGAAAAATGACTGCTTATGATTTTCGTATCGAATATAAGCCTGCCAAAGAGGTTGTTTTTGCCAACTCCTCGTGAATATAATTTTAATCTAATAAAAAAAAATCCATCTCCCCAAAAAATTTACAACATATCGATATCACTATAAAGAAGATTTTAAAAGAAAGATTAATAAAAGTTAATAACTTATTAAAATAACGACTATAATTCAAAATTTTTTAGAAAAAAAGTATTTTTATTAAAAAAAGTGGAAAAAATTTATTTCATATAGGCAAATGCCTACTACAATAAATAGACAAGATCTCTAATAATATTTACGAGGGAAACCACCATCTAATAGTGCCCCCTCTAGCAAAATCCTAACTATACCTATGGGTTGATGTATTCAATTGATAGAAGGAAACCATTATATAGAAACGAATCGAGATTTAACATTCTGCAAAATGAGTAGTTACCTTGAGTGAACATGGAAAGGGCTTGACTGGACAATGATATTTGGGGGCATTTAATTTAAGATATTGACGAATTGGGGAGGAGCAAAAATGTGTTCGGGACAATACGCCTAGATATAGATACTTGCTTGAAATATTTTCTATTTGAGTAACACTTTTTTTGAGCAGGGCTTAATATAAAAAATTGACTTCCAAGCCTATAAGTTATTAAACTAGACTAATAGTATATCATATTTTTATTTTAATTTATGAAACAATGTAAATTTAATGCTATGTATATTTTACAGTATATCCAATATTATAAAAAAATAATATTTAGATATTAATTATATTACTATTTTATTATTCTCTATATATTATAAATTGTATTGCGCTAAAATCTATATTTTATAATATTTATAACAATTTTTATGTACAAAAAAAGCAAATAGTTTAAGATTGGTTTTAAAGCCTTTGCAGAGATTTAGCCGTTTTCTACATCTAGTTTGTGCATTTTTGAATCATATTGCAATTAAAATAATCTTCAATGTTAATGACAGAGTTTTGTATTATCAATTCGGCGGTTTTGTAACAGAACTTTTTATTCGCGTTAAATATGGATTCGCTTGTTGCGTTTTGGTTTAAATTTCCTGAATAGCAAATATTAAAATAATTTACCAATGAATACATTGTATTTGTAAATTACCCAGTCCTAAGGATAAACTATGTATGATTTCGTGATTTGTAATATTGACTTGGAGATCATGGATTACATCGTTAACGTTTATGGTTAGTTTGGATTTGATTCTAAGAATTAAAAGTTAAATGTTCATCAGACAGTATTCATTAATGAATAATGAATAAAGAAGTTGAATGAAATTTTCAAACACTCAAATTTTAATGAATTAAAATTTAATAGGAATTAATGAATATTTAATATAAAAATGGCGGGTATCCCGAAATATACTTGGACAGTGTGAAGTTTCGAATAGTCATAGAGTTATTTAGTGGTAATATAAATACGTCATCTTTAATGGCTAGCGTTTCTCCTTTTTTTATGTTAATCAATGGGCGGAAATCCAAAACGAATGTGAGTTTGTAGAGAGATTTGTTTTCCGCCATCTAGTTCGGATAAAATGAAAAACTAAGAAGAATATTTTATTTTGAGGACCTAACTTCCAAGGCTGTTTTATTTTTCATAAACAATTATATATAAGCGGGATTCATAGTGAGATCCGATCAGACACGATTCAACAGTTGATCGGTTTTTAAAAAGCTATTCATGAGATCAATTTTTTTTATTTTATTGTAATCAATTAATCTTAGATTATTATCATGAATAAAATTAATAATATAAATGATTTCATAAATAGATTTCAGATCGGGTTTCAATATGAATCCAGCCCAAATCCAGTTCGAGCGTAAAATGAGATATCTATTAAGGAAAATGAGTGAAATATTTATTTAATTTTATAAAGATATATCATAATAAAATTGAATGTGGTATATTTTTGTTTTAATTTTATAAATGTTTTAGAAATTTTAAAAATAAATATATTACGATATTCAAAATAATGATAATCTGATCGGTATCGGGATTCCCTGCGAATTTAATATTAACGCTAAAGGCCTCGTTCAATGAATTGTCTATGATAAGTTCACATTGATTTCTACTAAATGAATCTATGGAAGTAGAACTTATCGTTTGCATGTCAGTTGCAGGTGAGATAGATTGACTTCCCGGGATAATGATTCCACCAATATCTAAATCAAATGATAAATCGTATTCTAAATAGTTTTATCATTTCTAAATTTTACTGGTTTGAATTGCATTGGAAATGGTGGTAGTAGAAAATTGAGGATTAATCATGTCACAAGTAGGTCCAGCATATTGAGGGGTGCAGCGGCAATGATAATTAGCTCCTAATTCCATGCACACTCCATTATTCTGACACGAAGCACTTGAACATAAGGATTCTTTAAAGCAAGGCAAAACGTTCAAACTTTGGGTCAAATGAGCTCCACTATCCAATATAGTTTTTAATTCGGTTGGGCCATTGCGAATATATATATCATATATACATCCTAAAAATATTTTGTATAAAAAAGAGTTTCAAAATATATTCATAATTGAGGATTATGGTCAAACTCAAGAATATTGCTGTTATAACAACTGCTGAATTATATAAACTTCTATTCATCCATTAACAATACCTGACCTATCACATTTGACAGATTATTAATAAAACTGCAAATATTTCATTAAAAACTATTTTTAACATATCTTAACCCTATCCCATTATATCTATCAAACCTTTAATAAACCATAACCCATATCTCTCTAACCTTTAATCATGCTACTCCTTAGTTCGGATACTTTTTCAATTTTAAATATATCTTTAATTAAAAAAAATTCTTTCAGTTGAACATTCCTTGAGTTGAGCTATCACCAAGTTTTATATAACCTTTAAATCCATTCCTAAAAACGGAAGCCCCTCGAGGAAGTAAACGCATCAAAAATGTATTATATCCGCCTACAAATAACCCGTTCCATATATCTAAACGAGCGTTTGATTGCGATTTGTCTTATTAATGAATGTCGAATGAAAAAATAAAAATTTTATATAATTATAAAATTTCATTTTTTTTTAAGATTTCTGTATAAATAAAAAGTGATTGGATGATTTTATCGCGGAAACAATCTGTAAATATGCCACTTACAAAATTTTTCATAAACTATGTTTAAAATTAAGAATGATAATAGGGGGCATTTGAAAATTAATTTTTAAGCCTTGTAATAATCAAATAATGTAGTTTTTTAGAGAATATATTAGAAAAAATATTATTAGAAAGTTAGGACAATCAGTTTTTGTTTGTAACATCATATATTTTTATAATTTAAAATTTTGTGTTGTTAGATAATAATGGTTAATTTATTAAAACTATCATCGAATTTTAAAATAACTTTTAAGTGCGTTAAAAAATAATATATATACCAATTACTGCTTGTTGAGAGTCGACATTTAACCAACTGTCTTGTCTATTTCTACCAAATCTTACCTCGTGTGACGGTATTGAACGGTCTAAAGGCTGAGGGGAAACTAATTCCCTCATTTCTGGCAAAGAATTAAAAAGAAATAATTAATTATAATATTTAAAACGTTTTTTTTTAAATTTAAAAGGATTAATTTTAACTTTTTTTAAAAATTATATTGATAATTAAGAATGAGAAATTAAAAATTGATTTCTAAGCAATGAGGATATGATTTTTTATAAATAATATTACACAACTTATTACCATTTTCACCCTCATTAGCTAAATCATATCTAAAGACCACGTATCCGTTCTGTAGACCTACTGCTATATAAGGGTTGCGAGAACTCTGAGCCGTATTTTGACCGGCAAACATCAGCAAACTATTTTTCCATACCGCTGACTCTCTTTCGTCTATTATAAACTTAAACTTTATCTCAAAATCATTTTGGATGGACGGCGAAAGTGGGGCAAATGTCACATATGAAGGATAACCGAATTTCATGCCGTTAAATTTAAAAGTGTTTTTGACGTCAATATCAAGTTCTGAATATAAAACATTTTGGTTTATAAATAATCTAAAAAATAATTTTGCCCTTAATTAAATTCTGAGCGAGTGAAATTATCAACATTATTCACAAATTTATTTACAATCTAACTTTGATCACAATTAATTCCAGTCCATCCATAAGGACATAAACAGGCATAGTTATCATTTCCTCTTAAATCTATACACATTCCTCCGTTTAGGCAATGGTCACATGATCTGCTTTCGCAAAATGCACCTTGAAAACCTTCGGGACATTGGCAGAACGACCTCCAACCCTCCCTATAATACAAAATCCGATTGATGAATGAGTAGGTTATATTTAATATATTAAGATAAGACAGGTTCAACCAGAGTATGAAAAGCAAAACTTTAGAACTTTACAAAATATATTTGAAAAAATAAAAGCATACGTCATGCATTGAGCTCCGTTACGACACATATTTTCGCAGGTCCCGGGAGTGTTGTTGATAACACCTAACCCATTAGTAGCATCTTTTATCAATTTAATAGGCCTACCGTTGATAGAGAAACTAAGAATAGAGCCTTGAAAATTTGTCTCTTTTCCATTATTCATTTCGTCTTTAGTTTTTAAAACGCTCTCTCTCGAAGGGGCACCAATAAAAATTTCAGATTTAGGCAACATCTTAATCTCAACATTGTAGGAAGGTAAAGTATTGTTAACCACGCTTATTACGTCCCGAGATTGTGCCCTATCATTATCGACGGACAAGGCCACGGATCCCAGTCTATTAGTGCCGGGTACTAAATTATTCCTGAATAAAATTTTTAAAAATGAATTTTAAAAAATTTGCTTTTTTTATCAATCAAAAATATAAATCAATTAAATTTATTGTAAAATATAAAACTCTATGGTTATGGTGCTCTTTCTCCCATTTAAATCAGTGTTATGTGATCTAACATGGGCCAAAATGGTGCCAGTTGGCACGTGGATCACATCGTAATTTAGTTTTCCATCTTTCATATACAAATGAAAGGTAACATTGGTGTTAGGTGGATTTTGTCCGCTGTTTACAACTTTAAAAATGGTGCCATCGTCTTTTAATGGAACTATTTGCGTTTCAAAAGTTATTCGCCCATTGTCCCAAACGATTGGTTGATCGTAGTTTATAAACGAAGTGCCGGTGAATAAAGGATTGGTCAAATCAATGGCTTTAAAATTTATAAATAAATAAACTCAAAAAATCTTTTTAAGTTATAAAATTATCTCCTCATCTTCCTTGAAATATAGTATATTTTTAGATCCATCTAATTAATTTAAGTAAACTTGATTAAAAAAAATATATAAAATATTATTTACAATTTTCACATATATTCCCGCCATATGATAATTGACATAGACATTTATTATCCGTATTTCCATCGGGTAACATTTTTTTCAAGCATTCGCCACCATTTTGACATTCATAATTATCGACACATACTCCTAAAATAATATATCCATCAAAGTAATTTTTTAATAAAGATAATAAATGGATTTAATGGAGTCATCTTTGGATATTAAAACAGAATAAATTTACTAGATTATTATTGCTAAATGATAAAACTCAATTATAATTTTCAAATTGCGTAAATAAATTAATCTAATAAGTTTTTAATTCTTTTTAAAAACAATAAAATAAATGTAATAAAGTAAAACCCTCTTTTGCGATTAATGATGTGGACGGTGCAGGAACATTTGTTGTAGTATATTGTTGACCAGTTTGAATAATACCACCCGGAAGTACTGCTTCTACAGGCTGAGATATCTCACATTGATTACCTGAAAATCCCCTCGGGCATCTACATGTATTTTCATTAACTATCGTACCTCCATTGTGGCACACTACTTGGCCTATAAATGGCTCTATTAACAAATTATTTTAATATATTTAATATTCTATTAGTACGAGTGACGTAACAACTACCCCCACCCTATAATTTTAGAAAACCGGCCAATTTGAGGTATAAATTTTACGAAAATCGTATATTTAACTTCAACAGAATCATCCGTCCGTTATAAACACATCGATTATAGTTAGTAAGAAGCAAGCTCAAATTTGTTACGCCACTACTGATCAATATCAATGATGAAAACGTGACTAAATTTTATTAAAGTATATTACTAAATGGATAGCTTGTAGCTCCATAAAGATCCGGTTCATTATAAGGTAGAGGAGAATAATCCTCTCTTACAGGATCATAGATTGTTATGATAGGAGTGTGAGAAATTGGAGGAGTAACACTCTCGCAAAATTTACCAAAAAAGTTGGAAGGACAAATGCAATAAAAATTATCTAGAGGGCCGGTGTGATATGGAGTGCCTCCGTTTTCACAGTTCATGTAAGGCAATTTGGGAAATTTATTATAATGCTTGGCAATAAAGATGGGGTAATGTGACATAGGATTTGGCGTCGCGTACTCTGTTTGGTAATTCTGTGGGTAAGAAGGGTAGATAAAGGTAGGTGTGAGAGCTTCTGATATATATCCTGGGTCTAGCTGACTTTTATATTGCACATTTTGATTATACTGATAAGGGTCGGATGTATAATCAATGTGATAAGATTTATTGAAAGGTACTTGATAAGGATTATATTGTTGAGGAGGTAAATTATTTGCGATATAAGGAGGTTTGGGCGTTATTATATCGTCTTAATTTTTTAAATATAATAGAATTTGAAAATGTTTATAAGATGACTCATAACAAACAATTCAAGCTATTTGCAGGTCAAAAGCTTAGAATTTTCACAAATGGCAGGCAATAAATATTAGAGCATGCAAGTTAGAGGAAGTTAAAAAAATAGCATATTTGATTAGTGTATGCGTGAAAAAGTTAAACAGCAGTCTCAAGTAATTTACACTCATAAATTATTGATAGATAAAAATATTGCCTCTTATAACTCCATATGGAGGAAATGAAGATGAAGTCTGGGGTGCTGGTGAATAAGATTCACGTAACCAGTAATCATCTGGCTGTTGAGTATATCCCACTACAGGAAATATAGGTTGATATGTTGATGCTGAATCAGCATTGAAAATCACTTCTGTTTCGGCAGTTAAAGATGTTTCACAGTATTTTCCGATAAATTTTGAAGGACAATAACAAACAAATGTTCTCAAATCTCCAGAGGGATGAATATAAGGCGTGGCACCGTTTTGGCAAGAAAGTTTTAGACTTTCAATTTCATTTGGCTGTAACAAATTCGATGTAGTTGCAAAATTAATATATGGAACAGTATTAGGGTCCGTGTCAGGAATTAAAGACGTCTCACAAAATTTTCCAACAAAATTCTGTGGACAATAGCACATAAATGTTCTTAAATCATTTGAAGAATGTATGTATGGAGTGGCACCATTATGGCAAGAGAGTTTTAAGTCATCGATAATTTTTTGAGTGTCAGGAGAAATGCTCGTTGGTGTATAATCCTTAGTATAACTAGTTCTGAAAGCTTCTGTATAAGAGTAGTTTGGTTTAACTGTGTGTCCATAATGAGACTTTTTGGAGGAATCTATGTTAGAACCTTAAAATGATAATAAATATTTATATATTTTAAAAAATTCATTATTATTAACTTTTATATATAATTAAATCGTGCAAAGAGAATATAATAGACCTCAATCGGTATATCTAACATGCGTATAATGAAAAATATATCTCTTTAGAGCTATATTTTGATATTGGTAAAATCATCACACCGATAAAAGACATGCAGTTGTTTTAACTTATTAAATACTCGTAAAGATTGCTGGTTGTACTACTGCTATGTAAGGTGGTCTATAAGGTAGAGATGTAGGATGTGTATCAATGACTACGTCTGAATAGGCATTATTCGTATTTTGATTAATAGGATAGGGAGTAACAAATTGTACATTGCTATCATTTTCAGAATCATATGTTAGTTCAGTTTTTGCGTGTATAGGGTAAGGAGATCGCGAGTAAACAAAATTTCTAGTGGATTGAGTCACAATTACTGGAGGAAGTGACAAAATTGGGTTAATTTGTTTGGAGTTAGCGAGCATTGCTTCGAGTTCGGGACTTAGATATGTTTCACAAAATTGGCCTATAAATTTGGGTGGGCACTGACAAATCTTTTTATTTGTATCTGAAAATTGTATCATAATTTCTTCGTGATCAATCAATGGCGTGCCACCATTTTGGCAAGACGATTCCATACGTCTTATTTCATTTTGTTGTTGTTGTTTTTCTTTTTCAACAATTTCGTCTCTATATTCATCCTTATATTTCGGTGTTGTAGAATCTTTTCGATTATTTGTAATATCATCCCTATCAATTTCCATATTGTCATCATATATTACTTTATTCTTAGCCACGCATAATCGGGCTTAATTAATAATTCAAAGAAAATTTGTTAAATGGTCGCGTACCCAAAAAATATTTTTAATATGATTTATAATAAAAATTAATTATTTTTAAAATCATTATCGTCTTAAATTATATATATATTTAAAATGTATATCTGAAATAAACTTTAATCAAATCATTACTTTTGTCCATGCCAGGGCCTACAATTTCACCCTCCCCATCTTTGCAACAATCTGAAGTGGTACAGACTCGCCCGTCCTTAGATTTTGTGTCGCAATTATAACCATAATAACCTTTAGAGCAGAGACATATATAAGCTTGTTTAGTAGTAGAAGATGAATCACCGAGATTTGAGTTTCCAGTCGTTACAAGGGACTGAGGCATTGGTGTCGCAGTCAAAAGTGACCATGATATAGTGGGCTGAGGTGGAGCGTTTTCTCCGGGAGCGGGAAATACCAATGCATCTTCATCCTCTTGATCTGATTCTTTATCATTTGCCTTCCCACCTGCCATCCTCTCTAAACACGTTCCACCATTTGAACAAGGTTGAGCATATGTACAGACACCTGCCAGGGTTTTACAAGATGGTCCTGAAACACCCGGAGGGCAAAAACAAGTATTAGGGCCTTGGGGGCTTTCTCGAATGCAAACACCGCTATGGGGACATCCACACTCGAAACAATCAGCCCCTGTTTGAGCAGGGTTACAAGTAGATGGTGCTGTCATATTTCTGTATATAAAAGGAGCTATTAAGATCCGCGGATAAGATAAACGAGAGGAGTTAACTCCCATATTGTCCAATGTTTGTATCATATCTTGTCCTCCCTCTTGAAGTGCTTTGTCTCTTGCTTCTTGTTCACGAATTAAATTTCCTGTAATGTTATCTAAATATTGTCGTTCTGGTCCGGTAGTAATCTCACAACGATTTCCACTGAATCCTGGAAGACAGATGCATTGGAAATGGGCTGGGCGAGTTGTATCGTAAAAGCATTGGCCTCCATTTTGACAGAGCCCTTCAAAGCAAGATTTTACGTATTCGCAATGTTTACCTGTGTTTCAAATTTTTAAAAAAAGTTATGAAAGTAAAAAATATGGTTTGATATTTAGAAACCTATATAGTTTATTTGACAAGTGCATGTGTATTCCCTGTTGTTAATGCCTTTCCTCAAATCGTTACATAAACCTCCATTTTGGCAAGCATGATTCCAACAAGCGTCATAATCTTCACAATATCTACCTTTATAAGGCACGCGACATTTACAGGTAAAAATTTGCAGGCCTTCTTGATTAACGAGATCATTAGGATTTTTTAAAGAACAATTTTGGCCCGTTTCATTACCATTATTAAGTTTGTCACCTCCTTTATCATTGATGAAGACGCAATATCCATTATCAAAACAAGGTTTATTAGGGTATGATGAAACAGTGCAATCTTGGGTTCTAACAGTAACCTTTAATCTAAACCCAGTTTCACATCCGGGCGATCCTAGGAATGGGATTTGCATAAAATGATGATCGCTGGGAAATAGAAATTTTAAAGGAACCTTTAAAGAATGTCTTTTTGGGAACGTCGTCACTTTCCAATAGTAAGGATAAGTTATGAGGCTGCAATTATAAAAATCTCTTTGGCTGACTGCTATTGGATTAAGAAAATCTTTTTCGCCTGGTCCAGAAACAAAATAAATTGGGTCTCCGAATTGAACATATAATGGGCAAAGTTGAGGAAAATGTTCAGATTTTTCTAAATTATCTAAATAATATATATATATATTATAATATATTTTTATTTTGAGTATTATATAATTTATGCATTTAAAAAAAAATAATACTATTATCGTTTCCGTAACACTCTTGAACATTGTTGCATAAATTATCGTTTATCCAATTTACCACGTGAATCTGTGGTTGATTTCTCCATACGATCGGATTATTTAATTGATTATCTTCGATATTGACATTCGGACATAGCCGAGTTTGCGATAATGTGACTAGGGAATAGAGAATAGATATAAACGCGAATACACTTCGAAAATGCTCGTAAGTTTTCATGATGTGGTTCTTCGGAATCCGAAATATTTGAAAATGTTATCAGTTATAATAAGGATAATGTGCTATCATAAAGACTAGAATTAATATTAAAAATTCGGATTTTATCATAAAGTAAAATTATGATTCTTAATGAATATCTTTGGTAGATTTTTTTTAAAAATAAAGTAATTAATATTCTTATATTTGTTTAAAAAAATTATCTATTTTTTCTCCAATTCCTTATTGCTAGATTTAAATTTATTAAATAATAAAAAAAATATTAAAACAACAAGTCATAACATAAATGAATTGACTTAAAATGATGGTGAATAAAGCGGAACTCTTCAAAAAAATTATTAAAAAATTTTCATTTATACCTAGCTTTGAAGTTTATTTTAATTTGTATAATATATAATTCAATGTTTAATTTTTCATGGTTTCAATCATATTTTATGTTTTAATCACTGTTTTTCGGAAAATGTGATATTTATACCTTTCTTATTTATATTAAATGATTTTTTAAATAATTTTTTTTAAAAATAATTTATTTTTTTAATATTTAATATTTATTATAATATTTAAATTCATATTTCTTTTTAAAAGAAATATTATTTGATATTCATATTATGAATAAAAAGTTATTATTATTTAATACAAGGTTACACTTATATTTATTAAAAGATCATTATTAATATGTGTAATTGAATTATTATTATATTAATAAATAATACAAGATAATTCATGTATATAGATGTACATCAACATAAATCTACAAAAAAAAATTTTTGACCAAAGGACGCCATTAAATAAAACTTTAATTTCACTTTTATATCACTACATTTAACATTTTTATATTATGGTCTCAAATAGTTTTATTATTATATTTTTTTATTGTAGCCTCTCTTATTTACCCCTGAAGATTAACTTATAGATATATAGAAGAATTTTATTTAGAACTTATAGAAGAAATGTCTTCATTATTAAACATTTAATGAAAATTTAAGATAGCCACTATTATTGTAATGCTATGAAATAGTGAAAGCCACACACTCATGCGGTCAGAGCAAATTAAAAAAATTAACTTTTTTAAAAAAAGACAAATAAAATAAATTTAAGATTATTATGACCATTATTGGCTTATTTTACTCTTTTAAAGTGTTGGAAGCTACTAAGTTTGAGTCATCATAAATAAAGTCATAATATCAATTTGCAACGATTTCAATATCTTTCAAATTAACAAGAAGGGGAAAAATTACTTTTTCTTTACCATAAATCCAGAATTAATCACTAAAATATATAAAAAATTAATCATTTTTGTTTATTTAAGAACAACAAAAAATTTAAAAGGTCTAATTAAGCATAAAATCTAAAATGATTTACTCCAGGGCTTTGTATCTATATCTATAATGAAATCAATATTAATATCTACTATCATATTGTATTTATATATTATGTTTTCGCATCATAATCTTATTATATGAAAAATTAGGTGAAAAATTTCATCCTTGATTCTTTTATTATTGTTCAAGAAGAATAAAATCTTTTATAGAGTTGAATTGAAATATTGGCTTGTTCTTAAAAAAATTTTTTTATTTTAAAGTGAATAATAAATAGTAAATGTATATATTTAAGAAATTTTGTAAGATTTCTTTATTAATAAAATGTTGTGACATATGAAATTACTACTCTTTATCAAAAGTATAATACCCAACGAAACTGGGGATGGTATGATAACGGGGTTAGTACGAGTCTTTTGTAATTTTTAAAATGAACAATGGTGAAAATTTTTTAAAAACGAATATATAATTTTTATTCAAATACGTGGTGAGTAAAAAAACGTCGTGTTTTTAAATTTTTATAACTCTAAAACGCGTTACTTGTTTCTTATTAAATAAAATTTCTTAGTTTAATAAATAATATGAGGAACTTAACTTCTTCAATGAATTTGATTGAACATTTTTTTAAATCGATAAACGTTAACTCAAAATCCTCAATTATTTTTTCCACAAAACGGGCTAGATGGGGTGTGGTTTTTAAAGAAGAAGAAAATTGAGGGTCTTTTTTCTTTCTCAAATTTTAGCTTTTTTTTAAATCTTAATTTCGTGGAAATCAAGTAGATTAAATTTTCAACAAAATTCAGGATATTAAGGCCTCATTTAGAGTAAATGCGAAATGTTACCAAATCGCTAAAGTGACACATAATTTATAGCTGAACGATAGCATAGCTGTATAATTAAGCATTATGTCTTTTCTAAATTACACATCGATTGCGCGACATCGCGATATTTTGCGCTTAGTATAAACGAGACCTAAATTTCATTATAATGACATATTTTGCCATGGAAAAAATTAAATAGTATTAATTTTATGGACGTTTAACTTCTACGGGACACAAGCCCTGGTGTTCCTTATATCTCTATTTTTTTATATTTCGTTATGATAATATAATTATAAAAAAAATATTTAAATGAATTTTAATATCATAAAATAAACGTCCTCTGTTTAAAATGAACTTGAAATTCTATCATTTAATAGAACGAAACAATTATATATTATAATTATCAATATAATTTAGTTTTTTAAAAAAAATTTAACTTGCTTAAACACATGGTTTTTGTATTATGCTTTTGATATTAAGCCTAAAAAAGCAGCCTTCTTTGAAGCAGATTTTGATTTTATTCAAAAAAAACTCTACTTTACCGCCCTTGACAATATTATTTTTGGCAGATTCAAAACTATACCATGGCCAAAATTATTTTAAGGCCACAAAGAGATATAATTAAAATTAATCCACCATTTTTATGAACAAAAAATATACTTTTCATTTTTAATTTAAGACGTGCCATTTTTGAATAAAAAAAATGTTTTAATTAATTATTATTTTAAATTATCTAGAAAATTCTTTTAATAAATGTAAAATTCTCAAGTTTAACGAAGTAATGACATTGAAGATATTTTATTTTGTTTTTAATTTAATAAAACATTGTACCAATATTAGGTTTAGCTAAGGTATATAACATCCCCAAGCCAAAGAAATTTCAGAATCCTATTTTTCTATTGGAGCATTTAAATTTTAATGATAAATATGTTGTAAGCAATAAGGATTTCTAAATGTAAGTGCAATTACAGTGCCCTCGCTATTTGAGATTGGATAAATAATACTATCAACTCATTACTATATTAAACCCAGCCCATAATTTTGAGTCTACGTGTTGAGTTTGCCCATCGGGTGTGTTAATTGAATTTTTGCTCATTCGGTCTGTTTAAATCGTGATCAATTTTCTCAACTCATACTCAAGTCTATAACTCAGATCTGGGTCGTTTTATGAATAGTGTCCGAGTCTTTTTTGCGACTCTAAATCTACCGTGGCTGCTAAATACACCAGAGACCTGCAAATGTACCATTTGCAATGCCCTCCCGATTTTTTCTGATTTTTTTAAAATTTATTATATTTATTTTAGATTTATAGCTAATAATGACGATTTCAAATATTTGGTTTTAAAACAGCCCGGCCCGGGTATTTTTTTTAAAAAGAACAGGCCCAGCCCGGGTATATTTAAAAAAATTGAAATACGGCCATGCCGGGCTTAGTCTGAAATACACCCTTTTGAGCATTTTAACAAAACCCGTTTTAAAACTTTCCTATAATTTATTGAAATTTTTCCCATATTTATGAAACAGTTAGCCTTTAAGTGTTTACATTTCACTCTAAAAATGATTTTCTGTGATTTTCTGTATAAAATGTGAGAAAGGAAAAACGATATTATATTTTTGTTTTCAAAATTTAATTAAACGTATATATCTTATCCGTTTTTTGTTATTATTAGAATAATTGATTTCAGATTTGTACTATTTATATAAATTTTATTAAAACAGGAATAACCCATTTTATAAAAAATCACCGTGAAACTGCATTTTCATTTGCATAATGAATTATTTTATTTAATTCACCAAAAAAAAATTTGTTCCCGTCAAGCAGCTGGAAGAAGATTATAACTGTTATTGTCATTAGTTTATTTTAAAAAAAATATTAAATGTTTAGTATCAAAAAAAACGATCTTTCGATTAATTAAAATTTATTTATTTCATTAGGTAAAGGACAAAAAACAATATTGATAATAAATAGAAATCTATATTATAATTCTTTTAGCTCTTTAAAAACATTTACCCATATTACTCCTCTCTCCCCACCCTATAACCTGACTATTTTTTTTAAACATGTTTTACATTTAAAAATATTATGTTGATTTGATTTAGTAATAATATAAAACATATTTGAATAATTTTTAAAATCGTTATGAAAAATTTTTATTATATTTTTTCAATTTAATAATATATCCATATCTTTTTAAAATATTTTTTTAAGCATAAATGTGCTGAAAATATTTTTCAACATAACTTAGACTATTAGACTAACTAATATTTATTTTTAAATTCATTATTGCTCCAGTTAATTTTAGTAAGTGAAAAGCATTAATACTTGGGCAAGTCAAATTTATGATATCCTTTGATTGATGATGCTTTTAACATTTTTTTCACGCATTAATTGAAGGTTGTCAAAGATTAATTACCTAGGATTTACCCCAATATTTTTTTAATGGATTCTTGAGCTATACCACTTGGTGCGAAAGATAAAAGTACAAAAATTCGTGTCCTATCCTTATTATAAATAATCGAAATAAATAATGAAATATTCTGATTAGATTTTATTTAAATTTTCCTGTGATATTTTTTTTAGCTCATTTTCCATTAAAATTGGCCGAAAAATTGGGAGCATTAATTTTAAAATTGTGCCAATTATTTCGTGCTTTATTAGTGATTATCTTGTTTCGGTATAATAGCTAAAAAATATATGTTAGCAACAAAGTTTTACCAATCTTGAGATTGAAAACCGACTGAATCTGAATTCTATTCAGAAAGCAGCCTTAAACACTCTTTTTTGGTTTTTTTTAAATATAAATTTTGATATTAGGTGGATAAAATCTTTAAAATACACTTTAAAATAATATTTATTTTTTAGCTATTCAGAATTTTAAAAAAGAAATAAGAAAAGCTAGGATACCGGCTTAGACTGTGTCAACGCTCGGATTATTTTTCAACTGCTAATAAGAAGGAGGCTATTATGATTTATCCCATCTTTGTTTTATTTGTTACCGATAAAATGGGCCTAATTTTTCAAGCCTGGCCAGAAATTTTTTTTAAAAATTTAGCCTGTCCGGCCCGATCTCAAATGAATATTTTTAATTTGTTCCTAAAAGCCCGACCCGAAATAAAAATAAATATATTTGTCCGCCCAGGCCGGCCCATATTTATTTAAATATAGAAAAATTAATTTTTTTTATTGTTAAAAAGATATTCTACAAATAAAAAATATTAGTGTTTCTCTCAAGAATGTTAAAATTAAAATATATAAATTTATTTTTAAAATTGTAATGATATCATATTTAAAAATTTAGGCCCAACTTAAGCCCGACGAAAATATTTTTTAAAAATAGACCGGCCAGATCTACTTAATGTACAAACTTTTAAAAACCCAGAATAGGGTGTCATAGCTCAAAGGCTGATTAACCTAGGCTAAACTAAAAGTAATTCGAGCGTTGACATGGCCTTGTATATAATTTTAATACCCTCGACAAATATTGCAGATAGAAATCCTTTTGGAAGATTGTAATATAAAGAAAAAGGGGATGAACTAGGCTTAGAAAATATTTAATATCTGACTATGAAACGCCGCGAGTCGCGACCCCGACCCAAAGCTCGGGTCGTTTTATTCGACTCCGACTCAATGTTTGGGCCGTTTTTTTCGACTTCGACCCGAGTTCAAGCCGAAAAAAACGACTTCGACCCAAAATATGGGTCGTTTTTTTCGACCCCGACCCAAATCCAAGCCGAAAAAAACGACCTCGACCCAAAATATGGGTCGTTTTTTACGACTCCGACTCAAAATTTGGGTTGTATTTTTCGACTCAAACTTGAAATTTGGGTCGTATTTTTCGACTCAAACTTGAAGTTTAGATCGTATATTTCGACTCCAACTCAAAGTTTGGGTCGTTTTTCTGACTCAGACTCACGGGTCGTTTCATTCAATCAGACCCAAAATATGGATCTATTTTTTAAAGACGACTTAAAGTTAGGGTTGCTTTTTTTCACCCCTAACCCAATATCTAGATCATTTTTTTCGACCAAAAGTCAAATAACATTTAGTATATATTAATATTATAGGCGGGAAAGTTACTTAAAGCTTCTTTAAATTATAATGCTTGATTAACTATTCATCATAGTTATATTTTAAAATTTTTAAGTGAAGATGTACCATAGAAAAGTGCCATTTGTCATGATGGTTATTTTTGAACTTTTTTAAATGAAATAGATAAAAATATATATTGTAGACATGTTAAATCAAAATTTCAGTGATGATGTACCATAGATAAGTGGTAATTGTCATAATCGCTATTTTTGAACTTTTTTGAGTTTTTTTAAAGCAAATTGCTAAAAATATATATTCTAAACATGTTAAATCAAAAATTCAGTGAGGATGTATCATAGATAGGTGACAATTGTCATAATCGCTATTTTTGAACTTTTTCAAATTTTTTTAAAGGAAATATCTAAAAATATATATTCTAAACATGTTAAATTAAAAATTCAGTGAGGATGTATCATAGATAGGTGACAATTGTCATAATCGCTATTTTTGAACTTTTTCAAATTTTTTTAAAGGAAATATCTAAAAATATATATTCTAAACATGTTAAATTAAAAATTCAGTGAGGATGAATCATAGATAGGTGACAATTTTCATAATCGCTATTTTTGAACTTTTTCAAATTTTTTTAAAGGAAATAGCTAAAAATATATATTCTAAACATGTTAAATTAAAAATTCAGTGAGGATGTATCATAGATAGATGACAATTGTCATAATCGTTATTTTTGAACTATTTTCAATTTTTTTAAAGCAAATAGCTAAAAATATATATTCTAAACATGTTAAATTAAAAATTAAGTGAGGATGTATCATAGATAGGTGACAATTGTCATAATCCCTATTTTTGAACTTTTTCAATTTTTTTTAAAGGAAATATCTAAAAATAAAATATTCTAAACATGTTAAATTAAAAATTCAGTAGGATGTATGATAGATAGGTGACAATTGTCATAATCACTATTTTTAAACTTTTTCAAATTTTTTTAAAGGAAATAGCTAAAAATATATATTCTAAACATGTTAAATTAAAAATTCAGTGAGGATGTATCATAGATAGGTGACAATTGTCATAATCGCTATTTTTGAACTATTTTTTTCGACCAAAAGTCAAATAACATTTAGTATATATTAATATTATAGGCGGGAAAGTAACTTAAAGCTTCTTTAAATTATAATGCTCTGATTAACTATTCATCATAGTTATATTTTTAAATTTTTAAATGAAGATGTACCATAGAAAAGTGCCATTTGTCATGATGGTTATTTATGAACTTTTTTAAATGAAATAGATAAAAATATATATTGTAGACATGTTAAATCAAAATTTCAGTGATGATGTACCATAGATCACTGAATTTTTAATTTAACATGTTTAGAATATATATTTTTAGATATTTCCTTTAAAAAAATTTGAAAAAGTTCAAAAATAGCGATTATGACAATTGTCACCTATCTATGATACATCCTTACTGAATTTTAAATTTAACATGTTTAGAATATATATTTTTAGATATTTCCTTTAAAAAAATTTGAAAAAGTTCAAAAATAGCGATTATGACAATTGTCACCTATATATGATACATCCTCACTGAATTTTTAATTTAACATGTTTAGAATATATATTTTTAGCTATTTGCTTTAAAAAAATGAAAATAGTTCAAAAATAACGATTATGACAATTGTCACCTATCTATGATACATCTTCACTGAAGTTTTATTTTAACATGTTAGTAATACTTATTTTAGCCCAATTATGTCAAAAAAACTTAAAAAAGTTATAAGATAACGATTATGACAATTGTCACTTTTTTATGATACATCTTCATGAATTTTTAATTTAACATGTTTAGAATATATATTTTTAGCAATTTGCTTTAAAAAAACTCAAAAAAGTTAAAAAATAGCGATTATGACAATTGTCACCTATCTATGATACATCCTCACTGAATTTTTAATTTAACATGTTTAGAATATATATTTTTAGCTATTTCCTTTAAAAAAATTTGAAAAAGTTCAAAAATAGCGATTATGACAATTGTCACCTATCTATGATACATCCCCAATGAATTTTTAATTTAACATGTTTAGAATATATATTTTTAGATATTTCCTTTAAAAAAATTTGGAAAAGTTCAAAAATAGCGATTATGACAATTGTCACCTATCTATGATACATCCTCACTGAATTTTTAATTTAACATGTTTAGAATATATATTTTTAGCAATTTGCTTTAAAAAAACTCAAAAAAGTTCAAAAATAGCGATTATGACAATTACCACTTATCTATGGTACATCATCACTGAAATTTTGATTTAACATGTCTACAATATATATTTTTATCTATTTCATTTAAAAAAGTTCAAAACAAACCATCATGACAAATGGCACTTTTCTATGGTACATCTTCACTTAAAAATTTTAAAATTAACTATGATGAATAGTTAATCAGAGCATTATAATTTAAAGAAGCTTTAAGTAACTTTCCCGCCTATAATATTATTATATACTAAATGTTATTTGACTTTTGGTCGAAAAAAATGATCTAGATATTGGGTTAGGGGTGAAAAAAAGCAACCCTAACTTTAAGTCGTCTTTAAAAAATAGATCCATATTTTGGGTCTGATTGAATGAAACGACCCGATGTTTGAGTCTGAGTCAGAAAAACGACCCAAACTTTGAGTTGGAGTCGAAAATACGATCTAAACTTCAAGTTTGAGTCGAAAAATACGACCCAAATTTCAAGTTTGAGTCGAAAAATACGACCCAAATTTCAAGTTTGAGTCGAAAAATACAACCCAAATTTTGAGTCGGAGTCGTAAAAAACGACCCATATTTTGGGTCGAGGTCGTTTTTTCGGCTTGGACTTGGGTCGGAGTCGAAAAAACGACCCATATTTTGGGTCGAAGTCGTTTTTTCGGCTTGAACTCGGGTCGAAGTCGTAAAAAAAGACCAATACTTTGAGTTGGAGTCGAAAAAAACGACCCAAAATTTGGTTGAGCTCTGTTCGAGCCGACTCGGCTAAGCCGATTAACAACACTACTAATATACTTATTATTTCTCAATCAGTTTTGCGAACCACAAAAAAGTTAAGGTGAAGCAAGCCTAGTTTTGGGAGACACAAATTTTAACCATAAGTAATGCCTAATTAGTATGCATTTTATTGCTTTGATCTGTTTGGCAGATTGTTCTAAGGGGGTGGTAAAAAAAAGAATTGACATCATTTCATGCCAGTAGATCAAATGGAAGTTAAAGATCTAGCTTGAGTAATATTTAGTGTCTTATTTATTAATTCTTAACAATTTTTTTTAAACCACAAAAAAATAACCAAATTATGAGCCAAATAAAAATCAGCGTGATGTCAAACAAACTTCTGGAAGTAATAATTATAAAAGCTATATCAATAATTAATACGTATTTAGTATATTTTTGTGCTTCAACCCGTTTTATAGATAGTTTAAAGAAAAACATACTATTTGCAAAATGAGAAAAAGTCACTAAGATTGGCATATTGCCAGAACCAAAATTATAAAAGCACTTAATATCTACCAATATAATGTCTAATTTTAGTAACTATTTTTCATTCAGTTTTCATAAACAATAGACAGAAGCCAGTAAGTCCTAAATATCAAATTTTGAATTTCATTTAAAAATCTATTCCGTTTAAATACATTAAGGTTTCTATCTTACCAATTCAAAATATTTTTGAATCTTATGATTTTACGATCTTTATCCTATTGCATTTTTATATAATTAATAGTTACAAAGTAAAATAGTTAACATTTCTTATATTTTGATGAATCGAGTTTTATTTTCAAAAGTTTATTATGATTCAGCCCTAATCATGAAGTTTTTCAAACTCTTGAAATCCCTAATTCTAAAGCTTAGAACAATATGTAAGGCTTAATAATTAGTATAATATTTTATTCTAGTGCTTCAATCCGTTAGGTCGAGAGTATAAATAAAATTATTTGCAAAATAAAAAATATTACTAAAATTGATATCAAGATTTAAGATAGAACTAAAAATATAGAAGCACAAAAGTTCGAAAAAAATAACGAAAAAAAAACAGAAATTTTAAAAATCTAAGAAAAAAAATTCAAAAATAACATCAACATCGAGGGAACAATGGATAATTTCTTAAAATCTATTTATTATTTTTATATATTTTTCAACAGTGTCTTTGCGTGACGTCCTGAACTTTTGGGAGAGCAACTTCATGTTCTACTTGCCGTCCTGCCTGAACCATTCAAAATAAATTGGGATGCTTCTTTGATTGCCCATTCCGTACTCCATTTCGAACAAAGAGGAAACCCCCAACAACATAATTCTAAATTCAAAATCCAACTATGAATGTTTAGAGAGATCATACCAGATCCAATCTTGGTCCCCGTTTTTTTTAATCCATAATTATGATTAAACAAATTTATATATTACTATTACTAAATAATCAACTTTTTATGTATCTTTTTGATACTTTTATAATTTAGAATCGTAACCTATATCTATATGAATAAATTGACATGTGGAATCTTTGGAAAATGTGATACCAAAATAAGATGGGCTGGGTTGCATAAAATTGAAAACGACTACAATAGACTATTTTTTACATTCAAGTCTTAAGATTGCATAGTAAAACGATATTAATACTAAGTACTTTGCAATTGGAAATAGAAAAAAGGAAACGTTAACCCCTAGCTTTTTTTATTCATAAAATAAACTTTTCAAATTAAAATTTTTTTGTAAAATTTTAAAAAATTTAAAGTTTCCTTTTTTTAAATTTTTCTACAATCTGGAGCGGCAAGACATAAAAATAAGGGTTTTACATAGATGATTTGATAAATTGTTGAAAGCAAAATAAAATTGCAAAATAGATAGAACTTTTTTTTGAGTGATTTTCTAAACTTATAACATATGTTGTCGCCATTGGCTAACTCTTTTTTTAAATATAGGTTCTTATATTTTGCAAATGAAGTGCGGAATATAAGAAAATTTTTAACGTAAAGTTGAAGAAAATAGAAAAAGGAGATAGACATTTTCAAATTATAAAAAATGACAAAATTATTTCTGTGAAAATTATATATACTAAATATATTCTACTAGAATATATTGCTAAAACCATATTCTTAATCACTGATATTTAACATTACTAATATCATCAATAATTAATAATTCCATTTCTAAAATCAAAGTATTCAAATTAAAAAGATAATAATTTTCGATATCGCTTTAACGATCCTTCATACCTAGTCAATGATGATTAACACTTCTCAAATATAATTTACGATAATCTTCATCAATAAACTTCTTCGTTAGTTGTGAGTTTTGTTTATGATAAACAGTAAACCGCAGTTTTAACAAATAATTTATATGTTTAAAACAAAACATATAACTGAATGATTCCTTCAGGATATATTGCAATAAGTATGTTTAAAACTTCGAATGCTGCTAATATTATTATTTTTCATTGGCCTATCCCCCTTGTCATATAAAAGGAAGAGCAACTTTAAAGATTCATCTGTCTGCCCCTTCATCTGTAAAAATATTTAAAGAATAATGTAATATATATAAGCTCTCTTAGATTGGCAGGTAGTGGAGGATACTATTTGCGCATAATTCTTTTAGCCGAATTCTATGTTGGCATATATCTTTAAATATCCGTTTCCAATTTAAAAAATTTTGCAGGATTAGAGGAATTTGATAATGTGTATCGTTAGCCTTTTTTTAATGGTTGAAACAGATTGTGTCTCCTTATAGTCATATTTCCTTTAACAAATGACTGTTTATTTTCCATTGAATAATTCTTTGAGTTAAAATATTTTATTGTACGCGATGTGTAGAAAAGATTGTACTTATTATATTCTTTAGTCTTAATATGTAGACGGTATTAATATTCAAAAAAGAGTATACTAAAATATTTTAAAGTTTATTTTCACAGGCTATTTTCCAATTACTTTCTTTAACACCTAGAACACTATTATTAGCATATAATAATAAAGTAACTGGCTGTGTAGTTCCCACGTTATCGTATCTACCATCAAATTTAAACAAGCTCAACGAACCGTGGCACATACTGACCATTATGGTACAATTATTTATGGAAGTGGGGTTGGGAGAGGTTAGAGAGAATTGAAGTATTTTTGGTAATTAATTTAAAAAAATGTAAACCTAGTAATATTCATTTTTATACCTAATTTCATTAGAAAAATTTTAAAAGACTGGAAACTTATCAAGGAAGTATCCATATTTATTTAACCTAGTATTGAAATATCTCCTTAGAGTTTTAAACCCGATTTCTATAATTTCTAGCGGAACCCCTTTTAACCTATAAGTTTTAATTCCCTCTTGATTTTTTATTTAATGGGTAGCACTTACCCCCCCCCCCCCTCTTAGTGTTTTAAACTCCATTCCTATAATTTCTAGCGGAACCCCGTTTAACCTCTAAGTTTAAATCCCTTCTTGATTTTTTGTTTAATGGGTAGAACTTACCCCCTTTCTTATGGAGAAGAAAGACTAATCACTATTCCTTAACCTCCAGGTGGAAACCACTTTTTTTCTCCTCTAGTTTAAAATTTCCACTATTTTAAACTAAATATTAAAGCCTGTTTTATAAAAGGTGTTGTAGTCCATATTTTTGTTTATTCTGAAAATCAATCTACCATTTGTGGTCTGCTTTATTTTACCCAACAGATTTAAGCCTCCACTTTTAACCCAAGGTGAAACCCCCATTTTTAAAAGTCCTCCTTTTATTTTATATTACAAGTTTGAGCCTCCATTTTTAACCTAGAGATTAAAACCCCCTTTTTACTTTTTAATCTCCAGAGGAAGCATATCTTTTTTCATCTAGATCTAATTCCCCACTATGGGTCAAAACATTCCTTACTAATTTCGAACATGTAATCCATATTTTTTTGCCTAGATTTTTAAATCACGAGTTGAAACCTGATAGGGAGTAAGGCAAGACAAGGTCGATGAGTTAAGGAGGTGCAAGGCAGGGAAATAGGAAGTAAGAGGAAAGGAGAGGTAAAGCAGTCAAGATGAAGCAAAGTAGGCGGGGGGGGCAAGGCAGGTCAAGAGGAAGTATGCAGGGAAACATGAGGCTTGGCACGAGGAAGGGGAAGCAGGACATGGGCCATAGATGGATAGAAATTATCAAAACGAGGTAGGGGGAGGTAACCTAGGCCAAGAGGAGGTAAAGCGGGTAAGGGGAGGCAAGGTGGGAAGCTAAGATTAATATTACATGATTAGTTAATTTTTTGTGATATCTAAATAAAAAATTAAGCCAAAATTACTTTAAAAAAAATATTTTAAAGTTGTGTGTGCTCTGTATCTGCACTATTTCTATTTCTATTTCTATTTCTATTTCTATTTCTATTTCAGTTTTATTGTTATTGAATAAATTTTCTTCTTTAAGATTTAACCTCACAAATCAGAAAAAAAAATACAACATAAAATTGTTTAACAAAAGTTCAATAATATATTAACTTTACTAAAATCATTTTAATCCTTATTGTTTCAGATACAATAGGTGTTTTTAAATCCTGACCCCAATAACGTCATTAGGGAAGGGGCGCAGGGGCTGGAGCTAGCTAAAAACTTGAATAACCCTCCCAAAATTTTGAATTTTTTTATATACCATTATATATTTGATAATGTTATCTAAAAAACAGAAAGCAATTTTGAAAATATTTTTGAGCCCCCTGAGATTGTAAAGTCTAGTAACACCCCTGCCAGACCCTGATGCCTATAATTTCGGATGATCCTTAGTAAGGTTTTTACCAAGGTCAACAAATTTCAATGGAAATATGTAGATCACATAATATATCAATCCACGGACCATTACCCATAAGCACCTTCTCACGTTTTCTTTAAACATATTTTTATTATATAATTATTTATTTTTTTAAATATTATTTATTTTTATGTAATTTATATGGTAACCTATATCATAACGTTTTTAAATTAAAATATAAAAGTCATAAATTAATTATACTTAATAAAATATTATGATAAAAATATTTCGATTATTTGCGTCATCTCTATCATACTAGGTCACTCAACACGCTGATATTTAAAAAAATGCCCTATTGAAAAAATTGCATTGTATTTTTATAATTATGGGTTTAAGAAAAAAAAGTAACAAAAATCCTCCGATATTGAGTCATGAATTTGTGATACAAAATCATGCTGATATATTATCTTGTATTTTGATGGTTTTTATAGTAGCATTATATTTTCAAGTAAATTATTATGCTAATAGAATATTTTATATTTGAGTAAGGTATCAGCTAGCTTTGGTTCATTATTCATTACACTAAATCACAACATTACTGTAAATAAGACAATCGGTAAATTGCTAAATATCACATGTATTTTAAATTTTTATTTATAGGGACCCATCAATATGAAGATTATAACTCACTTTTTACCAATGGACCAAAAGATCTATGCTTTATCTTTTTTTACTTTTTGACTCTTATTATTTACCATGCTGTTATTCAGGAATATGTTTTAGATGTATATTTAATTTAAAAAAATCTTAATTTTTTAATATATTTATAGAAAACTAATAGGAAATTGCATTTATCTAAAGTCAAGACTAATAAATTTAATGAATCTGGAGGTCTTTTAGCTTATTATATCCCATTCTTTATCCTGGCTTTATATATTATCTTAAATGTAAACAAATTTAAACATTAATTATATTTTTTTGTAACAGGGTTATATACCACAAATCAATAGTTTATGGATTGATTACCCTACAACAATTTTACCCTGGAATGTTAAAATATTTTTTCTGTTGCAGGTAACTATCAAAATATTAAAGATATATTTTATTTGCTTTAAGATTGCTACCTGGTTACATTTTTATCCTGAAATATATTTTCAAAAAATACCACAAGTAAATTTAAATTCAAAAAATATTAATATTTAAAATATTATTTAGGAGGATTGGTCAGAGAGATGTACTTATATATCATTATATGTGGTTTTCATAGCAGCCACTTATTTTCTAAGGTAATGAAAATTTTAATTCTATTTAATTAGGTCTAACCTCACTTGTTTAAAAAAAATTAAAAATGTACTGATACCAAGTGTTTGCTATTACTGATGATTTTTACCAAAACCAAAATTTTTGGATTTATTTTGTGTCTCCAAATTTTTTTATTGGGATTTTATATAAAAAGCTTGTACGTTTTTATAATTTTTTTTGGCAATCGGTTTCTATTCTAAATCTATATGAATCATGAACCTAATTTATAATTATTTTTAAAAAACTTAATTGAAATATATGTATTGCATTCCTAACATCTAATCCAATAACTATTGTGGTAATAGCACACTAGCAACATTAGATTTCAGACAAATTATTCAATGAAACTGGGTACATTTATAACTTACAGAAGTCTCTTTGCTAATATTGAAAAAATTTCTATACTATATGCTGAAAAAATATTCCAGTTCCATACCCTTCCTTTTCAGAATAATCTTATTACATGAAGTTTATCGATAGATGTAACACCCTTGTAATATAGATAAACAACGTAATTAATTCTTGCTTCTGAGTTGAGGGTTCGAGCATCTAAGACACCTTTGTGGTCAAATTAGGCCCACAAACTAATTTATGGGCCTTATAATATTGAAGTACACCCCTGCCCAAATTCATTGTTAGTGCTGTAAAAGGGGTATTTATTCTCTATAGATTAAAGATTAGAATTTATGGAATCCACATGGATTAACATTTAACTCACTGCTTATTGTATGAGAAATTATTATTTAATATAAAATAATTCAAGCTGGGCTAGATAATTTCAAAACTTGTGTGTCTTAAATAATTTAAGAAATTGGATATTTGTGGCTAGTAATATTGGCTTGTGGTATAGGTACACATTTTGATTTTTTCATCTAATATCATAATCTTTCTTTCCTTAATTATTTTTTAAAATATATATTTATTTATTTAGTTTTACCAAAGTGGCTTTAGTTCTTTTGACTATACAATATTTTGAACAAATAATTTTTCACCTATCACGAATCATCCATTTTTCAGGAAAAAATGAAATCTCAAAATATGGGTAAAACTTTTTTTAAAAAAATAAAAGATTAAATTATTTTAAAAAAAAATTATATAGATTTATGTCTTGGAATATTGTTTTTATTGCCTGCCGATTAATATCTTTTATAACATTGGTATTAACATTTTATTTTGGCCTCTCTAAAACCAGCATACCTCAAATTAACCTGGTTCAACAAAATTTTAATACACCTATTATCAGGTTAATTTTATTATATAGCATATGAACATTTTGTATTTTAAAATGTTTCAAAGTTCTAAAATGAATAATTTGGTATAGAAAGTTTTGACATTATTATAACATTAAACCCAGATTTCAATTTTTTTATATAAAACACAATATTTTAACAACTTCACTTGCTAATGAGATGCTTGTTTTCAGAAATATTAGTAAATCATTCATTCAGGTGACATAGAAAAAACTACTCTACATTTAAAAGTGTTCACAGAAAAGTTTATTTATGAATGAATTTTTTTAATCTCAGTACATAGTTGGGTAATTGCCCTATTTTTAACCCCTAAAACCAATAACCTCCACTTCGGGCTTTTTTTTTTGAAAATATAACTGAAGGAAGAAGAATTGAACTAACTCATGCTTCAATACTTATCGGATTTTTTTGACACCCAATCAGCTGATTTTCAGCCATTACCCATATAATCCTTAATTATACTCTGCCACAATGTTTCTTTAATATTTAAAGCTATCTGTTTAATTTAAACTTCAATTTAATTTTTATAACCATGTGAGCTTAATATTATACCAATTTAATTATTTTCTAAAAAATAAAATAATAATCCATCAGTAATTTTTAAATTTATGGCAACAATTTAAAATTAAACATCATTTCGTTTGTTAAGATACAATTGCATGGTCGCTTTTGGTTTGCTCCAAGCTTGGCTAATGTGGAACTTCGTCAATTTTCATATGAGAAAAAGGAGGGAAAAAATTGGTGGCGATAAAAAAATGTTGAACTTTTTTTCGTTCAAATCTTCATCCACAAAGAACAAAAATACCGAAGAGACGAAAAAGAAGAAGCGAGATTCTAACCGATCCAAAAGTTTTTTATTACATGAATTTGAGAATATATCTATATGCATGAAATATTGGAACTAATTTATCTTGTATTTCATTATTTTAAGTTTCCTCGAGTAATTATAAAAATTAAATAATCTCGCGAATATCTATTTTTCGATAGATTTAGTTACAAACAATTTTAAAAAATTTTCTTACCCTTTATAGAACTAGGAAGATTATCACTAGAATTTACTTAGGCTGGATAAGTGTTTCCTTGTTTTCTTCTCTTATGATTTTATAATAATGTAATGTTTTAATATGAGAACTCGAAGTTTTTAGAAATAAAATAAGATCAGTCCGATATTCATATATATTTCTTTTAAATTAAAATTAATTTTTTTTTCTTGGGCGTGCTTCCAAATGACTTGCCCATATTGTTGACATAATTAAATCAAATTAATAATTTATTATTTTAAATAATAATCAATTCTTTTTGAATTAAAAATATCTTATCAAACATTCTAATTGCTAAATTTAAAAATGATTTTATAGACTAGAAATGATTATTTTTTGATATAATAAACTCCTTTAAAAATTACTTTAATGTTTAATTAGGAGGATCTCTATAATTATTTTAATCTTGCTTTAATAAAATATTTTTATGTTAAGTTTGTTTAAAAAATATTAATTCCTTTATTATATAAAAATATTAGTTACTCATTAAAATGATCAAACATACTCATTAAAATGATCAAACATTTTTTAAAATTATATACTAAGAAATATATTTAAAATTAGCATAAATGGGCAAATAAATATGATCTTTGTCAGCCTTACGGGCCCAAGATATCAAAAGTTTACTTGTTAACCTTTACAAATAATCTATGCGCTAATTTAGATAGCTATTTTTACTATTATTTTTATTTTAATAAAAATTTCTTATAAATTATAATAATTTTTTTTTCAGATCCAGTTTCACCCATTAGCAATCATGACAATGAAAATAATCATCAGAATCATAACTCCAAAAAAAAGTTATAAAAACTAAAGAATATCACAGTATATATATATAATCCTTTTTCTTAAATTCAATTCATTATATTTTTATCTAGTTTTTTTTATATAATCTTTTTTTTGTAATTTTTATTTAGTTTTTTTATGAAATCTTTCTTGAAATTATAATTGCAATATTCTTTCTCTCTATTTAAAATTCTCCCTCCCCTTTAAAAAAATATGCAGGACCGTATTTATATATCTAAATTATATTAAAAGGGCAAAAAAAAATGAAATCGCAGTTATAATGATTTACCTTATCAAAATTTTTTATTTAACCTTGGATTTGAAATTATTACAAGAAAAGTTTCTCTAACTTATAGAATATTTTTTTTTAAGATTTCATATTGATTAATATTATTACATGAATTTCAAGATTGGTTTAATTAGGAGCTATCAAACTTTAAATATCTTGTTTTTTTATAATTTTTTAATGCTTTAAATTGATTATCATTTTTTAAAATTCCAAGAAACAATCATACATTTATATTTTTAGGGATACATTATTGTATTATTTTTATTTTGTAATATGGGTATTACCTATGTTTTATATCCTTATAAAATAATAATAAAATTGGTCATCTAAGTAGGCTTGAAATTTTATAAACAAAACCTTTAAAACGAATAAATATGATTTTATTATTCCAAAATATAAGAAAATATATAAAAAAAACATTAATTTTTTCATTATAAAAGCTTTAAAATTATCTAATCATTTTATTTAAAAAAAATTACATGGAATTTAAATATAATAATTATAATAAGAAAATATATATTAATTATAAATTTAATTTTACATTATAAATTTTTATATTATCAAACAAATCCAAAAGTTTTTGTCTTAATGGCCAAAAGTAGTTTGTTCCGAAATATAGTTTTGCTAGAATAGAGTGGTATGTAAAGACGAGAAATACAAGTGTTAGCGGTGGGTAAATGGGTATCGTCAGGAGGTCGTATAGTTACCGACGGGGTAGGTTGAAAACCGTCTTTACTCGAAGGTAGACAAGAGGTTGACATCCAGAAATATAAGAGGTCCTGCTTTTCTGCACTAGTCATTTTATCGAGTATTGACCAAAACCATTTTCTGAAATATATTATTTTGTCTTGGCTAGCCCCTATATAATAAAATTTTGTTATAGTAAATTTTTTAATACACAAATTAATTTGTTACTGAGAAGGGGTTTATTTTATTTTTTTAATATATCCAAAATGGTCGCTTTGGATATTTTGGGATTCTAAAACTTAAGCTTGATCAATTTTAATTAAAATGCAATATTTTTTTATATAAAAATAAATAATGATTAATTTTATAAAGATATATTACCACATTCGTCATTGAAGGTAGTGTAACTCATCAATGTTTCAATTTTGAATTCACCAATGCCATTAAGTAGAAGTCTCAAATCTTCTGGAGTAAGTCCATCGAACGCGTTTTTCGGCAAAACGTCAAAGACACCCAATTTAATGTTCTAAGAACAAATAGTCGGCAATTAAAATGATATTTAACAAACTTTCTAAGCTCTGCCGAATAACCCCTAAGCTGTATTCATAGTAGGATTCGATCCGGCATGATTTAACCGTGGATCGAATTTAAAAATCTGTTTATGAGATCAATTTTTCTTTATTATAATCAATAATTCTTAGATTATTATCATAGATGGAATTTAAATAAAATTAATATTAATAAAGAAAAATTAATCTTATGAACAGATTTTAAAAATCGATCAGCTGTTAATCGTTACGGATCAGATTCCACTATAAAATGTTATTATCCAAGGAAAAACAAACCTTTTAAAAAGCGAAAGTCTTACCTATTTTCATTAATGCCTGGTATTTGGAGCTAGAATTAACCTTTTCGGCACTATAATATAAATTAGAAAAAAACCACCAAAATATTATAATCAAATATTTTAATTATTCCAATTTACTAGACTATATTTTATAGGAATTTTTTATTTTATATTTACTAAGAGGATGCAAACAATGCATTGTTCCTTTTATTTATTTTAAATTGCTATGCATCGTTAAAGGGTGGGAAGGTTTGTGGTATTTATATACCACTTAGTTTTAATATATTTTTAAAAAAATATTAATTATGGAAGGTTTGTGGTATTTATATACCACTTAGTTTTAATATATTTTTAAAAAAATATTAATTATTATATAAATAAATTTTGTTGCTATAACAAAAAATCATCAACATTTTTTTCGTGCTTGAAAAGGTTAAAAAAATATGCTTCTGGTAGCATTTAGATTTTAAAAAATGGCGTTTTAAATAAAGAATTTAGCTTCATCTAGACTGTCGGTATAGACCCTATTATAAAATGTGTAACCTCCAAGGCTTTATCGATAGCTCCTTCCATCTTATATCTCACGTAAGCTTCGACATATTCCTGCACATTGTAAGGAGTAACAGGTAAATTTGAACCTCCGGGAATCAAATCGACGGTAATTGTCGCATGATTTTGGTTATCCGCCAATGTTTCTTCCAAAGAGAAAGTCAAATCCAAATGCTTAAAAAATTGTTCGGATTCTTGGATATCTGGGATGGTAGTATATCTATTATTTGGTTGATAAGTCTCTTTGTTATCAACAGCCGATGTGGACTGAAGTGGAGTTTTATCGTGAGCTTTTAATTTTGTATAAAATAATGTTATTTTAGTAGAAAGTGATAGATAGGGGTTTGATTTTTTTATAATTAAAATTTCATAATTGGGTTTTAATGCGATGTCTACCCATGGAAACGAATTATAAAATACAAATGTAATATCATTTTATTTAACAAAATGACTGTGTATTAAGGAAAGGGTCAAAATATGAAGAGATTACAATTCTAAATAAAAACTGATTCAGATTGTAGAATTTTATTGCTGCTTATCAGAATATTACTAATCGCCAGTGTTTATCGATTTAATATGTAGGTTTGTTATAATATTTATTTTTGATATTAGGAAATAAAAAAATCACTTGATTTGGTTTATAGGGAAAGTATTAAATTATTTATATAAGAAATTAATATATTTGAATTTAAGAGAAAATAAACCATTGTTCCAATTTATAATAAACATTGATAACCACAGTTTATTCTTTAAATAAAAATCTTGAACAATTTTATATTCAATCAAATAGTCTCCCTTATACTCGATAAAATTTGGCATTGGAAAACCATCTATTACTAGTGTTTTCGATTTTTAAATTAGAATTGAATAATTCCTTTTTTAAATTTAAATTCGTTAATATTTGCGTTCAAATAATTTAATTTAAGAGCAATAAGAAAATATTCGAATAAAATTTTATAGTTTATATAGGTATATTATTTATAATCATCTAAATTTTTACTTCATGGCTGGAAAGGTATATATAAAGTGAGTGAATAGTTTATTTATAGAAATTACAAACTTATGCAAGTATAATAATTACAATATTTTGTACTAATATATGTTAGTTTCAAGATAAATTACTAATATTAAATGATAATTCCTAGCGCTAAATCAATAGAAATAAATTTTTTTTAAATAATTGGTATTCGTTTAAATTAATATTGGTATATGCATCGAATAAATGATTTGATTGCAGTACTACCTTATCGATAACTATTTAGGCTCATAATTTATAAAAAATCAAAATTTGTTATTGTAAGTAAGTAGTGATGCAAAAATACTCCATTTGAGCCGATTTTTAAAAACGACTAATTCAGTAATCCAGAAAAATAATAAGCAAGCCATATTTTTCTCATAGATGGTACAAAGGTTTGGACATCAATTGGCGAAATCTCTAGATTTAGGCAATATTTTTCAGGCTAAAATATTGAATATGCCGTTTTTAAATGGAGCGATTTTGTATCACTAATTGTAAGTTCCAGTTATTTGAATCATTTCCAGTAAAGCTTTAAAAAAGAGGTGAATATTGATAAAGATTTTTTATTACTCGACGTAGTGAAGGGTATAGCCATTTTCAATAGACATCTCAAGCTCTCGTACATAACGGGGTCATAAAATGCGAAATCATGCCAGGAGAGGGGCTTACCCATTATAGATTTCAGCACATGACGATTGAATTGAAGGGAAAATACTTCGTTTTGCAACAGACATAATCCTATTATTCTGTGAAGCGTTAATGTTATATAAATTGAAGGACTAGAAAAAATTAATAAATAAACATCTATATGTTTGTAATTTAAATTCGATCATTCTAAACTAATTAAAAGGAGTTATCTGAATGGGGGGGGGGGGGTCGGGGGAATGTATGAGCTTAAAACCTGCCAACGTTCCTAAAAGCGGATGCTCTTTCAGAATTATTTTTGACAGGCATAGGTGAATAAAAGCCGATCTTGCCAGGTTGATGGAAAAGTTGAGCCAAAGATGAGGCATCAACTGTTGAAGGTGGCGCATCGTTAGTAGTTCCCCTCGCAGATTCTTGAGATTTAGAAGTACCTTCATCTCTTGATAAATAAAATTAGCATAGTTTCTTTGGTAACAGATAAAACAAATTTTCTCAAAACTTAAATAATAAATTTTTTTTTTCTACACGAAGAGATGGTTAGTCATCTTTGGATATTTCATTCTAATACTCTGTCATAGTTCAATCAAATAGCTAAAAAAATTCTAACCTAATTTGAGAATAAATGTTATTCAGCGCAAATTAATTCCTAAAGTGGAAAATTCAGTGAATTTCACTATATAAAATTGGTCAAAAGTATAGCAAAAAAAAATTGTAGATTTAAATATTACCCAATAATTGTTTTGCCTTTATCGCCAGTGATTAGCAAAGAATAGGCTTCGTTAACTCGTACCCTAAGATTTTCTTCCGAGGCCAAGAGAAACAATATGACAGCAGGAGCTAACTCTAAAATCATACCAGTTATTTGATTGGCAAATTCCTTTGGTTTAGATGAAAATATTTTTTAAAAAAATTATAAAATGCGATTATTATTTTAACACTTATAATACTCCTTAAATTAGTGAATGAGATCTTAAAATTAATAAAATAAGTGAAGATACTCTTATTAAAGTCTCAAATATATTTTTCTTATTTTGAAGATCACGCTAAAATCAATGGATTAAATTTTTATTTTTTTTAAATTATTAATTTACGGAATTGATGTCTCTTATCTTTAGATATAACCTTTCCCCCAAAAGAGCTTGGTTGGATGTTAGCCCAGTCGATGATTCTTCGTTATTAGAGAGGTTAGCATTGTTAACACCAGCAGCTCTCTGAGCTTTAGGATAAAACGGTTGAGCGGAAGCAGAAAGGGTTACCTTGAAACAGGAAAGAGGGGAAGTGGTAGTGGTTGTCACTTGAGAGGTTGGGGTTAAGAGAGATCTTTGCTTTTGATCTTTAGATTTTATTCGGTTCCAAATATCTTTAAATTTAAAATATAAAATAATAAAAGGTCAAACAAATTAAAGTGATAAAGTTTTCCCGGTTCATTACAATCTAGCCGCTATCGGTATTTTATTGTATTGCTTCACACTACAGAAATATTTTTTCACCAAAAAAATTAGACAATTGCATTACTATTCGAAAAAGGTGACATTATATTTTAATCAATTTTGTATTATTATTGTATAGGTCTAATATTTAATTTTAAAAAAAACAAAATATAAGAACGAGTTTTTAGAACAAATTTTATGGATATTTCGTTTTATTCTTCTTTCGGCTATTATTTTTATTGATCAACAGTCAAACCTGTCTAATTGGGGTACCGTTGGGATGAAGATTTTTGCCCAACTTAAACAATTGCCCAATTGACCAAGACTTTTTACATTATTTTAACAAAAGCATTAAACTATCTATTATATTCTTGCAAAAAGTGAGATAATGTTCAACCATTTTCAAATAATTTTCACATTTTTAATGATTCATCATCATGAGTAAAATTATGTATGTATCATGTGGGTTCTGATTTTCTCAATTTTAAATCAATTACTTGAAGGAGATTTTTAAATTTGAAAAATCTGATTTGACCGGAAATGTATAGTATGTATATAGAACCAACACTGTGAACTTCAGAACATTTTACAGTGAATTTTTGAACTTCACTTAATTACGTTGACATACGCCGAAATGAGTTATTATTTATATATATTTTTTTGATATAAGTAGAAAATTACACAAAATTTAATTGGAAAAATTCATAGGGTAGTTACTCTAAATATCGTCACCTGAGAATTAGGTTTTTCCATATCCATTTTTTGTCAAACTTATTCATGAAAATTAATTTTTATAATTTCATCAATCCATTTACGTAAAAAAAATTCCAAATATATATGAAATAAGTAAAATTTTAGCCAATAGGTTATGCCATCCAAATGTAAACTTAATTTTTAAATTGTTCTGTAAAATTACAAAAAGTGGAGATGGAATAATGTAATTCTCAGGCGACAATATGCTGGAATATATTTCCTGTCAGAGACTTAATTTAAAAATCGCTCAAATGATACAATATTAAAAGTTTTGGAATTCCCATGGATTCCTCTTCCCAATACGACATGTTCATAAGCTTAGACAAAATAAGTAGGAATGTATAAAATTATTCCAACATGATTACATACAAAATAATAGTATAAAAATTAATTTTGAAATAAAATAAGATGTTATCTTTGTATTTATTTGACACAATATGCTTTATTTGATGGCGCTTGATAAAGTCTTCCTTGGATTTATAAATCAAATCTTTTATCAAATACTTTTTGAGTATGATGATTTTGAAATTTGTAACCTAATTAACGATAACGCGTATATTTATTTCTTTATAAATTTTATATTATTTCACATGAATAGTTATAAATAGATAATAAAATTTTATAATATAAATGAATGAATGCAAAAAATAATAAATGCCTACTTTATAAAGGTCTTAAGTAAATTGCATAAGAATTAAAATCTGCCCACTTTTTAAAGGTAGATGTCCAATTTATCAAGGAATTTTCTCATAATAGTTAATAAAAATTTTGGTCAAATTAAAGAATTGACAAAATTAGACAGGTTTGATTGTATATGTTTTCAATTATATTAGAGTAGTGCAACTGAGGATAATATTGGGAATTATCTTCATTCTTACCTTAAAGGTCAAATTTAAAGAAATAGTATATTGATAAAAATAAAATATCTGTGGAGGAAATTTCCAAGAAGAATCATTTTTTTGTGATGAAGATATGTCTAATGACTCAGATGAAGAGCTATTAAAATTCTTATAGAAAAAAGTTGTATCATTCCTAAAAAACCTTAAGGCCGTGTCCTCAATTTTTGATTATTTCTGATTTAAATTAGTTTACTCAGATTTTAAACTAAGATACCATATTCTGTTTTGTATTAATCTGTATACTATATCTAAATAGCCGATCTTTATCCTGTTTAGAGGAATAGACGGCTAAACAGATTTCTGTTTAGAAATAAAACCGTGGACATGGCCTAACAATTTATAAACGTTAAATCCCTATTTATAAAATATAATACACCCTTTCCATCCTCAGTGCCTAGAACGGGTTCTCAGCATAGCAAAAGCCGAGCTGAGTGAAGTGATCATTAATAACTATCACCATTAATAAAAAAGATTTTATAAAAAAATCAAAATCTTATAAGAAAAAATTATTGTCCATATATTTAATTTTGTGTATAGATTGATGAAATAAAAGTAAAAGAATTTATTCAATCTTTTTTCATGGTTTTGGTTTAAATTTTTTTAATCTATGTTAAAACGGGGATAACGTAATCATAAATTTTTGTAACGTCAACAGCTCTAATATATATTATTTATTGCGTTAAAAAAAGCTTTCATATAATTTTTTTTTTCTGCGTAAGTAAAAAAAAAGCTAAATATTTTTAAAAATAAAATACTGAATTGAAGACTTTTCAGCGTACCAGGTAAGCAGCCATCCAAATTCGGTAAAATATCGGAAGAAGCAAAAGCCTTTTTTCATAATAAATTTTTTTTAAGTTAAAAATATAAGACTGATAATTGTTTTTTTTTGTAAATTATTTGTATATTAATATAAGTTCCCTTTTCCCAATAAACCATTTTGACAAGCCATCATCAAATATGTTCTTTATTATACCGTAATTCTCAATGCAAAACCTCGTAAGTGGAATTTTTAGAAATGTTCAAGAGACAAAAAAATCATTCAATAAATTTTATTGTCTCTAAAAAATTAAATTCACAAACTTTTAAAACTATAAATGAAAATAAATAAATAAGGTATTTTAAAAATGAAAACATGCCCCAAACATAGTTCTAGAAAATTGTATAAATTTAAAATATATTTTCATTAAAATCTTATAATTTGAAGTTTTATAAAGCTTTTAGAATTTTTTTAAAAAAGATTTTGGACATTGCCTTAATAAAAAAAATTGATAATAATGTGATAAAAAACCGTTTCTAATAATCATAATGTATGTGCCTCATAAAATTTGCTTTACAGTTAAAATGGGGATTTTAGGAGATGGTTCTCTATGTACCCCAATGTGAAAAATAATGTTTCTATAATTAAAAAGATTCGAGCTTTTAAATAAACATTTTTAAAAAATTTTACTTAAAAGGTCTTGCCTTGAGGATGACTACATCTTATAATCTAATGCACATTTATAAAAAATATGAAAACATATGAGATACCGAAGCAAGTGCAGAGTAGAAGCTCCGAGCCACCCCACTGCCTTCGCCGGGTTCGTCTTTAAATGTGACCTTGACTTTATGGACGGCCAAGGGTGGGCCGGAACAATTGTTACTGCGACGCGAGTAGAAATGATTGAGTTGCTTGATGGTTTGTTTGAGCAACGTTTCCCGTTCTCGTTCAACCTTTTTTTAATTCCACAAGAAAAATAAGATAATGAAAGTTATATCAACAAAAAAAAATTGAAAAAATGATATCCCTTAGCAATTCTTTATTAATTTAGATTTTAAAATAAATTTAAATCACATGTCGGAATTAATTTACATTCTCTTTTTTCAAAATTTTGCAGAATATATTGTTTGACAAAACTTCTATAAAAATTAATCAAAATAAAAGTTTTTTTAAGGTATCATAAAAATTAAAAAGAAACGCAAAAAACTTCTAAAGTAAGATCCTTGGCTTGGGAGTTCCTGAGTTTCTCCATATCTGCCCTAAACTTGGTCTCTTTAATTGGGAATCCGCCCATCTCAACGAAAACCGATCCAGGCTCCAGGCCCACGTCTTCAACAAACATCCGGCCGAACATGTCTAGGCAAGTGTTCCAGCGTCTTAAAATACAATCCGGTTTTATTTGAGAAATTGTCGATTTATGACTCTGGCTTTGATTAGCTTGGTGTTTCTTCATTTTTCGTATAAGAATTTAAAGGTAAAGTTAGCCTTAGCATATATAGTATATAACATATAGCAAGTTTCGATTCTATAATAATAGGATAACAAAATTTTCGTCAGTCCCAAAATTATGACTTAACGAAAAAATATATATATATAATCGTTATATTAATTAAAAAATGGTAGTTTTTTACCCATATACTTTCTTTATGAGCAGACGAAGACATGCTAATAGAAAACCTCGAATTTCTGGTATACTTGATGCCACTTTTCGCGTAATTTCTCTTGACTTTCAAACAAAGACCGTCAGACCTGCAAATCCGAAACATATCCTCTTTCCTAGCTTCCGGTTTAAGCAAATGTGGCTCTTGGGCTAAAGGGAGGCTCTCTAGGATCGGGGTAGTGAAGGGGTGAGGGGCCGGATACCCTAGATGTAAGGTAGATTCAGTTCTGCGAAAAAAGGGCTTTATGCCTCGGCGGTTATTCCATGCGTGAGAATGGTTATGTCTTTTATTCTTGTTTTTCTGAAAAGGTTAAAGAGACCGAGGTATCGATCAAATCGTGCATATAAACATTTAATTTAAATTGAGAAATTTTTCAAATAATAAGGAAAAACTAATTTATTTGAGTGTATGCAATTGAATTTGTAATGCTGAAGTGAGGTTACAATTTATAGTTATAAGAGAAAAGATAAGATTAAAAGATTACCAATCGTTTCAAAATGTTAGAATTAGGCAAAATTTAATAAGTAAATTATAAGGTAGAGTAAACCATAGACTTATTATTATAGACTGCTTAATAAGCCAATAAAAAACGTTACCGAAAAATGGGAGGTTAATTTATCTATTTAAAATTTTATTTAAAATGGGGAAAAATATATAAAAACGCAATATTATCTTCTCCATGACTTATAAATATTTTATAAAAAGTGTAACTGACCTTATTTTCATTGTTAGCGGAACTTTTTTTCCATCTATCGTCGTTCAAAGGTTCAAATTTTTTGTTTTTCCTATCGCCTTTGTCTTCTTTTCCTTTCAAAATATTACTGGATTCGAATAAATCTATATCTATTTCATTTGAATCTTTTTTAAATTCCATATAACTACTGCACGCCGTTTCACCAGCCTTAGTGATTTTATTTTTATTAGTTTCTTCTTGTTCTTCGTTCTTGCCGGTATCAAACTTAGCTTTTTTGGTGTTGGGTTTGTATTTACTCCCAGTTTTAACGATTTTAGAAATTTTAACTTTTTTCTTTCGCTTAGTCGCTCGAGGTAGAGCGGAAGCTGAAGAGGAGGAATCTGAAGTATTTTCGTTAAGCGAACGAGAGGACGTGGAGAATGAGTAGGAACGGGCAGAAGTGCTGGGACTTGGAGAGGACGAGTAGTCGAAAAAATTATCTATAAAATTAAAAATGAATTGATAATATTAATTTAACCTAGTGTCATTATAACAAATTTTAGAGTTGATAAGAAATATAAAATATAAACAAAACTTAATTGTCTAGTTTGTTTATATTTAATCTAGGTGTCTAATGTTTTTTTAAAAAATATGTTTTTAAATACATTTAATATATAACATTATAAAAAAATGTAATAAAACAGTATAGATGTTGGATTTAATATTTTTATTTTGTAATAAATCAATAAAATAAGATTTAAAATATATGTTAATTTTTTTTTCTATTTACATTTTTTTAATAAAAATCGTTTTTCAAAATTTTCATTTTATAAACAAGAAGTTTTAGTTAACTCTAAATTTACTACGATAAAAATGCATTCAAGTACTGACGTTGCAATGTTATATTTGCTGAATAAATATCTAATTTCTGGAAATTTATTCGTATTGATGTTTTATTTTGATTTCAAAAATTTTTGATAGACAATCATCGTCCGTCCGAATTTTTCACTAATGCTTCGTCAAAAAATGAAGTGATTTCAGAATAGACTTCCTTCTGAAACTTCTAGATGATTTCAGTTTTATACGAAAATATGATACTAGTTTATTTTTAATAATTTCATTCCGTGAAAGCCTTAACAAAGGCCATTTAACTACCAAATACAGTTGGAGGAAATACTAGACTGTTCTTCAGTATATATATATATAAGCAAAAAACTAAAAAGATTAAAATTTAAAAATGGATCTGATAACGATAAGTTAACTTTTATCAATCCCATCGCATCTATTAACGTATTTTTCATTTCATTTTATTTTAATAATTGATTTTAAAGAATCAAGTGTGAAATGCATAATTAGGCCAAGATAAAGATATCCTGAGTTCAATCATTAGATTTATCTATCTATTAGAATAATTTATAAACTTAAACTAATAAGCTATAAACCATAAAAGAGAATAAATACTAGTCAGAAAGTAAAGTGCGGTAAAAAAATGTTTGAATGAAAATAGTTATAAAATGAGGTCTTTTATTTAAAATTTGTTTTTAATTATAAACGCAAAAAAAACTAAAGCGTGGGTCAAAAAAAAGGAATGCGTTCACGTTTAAAATTCGTCTAAACTAAAAGAAACGCCATTAGCCATGTTTTTTTTAAACGAATTTATTCATGGATCCGTCCAGTTAATTATATATCTAGTATTTATCTAATTGAAATGTAAACAAAATAAAAATTTATTTAATTGTATTCAGTTTTATTCAAAAATAGATATCTATTAACATTAATTAAGTGAATATGAATTTATTGATAAGGATACTGCGAATAATAAAAAGTATATTGCGTATAAAAAATCGAAAATTCAAAGATAAATAAGAATAGGTAAAAAAAAAGAATTATAAAAATTAGTTTAATTCTCATATGGATCCTTAGTCATTTCTTCTAATAAATTTGGCTAGGTTTTTAATTCTTAATTGTGTATAAATTCCCCCGTAACTTTATAATTTGGAATTACATATGAAGATAGATAGGATCGCTACTGTCATTAAGAAATATTTAACATTTACACTTACACAATACAGAAATTTAATAAAAGGAATAATCTCTAACTAATTTTTGCTTTCGATTTCGTTCTAATAAAAATAAAAAATTTTAAATTATGTCCCGGAAATTTTGTGTTACTAAAGTAACTAAAATAATCTGAGGTATTTGAAAAGCAACCTTCAATTTATTAGCCATTTATCGTTTGAAGATAACGTTATATGAGCAATCAAAAGGAAAATAAAAATATGTATCATTATAAAAAAATCTTTGACTAATTTAACCCAATATTTTTAAAATAATGATATATTAAATATGCATCATATACACATTTTTAGATCAGGGGGTGTCCTGACTCGTGTTGTTAAACCGCTCATTTAAAACGGCTACCTCAATTTTATTAGGAAAAATATTATGCAAGCCTTAAGATTGCTCATGTGTGGAACAAAGGATTGAACATCTATTATGAGTTAGCCGTTTTTAAAAATCGGCTTATATCGAGCCGTTTAACAACACTAGTCCTGACCACCCTGAATACCCCTTAATTATGCCACAGATTTTGAATAATTAGCTAAGATTTTGAAAGAAATTTCTATATTTTTACTTACTTTTAAATGGTCACTTAAAATTATAATCAATCCAATATTCCACGTTAAGCATATAATAGGTAAATAATGAATTCACCTTGGCTATTCTCGCCCGATGAGTCACCCCATGATTCGTACCCTTTTCTTTTCCCTGATTCTTTCTGCTCATCGTCGTCGTCTTCCATGCTATCATCCAATTCCTCTTCATCCTCATCGTCAAATTCTTCATCGCCCTCCTCGCCCCACGCATTGTGCCGGTAATCGTCCTCGTAAATATTGGCGTTCTCTTCCTCTTCGTCGTCATCGAAATACTCGTAATTGTTGTTGTTGTCGGTGGTGGCGATGTTGTCCTGATCACGGGCGTTTTCGGAATCGTAAGAGGTTTCCACGAGGGGACCGTCAGCGTTTTTGGAATTAGAGGAAGAGAAGTAATAAAACCTGTAAAAGAATCATCATCAAGATATTAAATTTAGGTATATTTTAAAATAAATAATATTATAATTCCTCATTAATAAGGCTACGTGTAATAGTACAGATACGTGAGAGTATTGCAAAGTGGGCTAGAAATGCTTTTGGGAGGTGGGGCTTGTGCTAATTTTTTTTATAACTCCTCAAAGTTACACATAACAATAGTTTAGTAATATGTATATTTTTAGCCGTTTACGTCAATTTTTAAATGCCTAAAAAATCGACTAACCCAGTTGTTAGCCGAAAACTATCACTTTGGTCTAGGGGTTTTTCTTCAATATAGTAACTCAAATTTGAAAGAAGCTATTATGAATTAAAATGCCTTAATATTAATGGATTTATTCCGGCATGTGCCTGTAGATTGAGCCGATATTTAGCCATCAAACTATACAGTAGTATCTTAGGCGGAATTTTAAAAAAAACCTTTTGAGTTTGTTCTTTCCGCGAGATTTCTTTTGCTTCCCGTCCTTACGCTTTACTTCCCGGGTACTTGCACCCATCTTTTGCGCGGTAGCCTGCCCTTTAGTATTTTTGTCTTCTTTCCCCTCGTCATCCTCAGACGACGAAAATTTTGGTTCGGGTTGCAGTGTGGCGTCATCGTGATTAGCCGAGGTCCCTTGTCGGTTGGAATCGTCGAAAGTTACTTTAACGTCTGATTTGGAACTCATTGTGAGGGAGGAATCTTTTTTATTTTTATTGCTCGATTGATCCTCGTTTGCCGTGGATACCTCCTCCTCGTTTTCAGTAGTCCAAAAATTGGAGAGACCGACTTTATGATTCATGTTAATATGGTTATTTTTATTTACACTAAAATCTTGGCAATAATAATTCAACGGAACTGGTTCAGAATTTTAAAATCTTTTCGACCTGAGTTCATGGAACTGCAGATCTCTGATATATACATTTAGTGTTGCGTAATCGGCTAAAAACTACGCCTAAGCCTAATAAGGCTAAGCCTAAAAATCGGCTAAGCCTATTAGGCTAAATCTATATATATCTGCTATAATTAAATTAGTCAAAATTCTGCATCGATGCTTAGTATTAATTATTATTTATTTATTTTAGTAAAATAATTTATTTTATTTATATTTAATGTAAATATTTTATTATTATCAACAAATAAACATGATATGATTTAATATTTTTTATTTATATTATTATATTTTGAAATGAAAATAAATTTATTTATTTGATGTTATTTTAATAAAAAAAATAATATGCTACTATATTGTAAAATTGTAATATTCTTTTTAATATAATTTATTAGTGATTTTCACAATCTTCTTTATAAATACATCGTTTATTGAGGAATTATATTGTAAATTTTATTAGATAAATAAACAATCTTTTAGGTGAAATCTTTTATAATTTTTTTATCATTTAAAATTATCTATTTTTTATTAAATGAGGTGGATTTTATGAAACTTTTTTGATGATTTTATATGATATTTTTAAGGATAATATTTTAATGTGACAATTGTCATAATCGTTATTTTATAAGTTTTTTGAATTTTTTTGAAGAAAATAGGTTAAAATAAGTATTAATAACATGTGTAAATATAAATTTAGTGAAGATGTACCAAAGAAAAGTGACAATTGTCATAATCGCTATTTTTAAAGTTTTTTGATTTTTTTTGACGACAATATGTTAAAATAAGTATTAATAACATGTTTAAATAAAAATTTAGTGAAGATGTACCATAGAAAATTGACACTTGTCATATAGTTATTTTTAAAGTTTTTTGAATTTTTTTGAAGAAAATATGTTAAAATAAGTATTAAAAAAATGTTTAAATAAAAATTTAGTGAAGATGTACCATAGAAAAGTGACAATTGTCATAATCGTTATTTTATACGTTTTTTGAATTTTTTTGAAGAAGTTAAAATAAGTATTAAAAACATGTTTAAATAAAAATTTAGTGAAGATGTACCATAGAAAAGTGACAATTGTCATAATCGTTATTTTATACGTTTTTTGAAGAAAATAGGTTAAAATAAGTATTAATAACATGTGTAAATATAAATTTAGTGAAGATGTACCAATGAAAAGTGACATTTGTCATAATCGTTATTTTATAAGTTTTTTGAATTTTTTGAAAAAAATATGTTAAAATAAGTAGTAAAAACATGTTTAAATAAAAATTTAGTGAAGATGTACCATAGAAAAGTGACAATTATCATAATCGTTATTTTATAAGTTTTTGGAATTTTTTTGAAGAAAATTTGTTAAAATAAGTATTTATAACATGTGTAAATATAAATTTAGTGAAGATGTACCATAGAAAAGTGACAATTGTCATAATCGTTATTTTATAAGTTTTTTTGAAGAAAATATGTTAAAATAAGTATTGATAACATGTTTAAATAAAATTTAGTGAAGATGTACCATAGAAAATTGACATTGTCATAATGGTTATTTTTAAAGTTTTTTGAATTTTTTGACGAAAATATGTTAAAATAAGTATTAATAACATGTGTAAATATAAATTTAGTGAAAACAATGAAAAGTGACAATTGTCATAATCGTTATTTTTAAAGTTTTTTGAATTTTTTTGACGAAAATATGTTAAAATAAGTATTAATAACATGTGTAAATATAAATTTAGTGAAGATGTACTCTATAAAGCGGCAATTGTCATAATCATTATTTATTAAATTTTTTGATTATTGTTGACGAAATAATATCATGTTTAAATAAAAATTTAGTGAAGATGTACTATAGAAAAGTGACAATTGTCATAATCGTTATTTTTAAAATTTCTTTGATGTAAATGGGTAAAAATATAGATTGTAAAATTAAAATTGCCTGAGTATATGCCATAGAAACACATATGGTAATAATAGATTCTTCCCCAAAAACAGGAGCAAATTGGCATTTTAATACATTTGTTAATCGGGTCAGAAATTAATATGCAAAATTTATATCATAATATCTAATCCTAAGTTAGAAATTATTATTTTTTTTACCAATTTTCATCAGACAATCTTGTTTAAAATTTGGGTAAACTTTTTTTTCTATTTTAAAATCAATATCGATGCAAGTTAACTATTTTCGTCAAAAAAAATCAAAAAACTTTAAAAATAACGATTATGACAATTGTCGCTTATCTAGAGTACATCTTCACTAAATTTTTATTTAAACATGTTATCAATACTTATTTTAAAATATCTTTGTCAATAAAATTCAAAAAACTTTAAAAATAACAATTATGACAAATGTCACTTTTCATTGGTACATCTTCACTAAATTTATATTTACACATGTTATTAATACTTATTTTAACATATTTTCGTCAAAAAAAATCAAAAAACTTTAAAGATAACGATTATGACAATTGTCACCTTTCTATGGTACATCTTCACTAAATTTTTATTTAAACATGTTTTTAATATTTATTTTAACATATTTTCTTCAAAAAAATTCAAAAAACTTTAAAAATAACAATTATGACAAATGTCACTTTTCATTGGTACATCTTCACTAAATTTATATTTACACATGTTATTAATACTTATTTTAGCATATTTTCTTCAAAAAGAATCAAAAAACTTTAAAATTAACGATTATGACAAATGTCACTATCTTTACTAAATTTATATTTAAAAAACTTTAAAAATAGCGATTATGACAATTTTCACTTTTCATTGGTACATCTTCACTAAATTTATATTTACACATGTTATTAATACTTATTTTAACATATTTTCGTCAAAAAAATTCAAAAAACTTTAAAAATAACGATTATGTCAATTGTCACTTTTCTATGGTACATCTTCACTAAATTTATATTTACACATGTTATTAATACTTATTTTAACATATTTTCGTCAAAAAAATTCAAAAAACTTTAAAAATAGCGATTATGACAATTGTCACTTTTCATTGGTACACCACTAAATTTATATTTACACATGTTATTAATACTTATTTTAACATATTTTCGTCAAAAAAATTCAAAAAACTTTATAAAGATTATGACAATTGTCACTTTTCTATGGTACATCTTCACTAAATTTATATTTACACATGTTATTAATACTTATTTTAACAAATTTTCGTCAAAAAAATTCAAAAAACTTTAAAATTAACCATTAACTAAATTTATATTTACACATGTTATTAATTCTTATTTTAACATATTTTCGTCAAAAAAATTCGAAAAACTTTAAAAATAACGATTATTACAATTGTCACTTTTCTATGGTACATCTTCACTAAATTTATATTTACACATGTTATTAATACTTATTTTAACAAATTTTCGTCAAAAAAATTCAAAAAACTTTAAAATTAACCATTATGACAATTGTCACTTTTCATTGGTACATCTTCACTAAATTTATATTTACACATGTTATTAATTCTTATTTTAACATATTTTCGTCAAAAAAATTCGAAAAACTTTAAAAATAACGATTATTACAATTGTCACTTTTCTATGGTACATCTTCACTAAATTTATATTTACACATGTTATTAATACTTATTTTAACAAATTTTCGTCAAAAAAATTCAAAAAACTTTAAAATTAACTATTATGACAATTGTCACTTTTCATTGGTACATCTTCACTAAATTTATATTTACACATGTTATTAATACTTATTTTAACATATTTTCGTCAAAAAAATTCGAAAAACTTTAAAAATAACGATTATGACAATTGTCACTTTTCATTGGTACATCTTCACTAAATTTGTATTTACACATGTTATTAATACTTATTTTAACATACTTTCTTCAAAAAAATTCAAAAAACTTATAAAAGAACGATTATGACAATTGTCACATTAAAATATTATCCTTAAAAAGATCATATAAAATAACATCAAAAAAGTTTCATAAAATCCACCTCATTTAATAATAAATAAATAATTTTAAAAAAATGATAAAAGATTTCACCTAAAAGATTGTTTATTTATCTAATAAAATTTACAATATAATTCCTCAATAAAAGATGTATTTACAAAGAAGATTGTGAAAATCACTAATAAATTATATTTAAAGAATATTACATTTTTACAATATAGCAGCATATTATTTTTTTTTATTAAAAAAACATCAAATAAATAAATTTATTTTCATTTCAAAATATAATATAAATAAAAAATATTAAATCCTATCATGTTTATTTGTTGATAATAATAAAATATTTACATTAAATATATATAAAATAAATTATTTTACTAAAATAAATAAATAATAATTAATGCTAAGCATCGATGCAGAATTTTGAATAATTTATTTTAGTCAATTTTTAGGCCCCATTTTTAGGCTTAGCCAATTTTTAGGCTTAGCCGATTTTTAGGCTTAGCCGATTTTTCCACCTAAAATCTCGGATAAGCCGTTTTTAGTCGGCTAAAATTAGCCGATTACGCAACACTATATACATTAATAAATAAACATGCACGTTTTTTAAAAAATTAAATTAAAAAGAATATAAAATTCCATACTTAAGATTATTTATAAAATTTGTAATACAGGTGTGCCAGGCGTAGTTTTCTTTAAAAAAGGATTTGGATTTATAAATAAAAATTCTATACCGTCTTATTTATGTGAAATCTATTCATATTAAAGAGGAATGCCTTCCATCTAAATTAAATACACGAGAGAATAAATTTTAAGCATTTTTCTATCATAAAATACAAGAATGATTAATTGCACGGTTACAAGTGTAGTTAAGAACAATGAATAAAATATATTGAGGACGAGCAATATAAGTAAAATCTGACTTTGTAAATTTTTTATTTTGACTCATAGATGTGCTTCGCATATATTTAATCTACTCTAATGATTTAAAAGAAGTGTAGATCCAAATGAGCGTTTGCGTTTCGTAGCAAAACGCAAATAATGCATTTCAAGTGGTATCGTGCAAATTTATCATAATTTATAAGAATTAATAAAAACGCAAAATTGGTTTGCTTTATTTTTCGAAAATGCGCAATTCGGTCGCACTATAAAGGAACAATCATATTTAAATCATAGGCCAATCATCATGTTTAATTTGTAAAGAACTCGGAATAAAAAGTATCGACAAAATAATTTACCAAAAAGGTTATAAAAATCAGCTTCAAAAGATCTTTTGAAAAGATATTAATCAATCACAAAATCCTTGGGATGTAATGCAAAAAAACCACCCAACGTACCAGAACCTGTTGAACAAATGGCCGGTACCGTACCACTTGATAGTAATGATTAAAAACAAAACAAATCAAAAACGTTTAGTAATTCCTTTTTAAATTAAATAACGTCCTGAATCTTGATTGGTGGAAAAGATTCTGAAATAAAATTTTTGTTGGTGCTAATACAGAAATAAACCTAATTTATAAATATTCCTTGGTTTAACATCTTCGGCCTAATAGAAAGAATGTTTTCCACTTTTGGCCTGATCCAATCCAAATTTGAAAACAAGCTTAAAATATAAAAAAGCTGAAAAATTAGTTTTTTATTTTAAAATATTTTTATGATTAAATCATCTAATATTTTTAGCATAGCAAAAGTCACTAAATGAATTTAACTTATTTTAAAAAAAACTATTAAAATAATATTCAAAAGGTATTTGTAAAATGTCAAGTAATTTGTAAGTGATAAATTATAATTATCATGTTTTTAGTTAAAATAAAAAAAATTAGTTTAAATCATAATTTTTATTTCAAAAATTCCGTTAAAAATGGAAAATTTTAATTTGTCATAAATAAATCTTTAAGACAATTCAATATCATAAGATTCAAACAAGGCTATATTATCAATCATCCTATTTATTTTTTTACTTCTATTCTGAGATCTCTTGTCTCTCTTCTTGTTCTTTCTACCCCCTTTACCCTTCCTCCGCCAAACTGGGCATCTCAAGTAACCCACAAAAGCGTCGAAAACGTAGGCCACGTGTCGATAAGACAATATGTCCAGGGAAGGCAGGTTGTCGAAGTGCTCGTGACTTTGCGCCCTCATCAAGGAGAGGGTATATGTTAAAAAATCTTTCATGGCAAAATCTGAGGTGTATTTTAAGAATTAATATTTTTTAAAATATATTCTCATACCTCACAACCAACCCTTTTGATATAAAAATTTGCATAATTTACATATTTTTTTACTACTTACCCTCATTGCTAAGTCAAAAATGAAATTTTAGCACTTTAACTTTTATAGGTTCAAAAGTGCAAATATCATTATAACATTATTTGTTAAAATATTTGCGTGAATCCCGGAAAATTTATAAAATATTAACTTTAAAAATCTGGGCTCTTTTTTTAAACATTTGATAACAAGATCTCAATAAATTAATTTAGGAGACTATATCCAAAATGGGATAGTTTTTACAATCAAGAATTTTCACCAATTAAACAAAGATTGAATAATAAAAATCTTATTTTATTAATGTTTTCTTGACCCCTTTAATTTCAGAAAATATAAAAGCTAGAGAAAATCTCATTTTTGTTTTGATCATAAACAAATTTTAAATAAAATCAAGGGTCGGCTGGAAATAATCTTTTTTGTTCATTTGACATGGAATTACCCTTTATTATTTATTCACTAGTTTTTTTTTTCAACTCACATTTATAAGCTTATTCCCAATCAAAACTACTATTTAGATTTCGTTTAATGTCCATAACAACCTATAAAATTAATATTTATTCACCATTGGCTAAGGTATTAATCGTCGGTCTGCTACCATTGTTCTTAGATACCCTGGGGTCCGTTGAGGGTAAAGGATTAGAAGAACTAAAGCCCTGGTTCAAATTTTGTACCGAATTTGAAGGATTATTATTGTTATTGCCAATATACGAATGCGTTGCAGCGTTGAGAGCCGCGCCGAATTGTAATTGAGATTCGAGAGAATCCATAACACAAAAAAGCCAGTCCCAAGTGGGTCGAAGAATTAAATCGACATGTTTCTAAATTGGGATGGATGCGTGATGGGAGTAAATATGGATATGCAAATGTTTAAAAGTGATATTATGTTAATCAATAAAATTTCTCATTATTTCATAACTTAAAAAAATTATATATATAATCAAACCTTGACATGATTGACATCCTTGCGAGAAAGGGTTAAAATTCTGGGCAAACCTGGAGCTTTATTACGATAATCATCGAGTACCACTAGGGATTCGTTGATCTGTCTCACCACTATACCATAAGCTCTAGCCAAATTTTTCATCGTATTGGATACACTGGCTGTCTTCGCGAGTTGGGAATTGGTGAGATTTGAGGGTAAAGGAATGTCTGAAGTTATATTAGGGTTATTTGTGACGTTATTGTTGGGGAGTACAGAATTAGTAGGGGGATTAGCAGAGGAAATATTTCGCCTGATACCCATGGAGTCGATATAAACCATGCCTGGATTAGTTACTTTATTGTGATTTTTTTTTGGAGAAAATGTAAGGCATTTTGAATTGCCAAAAAAAACTTATTTATCTTTTGCAGGTTAGATTATTATGATGCTAAGATCTGATTTACAATTAATTTATTGTTAAAAGAGGCAGCTTGAAAAAAAAATGTCATCATTAATAAATATATTTTTTATCTATGCATACTAGATTTGCTAGGAATACAGGTTAAAAATTATCTGATGGTTTTGCACTTACTAACTAGTCATACTCAATTTTATAACTGAGTCTAAAGTCTTAAGATGTTACCAATCAAGATTTATTCCAAGACGTATGCTGGTTATTCTATTTTTCTTTAAAAATTAAAATATCTTTTATCATTTTATTTTGCATAACCTTATATTGTTAGCCGTTTCTTTAAAATATAGTCAATAAAATAATTCTCGAGAGGATTAAAACTGACGCATCAGATAATTTTTAGCCTGAATCCTTAACAATAAAATAAGTACATAAGCATAAAGTTTTGTTATTAATCAAGTTTCAAATATGAGTCTGAGACTTCAGCATCATATGATCAAATCTACATTCTTAAAACTAAAGATAAAAGTTAAGTTTTGCTAATATCATTTTTAATATCTTTTAAATTCAAAATTAATATCATATATCTTGGTATTTCCATCCGGGCCGGGTCTAAAAAAATTCTTCAACTGCAGGTCTCTAATTTATTTTAACTTAATTCCTGGGTTTCCATCAATCGAGATTAAATCATTTTAAGGGCAAATTTTTTTTGATTACATTATATAATACATTGTAAAGTTATCTATCTCACTTGAAACATTGGGGGCCAAGTTCCTTTGGTAATAATTTTGAGGTTGGCTATTTTGAATAACCCATTGCATATTGGTGGGAGTTTGGGATATGCTATGAAATAAATTTAAAATATTATAAAAATTTTGACCAAAACTATGATAGGTTAGATATAAACTCTAGCAAAATAAGAAATATAAACCATTTCCGTATGAATACTATAATATTAATATAAAAACGCAATTCTAAATTTACAAACAAAATTATATATGCTATGCACTAAATAAAATCCAACTATTTTTAAAAAATAAGAAAACCTTTGGCCATGAGATTGGCGTGTCAAGGCTAAGGAATTGTTGAATGGGTAGTTGTTGTTGGAAGTGTAAAAAAGGTTATTACTATTAAAGTTAATATTGTGATAATTATCCTGCCTGGGTGCATTGCTAGCGGCAAATCCCAAATAATTTCCCTGGGCATGTCGTCGGCGACTGAGTATACCAGGTCTGTCAAGGGTGGTAGTTTGATTCCTGCATTATATTTATTTAAACGATTATTATACCATTTATATTTGTTCAACTAATAAAATGATAAAAATGGCTTATCTAAATTTTTTATTTGTTTCAAAGAAATATTTATTTTAATTATTAAATGTGAATACCTAGTGGAAGATGTGACGGGTATTTCGCTAGTGCCTAGCACTGTGGTTACCATACTTGTATCTTCCCTGTCCGCTAACACGTCTTCGATTAGCTCGAGGGCGATGTCTCTAAAATTATCGGATTGGTTTTGGGCATTTTGAACGTCCGTGGCGTTATTGGAATCAGCTTGAGATTCGAAACGTAGCTGATTTGAAGTGCTAACAGGATTGATATTATTGTAAATGTTATTTATGGGCTCTTGGATACTGATGGGTATCAACGGGGAAGTCAGGTCTTGATTTTCGTCCCTTATTCCGTCTTCGAAATAGAAATAATAGCCTAAAAAACCGGAAGAGGAAAGTAATTTAATATTTATTTTATTTTTGAGTTATAAAAAAAATATTGGTATATTATGACCAATGGCTATTTCTAAACGTTAATATGTTGAAATATAGCCATATCAACTATTTGAACCTATTCTGACTTTTAAAAATTTGCTAATAATATATGTATTATCAAATTATGGCATTTATTTAGCAGGTTTTTTTTTCGGTGCAGCTTTTATGTTGTTCACGAGGCAACGTTTAGCACAACCGGTTTATGATCATGAGATAGATTAAATATATATGACAGGATTTATATTTATTGTACTGACCATCTTCTTCTATGTTAGAAGGTGCTTCTTCTATGTTATCAACTATATTACCATAAGCATTTGACCGTTCGCTAATTGGGACCGTGATATGTGCACCTATTCATTTTATTTAAAAAAAAAGAAGTTAAATCGTTCTTATTTCTCAAGCTGCGCCGATAATATTTGGCAGATAGCAATATGAGGCGAATTATAGGGATGATACCATCTATACTCGATTTTTTAAAAATCTATTAAATAATTTAAACACGACTTTGCAAGATTTAAAAATGAAAATTCAACTCTGCCTGAAATTTCTCTAATTAGTTACATAATAATTTAATATCATATCATAATTACAAAAAATATTTATTCAATTTATCAATGTTTATTAAGTAAATTAAACGATATTTTTTTTAATAATAATACCAATTGGGAACCCAATTCTTTTTACCCGTCAATAATTAAAGAGTTACTTAGATCGTTTTCCCTTTATAGAAATTATAAACTTAATAAGAATGGGTTTAATAAGGCGTTAAGAGAGGATTCAATAAAGAAAAGGGGGGGGGGGCGCGAAATTAAAAAATGAGGATATCGCCCCATACCAATCACGGCAAACCTCGGGAATAAATGAAAACATACCTTCAGCTCTGTCGTGCTCGTTTCGTGTCATATCTTCATTATCCTCCCTGTAATAATATAATAATAATTGTGCTTGAAGTTATAGGATTGCAAATAGCAAAAAAAATTATTACCCGACAATTTCGTTTATAATTAAATCCTCTTCTTCGTTGGCGGTGGATTCTTCTTCGTCGATGTAGCAATTATCATGCAGGGCATCCGGATCGTCGTCGATTAACCTATCCATTCGGACTGCTCGTTTATGTTAAATATTATTAAAATCAATCGATATTTGGTATAAAAAAAATATGAAGAGACTTTTATTAGCTATTTATTGGTGAACTTTAACATCCAGGATTATAATTTAAAATCTACTCTTTAAAAAGTTCGAATCCTACCGTTATTATAAATGATTATTTTTTTTGTAAGCAAATTTTTTTTAAAAAAAGAAGAATAAACAGACCTGCTGTGTTATTGGGATAGCGGGACGCCTCGTTGATTCTCGAAACTAAACCTTCATCATCGTATGTTGTACTTATTCGCGTAAGGGCGTCTGGTTCCATAGTATCTTCTTCCATTTCTTCCTCTCCTAATATTTTAAAAATAAAAATTTTATAATTCTATCCATTCTTTGCTTGTTATGTAATCAAAGTGCAAAAAAATGGAGGAACTGTTTTTAAACAAAAAATAAATATTAATTCAAAGTCACAATTTTAATAAACTGGAAAATTTTAAAGTGATTGGTTAAAAATAGAACATTTATAACAATTAAGATAAATGAAATTCACCTTGGGAAGCAGCGTTATTCAAGTTCAGACCCCTCCTATTATTCCGAGAAAACCAGCGTCTACTGTAATTAGATCTGTTACTTAAACGATTTCTATCTACTCTCGGGTTATTATCGTGTGGTTCTTCGTAAGCATCGTTTAAATTATTCGCAATAGGATTAATATTATCGATAAAATCAGGCGGTATGGAGGAAGTAAAGATAGAGGTGGAAGATGGCGGGTAATTTAAGAGAGAAGATAGAGGTTCCGAAGTAAAGAGATCTTCACAGCCCTGGGTATTAAGCATCGAAAATTATTATATAAAATATTTGGATAACAACTTTTAAAATTATTTTTAAAAAAACTAATAGCAAAAAAAAAATAGTCAGCGAAAGATTGTTACTTGCACAGCTTCTACGTTTGACGAAACTAAAGTGAATGGTGTTGTAGGTTTTAGAGCACCCATCCGTACCGGTATGATCAATGAATTAGCCGTTTCGGCCAATTCTTCAAGACTAATATCTATTAGGGCCAGAAAAGCTCGCTTGCATTTGGTCAAGGGCAGAGAGTACCCCAATCTATAAGAGAGAGAAAAGTATTTATAGCTAACATAATTAGAAAAAGGTAAATCAAGAAAGTATTTAAATCGTTAGCAGGTGTCAAAAAAAATGTAAAAAATTTTTAAAATTTCTTTTAAATTCATAAAAAATTAATTAAAATTTTTTTGAAAAATCTTTTTTTTTATCTCTTCCCATTTTTAAAAATCTGGTTTTTATACTTCCATTTTATCGATAATATTTTGATTTAATTTTTTACCAATTTTAGAAGGTGATATATGTGAATTAATATTTTATTCTAAATGATAATTTTATAATATGCTATATAGTCGGAATACGTTGCTTATCTTGTTTTAAATCAATTTTAGAAAGTAAAATATTGGGAATATTGTACCCTCACCCCAAAAGATATAAACATTATATTACAAATACGAAAGATAAATCAGTAAACGTTAATATCTTTTTAAATATAAATTCAAAATTAATAGAAAAAAAACATTATTAATTTTTAAATTTTTTACTTAAATTATGCATGTTTAAAAAAAATAAATGGTGTAATTTTGCGTCAATATTTCTTAATGATCTCCAAACCCTATACCAGAACCCCCTTTTTTTAAATTTTATTGATGAACCCGAACCTTGACCCTTTTTTTTCGAAGGGTTCACATTCCTGGATAAAACTATCAAAATATTTCTAATATTTTCGTATATGATTATGAAATTTAAAAACTAAAATTTATCTTTTATTTTATTTAAATATTTTAATAAAGGAATTTAAAACAAAGGTCATATAAATAAAAAAAAACACGATTATAAAGATATAATATATATTATTTAAAAAAAAATTAAATTAGGTAATAACAAAGGTGAGTACTTGCATTGCTATATAGAAACATGAATAGCAATGCAATTACTTTGATGAATAGCCACCGTAATGGCTTTTTGAAATAGAAGGCTTCATTAAGATCTTCACTTTAGTTTAATTTTCCCCTAATAATGTGATTAATTTATATTATAAAAAAAAAAATAACTAAAAGAAAGCAAAAATAATAAAGAATAAAGTTTTCAATAGTGCAACTTTTATTTATAGCTGCCAAAGTTATAAAAATTGCAAAAAAGGTCAGTGGACATAGTGTACAACTTGACCTGCATTTTAATTGTGCCAGGCGACCCATTTAATATTAATGTGATGATTAAATTTTATAATTTGTATAGATTTCAAATATATTTCAATTTTTCCTCATAATTGTCATTTTAATTCTGAATTGCCATGCTACCCATAGTCAAATAATAATAAATATATTTATTTTAGGAAATTTTAAATTTAGATCACAGATCATAAAAAAAGTATGCTAGTTTTATTTTGTATTGTATGGGATACGATTATCCAATGATACATTGAATTTTAAATGATATGAATTATTAATTATTTTGTTTACATATATAATTAAAATTACTTTCTATTATATTACTTTTAGTTCTAAATAAAATAAATTCAATGATATCAAAATTAACGGCCAACCAGACACACCCAACTACCCCATAACGAAAAGTAGTTAAAAAATAACAGATTTGGACGTGGATTATTTTTTTTAAAGTATAACTAACGTAGAAAATATCCTTCGCTTCGCTTTTCCCGGTGCCATTTCCATATTAAAAACCACGAAAATTCTAATTACGGAACGTACGAATCGGGCGGCTACCCGTCTAGCATCGGCCTTACGCCCCTGGATTTTATCGTTTTGAATTTCCCGTATCAGAGTGTTCAAAAGGGTTTCGAGCATCTGTTTACATATAAGAATATTATAATTTATTTATCAGAATCGTATTATTTCTTTGAAGAAGCAATCACCCGTTTAATTTAATACTTTTAACCCCAATAGTTTAAATAAAATATATCTAATAACCTCAATATTGCATCTAACGATCAAACAGTGGACGAATCTATCCAATTTTGCCGAACCGGACTGCGTACTCATATAAAATTGACCAGTTTCATCCACTTTGTGAGCATACGAAGAAGTCGAAGATGGGTCAACTTCTATGATATCGGAGAGAAAGAAAATTTTTTTTATCAATTATAATTATGAAGTAAACTGAAACTATAGGTAAGCAAACTTTAAAAAAATTTGGTTAACTTCATTATTGTACTGCTTCCTATTAAACGAAATATAATCCTTAATTATGAGTTAAAAGTAAAGAGACACCCTACATATTCATATCCTATAAAGGTTATAACCGGCGTATAGTAATGGTGTTCCCTTTTCGCATTATGATCTCAGGGTCTTATAATTAGGGCTATGATGATATTAAATGTCGGGTGGGGTCGGCACGGATATTTAGCGTTTTCAAAAAATATCAGATAGGGCCGATGTTTTTTAATAAACCGACCCTATTCGATATTTGTTATTATTTTGGTTATTTTATTATTGAAGATATAATCATATAATTTTTTTTATTTAATAAAATTTCATAATAATATTTGTTATAATGTTTAAAAAAATAGCCTAAGCATTTTATACTATTTTCTGTTAAATATCTGCAACAAGTATTTTAAAATACTGTATTGTTAAAGAGCTCGATTTAGCAATTTTTAAAAACACTTAACTCAAGATTTTGGTTATAAGCAAATTACTCAAGCTTATTGATTTTACCCACAGATGGCAGAAAGGTTTGGATTCGACTGGCGAAATTTCGAGTCTTCGATAATAATGTTTTGGCGAAAATCTTGATTTAGCTCTTTTTAAAGATCGGCAAAATAGAATTGTTTAACAACACTACATTTATTCATAAACATTGCAAATATTTTAAATGAGATTATTAACTTTTGGAAAATAAAAAAATAATAAATTTAATCATTTGTGAAAGTTAGTTTTTTTAAAATAGAAAATATTGATATTTTTATGACATTGATACAAAGATAGATGGTAAATAAAAATCAATATAAATATAGGATCGGTTTTTTAGTAATATGGGAAAATATCGGATTGGTGAAAAATTTGCAGATCAGCACAGCCCTACTTATAATTTACAACATTTAGGGGTTTTAATGCTTCTCGTTTTTATTCTATATAAGATAGAGTCGTAGTTCCCCACAGTTATTTTACCGTTTCAAAATATTGATCACTTTTCATTTTTGTTAAATAAGCTGATATAAAAAATATAGATTTTCCTTCTGCATTAAATGAAGCAATTTACATTAAAATGGTGGAAAGAGGAGCTGCGATAAAAAAGTGAATTAGGACAGCTCTAATAAGTTACTCTTAAATGTTTTTAAATATCAGGGATAGTTAGTCTTAAAATATTAAACCCACCTTGATTCAAACAATTCCTAAGACAACCCCAGTCTCCCAATAACCTTTCAAGGGCGCGCCTACTAAATCTGGGAGGCTCTAAATCGTGCACCGGCATCTGGCTACTATTTCTATTGAAAGACGTATTCTCGGTTACCATGGACAACAGATTGTCGGTGGTATAAGCTGTATTTGTTTCTTGATTGTTTTGTTAATAAAATAATAATATACAGAAATACTTATTTATTGTTGTGGTCGTGAGAAAGGTATTAGTTAGTTCATAAATTCGAAGTAAAAAATATCGATTCGGTTCAGGTTAGTGTTTAAATAGTTCGCTTTGAGCTAATTTTTAAAAATGACCAACTCAATAGTTTAGTTAAAAAAATATTGCATAAGCCTCGAAATTTCGCTAATATACATCCAAACCATCGGATCATCTATAAGCAAAATCTTAAGGCTCGTGTAATATTTTGATAAATATTGAGTTAGCCGTTTTAAAAATTGACTCAAATCGATAGGTTCGTATAAAATTAATGGCCTGGAGTTTCAGTTCGTAAAAATAATAATATCGATTCGGTTGAACCTTAACGTACCAATGGCACACAAATTTATTCGAATATGAAAAATAAGCATATTTTTAAAAATTATATCACTAAATTTTCATACACAAAGCAACTAATGTTTATTTTATTATTATTACACTACATATATCCCTAATTTATAAATTATAACAAATAAGCAGTATTTATTAACTATAATGTAAATATTTATTCTAATAATGATGACTGATACTGAATGACCTATCAAAATTGATTGATAATCATTAGAAACCCAATTCAGGAGAAAATGTATAAGGTTCAGGTTCGGATTCGATAAATACTAACGGTTAATACCGGTTTAACAGTTTGGTTGCTTAAGTTGAATCCCTAGTTAAGCTGACATTTTTTTTTAAAAAAAAAGAGTTTTATTTATAGCATTCATTTTATATTGTAAAGTATTTCAAATTTAAAATGAAATCAACGAAAGTATCATTTTCAAATTTAAATTGATATTTTATGAGGTAAAATGTCGGTGGATGAAGCTAAGCATAAAACTTTATAAACTGGTGTTTTAAGGGCAAATTATAAAAAAGTGTTATTAAATAAACAAAGGACTAACAGATATCGCACAGGGTGGAAGGAGGGCACCCTAGTCTCCCATAAGGGAATGGGATCTAGTTTTTTCTCTTATCGGAGACATAGGGATTTTTAGAGGGATGCCTTAGCCTTTTTAGCATTGAGGCCCCAGAGCGCGATTTATTCAAAAAATTTCAATATGAACATGGTATAATTAATGTTTAACACACAAAATGTATAATGGCGCAAGTGTAGGAAATAGACAATGAATAAAATCTAATTAACATGGGTATATTTATAGTAAATATCCGGGGAATGAATCGTGCTAGGATTGATGTCTTTGACGATTTTGGGTGAAACTTGGGTTCTGTTTCGATGGCCGGAAATCAAGATCCACCTTTGCAGAAAACGTAGTATGCTAATGGGTGAGTCAGTGAATATCATCGGAGGGGATCCTTCTCTTGATATGCCTTATACTGCAGCAACTCCTATAGCTAGCATTAATGTGGACAATAGAAGCTGAGATACTAAGCATGAGGAGGGCCTCGTTGAAGGAGACAGAAAGGTCCCGGTATCACCAAAAGGAGAGGCAATATATTGATCTGGAGCATCAGTGTAGAGCATATAAGTAGTATGTTGTCGGAGCTTGATGGGCGATTGAAGAGCGTTGATTATCAGTGAAGCTTTTTCGAACGCTAAGTGTCCACCACGGAGGCGAGAACGGCGTCGTTAAGTATAATATAGTAAGGAAAAAAGAGCTGCGACATCTCAGTTATTGGGCAAAATGATTGACTAAGCCTAATATTCTAGCAATATGAGCCTTCCAATTGGATAATTCCATGACAAATCGACTAGTGATTCGGATGACCATTTTAAAAATGGATGAAACTTGGTATGAAGGTTAAATAGATTGTAGATTTTATACAAATCAAAATTTTAATGCCCTAGCTCAAATATAGCCCAGTTATGGGCCTTTAAGGTTCCGATTATATTGACTGACTCATCCATAGCATAATACGTTTTCCGCAGAAGTGGATCCCAATCTCCAGCCACCAGATCCTTCTATGCATAGACTAGAAGCCTTTATAGCAATTTCTCAAAACATCCCATGGATCCCAACCAACGACAATCCTGTGAACGAGCCATTTCGCATCTGAATAGCCTTTAGGAACCGTGACGTTTTGTTCACACCAGATAGACCCTGCACTACGGAGGATAGCCTTAGCCAGATCTCTCTGGACACTCTAGCCCCTTCCTTTGCAACACTGTCTCTCATCTCTGGACCCAAACTTTCCAACGAAGAACTCGATACACTTCATCCAAAAAGCTTCAAAGCAACCAAAATCCCAAAAAGATTCATCCCCGGGATATATACTATAAATATACCCATGTTAATTGGATTTTCTTAATTGTCTTTTTCCTAGGCTTACGCCATTATTCATTTGTGTTATAAATTAATTATTTTATTATAACTTGTTCCGCTCTGAGCCATTAGGACTAAGGCACCACTTTAAAAACATCCAAGTTTCGCATAAGGGGAAAGGAGTCTAATTTTTAGGTGCAAGTTTTTTCGCAAACAGAAAGGCCTTAAATTATTGGGGCATAAGATTTTTCGTGGGGCCTAAAGATTTTTGCAGTACACTTTCGAAAATGTAACAATTGGCTTATTTCCTACTTTTAAAGTGTTTTTCAAAAATTAGATCAACACATGCTATAAAATAAGTATTTTTACGGCCAAAAAAGCATTATAAAAAAACTCCCATATCTAAATTATTAAATTCTTTTGAGAAAAAAAATTATCGACTTTCTAAAAAATGTTAATTATCACATCATTCAATAATCTAACAACAAATAAAGCTCAATTTATGACATAACCCCTTGTATAAAAAATAAAAATAAATTTGTAAAAATATATACTATCGCGACTCGTGGTCCCGTTGGAAGATGATCCGTTTTCTCTCCCTTTTTTGTCGATTTTATCATACCGTCCGGAAAAATAGTAATAATCTTCATATAGGAGGGACGTGTCAGTCAGGGTATTCAAATTATTTGCGTTTATTTCCTTGGCCCCGGAGGTTGTAGTTGGATTATGGTTAGAAGATGAATGTGTGTTAGTGGTTATGGAGGAAGGTCGATACTGTCTCTGCTCCAGAACTTGGCGACCTACCGTTTGAGCTAGGTAGAGAAGAATGTGCTCGCCTCTGAAAATTTAAAAAAGTTATTAAAATATAATTTTATTCTTTAAAAAAGCGTAGATCCATTTAGAGCCCCAGAAATCTTACAACTTGTCATTTTTCTCACTGAAAGTTTTAGATTTCTGGTGCATTGAGAAGAGAAATAAATGTAGGCTATTTATATTGCATTATGATTTGAGTATTCCAATGACGTAAATACTCTAGATTGCTCATGAAGCTTTTAAATTGTTATTAAATGTGAGTGTAAATAAACTTTGGGAATTTAATTTATTCTAAGGAAATTTCATTTTTTTTAAAAAAAAGCTTAATTATTTTCGGAAAAGATGTTGAAGGTTAGACCCCACGAAAGACTTTAAATATCAACATCGTCGCTTGATTATTGTTATGCTTATAACCTTTGCTCAACTTTTTTTTAAAAACTTGAGTTAGCTATAAAAGGGATTGTTAATTATCGAAGTGTAGATCAAATATTTAAGATAAATATTAATTCGGTATTGGCATATATGCTTCCAATCTTAAAATTATCTGATTACCTGTTAAAGCTAAAAGTAATGTATTTGGTTTTTCCTAAAACAAATTTTTGTTCTTCAAAAAATCATTTTCACAAACCAGTTATACTAAAAAATAATCTTACAAATGAATATAATTATCTTGAATTTTAACAGAGTCCCATTTAAACAAAATATTGGGCCCAAAATATAATTATTTTCACTATTGTAAAGTGTGGCTTTTTTATATAAGTAAAATGATTGCACTTGATATTACATTTTAAAAAAAGATGATAGAAAATACTTATTCTATTTTACTTATAATTGGGTAGATTGTATAACCCGTCAAGCAGCATTTTACCCTCACTATTTTCGAGAGTATTAATATGATGGCTATCGTTATCGCCTCTCTTGATTCCCGTCTCTTCATCTTTCGCGATATTCGTTTTTCCGCAATATTCATCGTCTCCTTGGATTTCCATCTTTTCATCTTTCACAATATTTGAATCGATCTTTTTACTTTTCCCCTCTTTTTCTTATAAAAAAAAATAATTTTAAGGAAAAAAATGGGTGAATTATCTTATCGAAAAGCTTTCTACCCCCTTTACCCCTTCCTTTATTAATCTTTTTTTTCGTACCATTAGCTATCCCGGTTTCTTTGGTAACGACGCTCAACATTTTATTGAGAAGTTCCCATCGATAGAACTGGGATCCCGGGAGCAAGGCTTTGCAAGGGCATTTTTCCCAACAATCACAGTAGGCTGTGGGAGAAGACCGCTTAAAGGCTACCACGTGTCCTTGGTGACACACGCTCGCGCATTCGGTGCAACAACACAAGGAACCCACCAGACCACATGTTTTGCATTCAAAAATGTCCTTTTTTATTAGATTATTTTGTCATAAACATAGAGTATATGATAAAGTTTGCTAAATATGGAATAAGGAGAGTATTAAAAGTTAATAAAGTATTACATTTTGATTTTAAAAAATGTAAAAGATAACGTGTATCTAATAAGGAGAAGTTAAAAATGCATGCCACGGAAAGTATATACAAATGATTTTAAAAAATATTATTTTTATTGTTATATACAATTTATTTCTTTTTAATAGTTTTAAAAATAATTAGCAAACATTATGATATAAAATCCTCATTTGCAGATTAAATAATGCCAATGTTGGTATATTTGATTTAAATTATAATTTCATACCCTGTTTTAGCTCAATAAAGTTAGTTACTAACTTTCTCTCAGAATTTAGGAATTAATGTTATCAAAAGTGTGCGTCCAAGATGCATTACTAAAATTAGTAACCGATCTGCGTTAACCAATTTATGATCAACGATCAATATCTGCAAAAAATTCTATTTATAGATTTCATTCTTATAGCTCGTTGGATTAGGAGGTACATTTGTTACTACTTAAAGTTGTCGAAGTACCTTGTTTGCATTCTTTATATTTTTTTACATCTTAAAAACTTTTATGGTATTTGAAAAACCTTGAAATTTTCCCAACTGAGACTATAAGAGAAAATAGACTTGAAAATTCTCCCATATAAATAATAAGGTTATGGCAAAAATAGGAAAGAGGTTATTACGATTACCGATTTGAAAAAAAAATTAAAATACTTGTTATTCGATAAAATGAAAGTTCAGTAGTCACAGTTGCACCAGGCAAAGAAAGCACTTAGCCCTCTATGCAACGTGGGAAGATTCTCATAAAAGATTTTCTTAAAAATAAAAATTACGCAACTTAATTTCATAAATTCATATATAGAAGGCATTGATCTGGGCAATAACAGTATCATCAACTTATAGAATAAATATACGAGATAAAAAATGATGGTGTCCTATTTTTAGATTTTATGGTTACTTTGTGGAGGTTATGAAATTGTTAATTCTGATGATAAAAAATCACATACATTTCGACGGGAAATACCTACAACACTTTTAAAAAAATCCCCTAGTAAAGTAAAAGATGGGTACAAGTAGAATCCTACCTAGTCCATTTATTTACTAAGTGAAACAACTTTTATGTATTTAACAAGAATTACTGTTATTATAAGATGACGGTGTAAATTTGGAGGATATATAAGTAGCACATGATATAACCAATACATATTGATTATTTTAAAAATTTCATAAAATATAAAAAAAATTACGATATTGTTACTAATAAATAAACTATATATCAATAAATTTTGAAATTCTATATAATATTTTAATTATATTCAATGATAAATTATTATCTTATTTTTATACTCCTAATGGCGTTGCATATATGTAACAAATCAGATTACTATTTAGGATGATTTTACGCTGATTTTTTTATTATTTCATGGATAAAAATAAATATAATCTTAAAAAATCAGGAGATTAATTTACAAATTTACAGCGAGAAATATTAGTTGCTAATTTTATTAATTATAAGACATTAATTGCAAATTTAAATAGTGAAATTTTCTAGTTTTTATTAAACTTCTTTTAAATAAGCATAAAATTCGAAAAAATAATAAATAAAAAATAGTAAAATTCCATTTTATTTTTTAAAAACTTGATTGATATGCTGCTTGCCCGTCCAGGTAAAACTACAGGTATCATTAGAGCAAAGCGTGTGAAACGGGTTCTTCCCTGGCTCCGATCCCGGGGGAAATATCATAGATTCTAAAGCATCTCTCTGTTTCTCGTAACAGGGAAATTTAATGTTATCTAATGCCAACCTTTTAGCACAATCGAACATAATCATGGCGGCATAGTAAGCGCGGTTCTTGACGGCACGCATAAAAGGAGTATAGCCAAGTAGGTCGCTTAAAGGTAATTAATTAAATGTTTGTATAGATATTATATTTAGCTAAATCATTACTAATTTCCATATTTATGTTGTTCACATGTGAAAAATTAAGGTAACAATTCCATTAATATATTTTTAAACAGGAAACAAATATCATACGTTTGGGACATAAGTATGTATAAGCGATCATCCAATGCCTTGCATTTGTCGCACATATATTCTAATATTCGAGTGGCCTCTATTTCCCTAACTTGTGGAGTCAGATGAACAGATACAGGGTTTTTCGCTATAAATCTGTCTAAAAAATAAAATTAAGTTTTAAATTCAATTGTTAAACCAAATTTATCATAATATCGAATTCAGTTGACTTTTAAAATGGTTAAATAATCACGTGGTGACTCTAGCTATATCGATGTAAAAATAGTATAATTATGTTATCATATATAATTGTAAATTATCACAATCATAACTAAATAAAATAACAAGATTTGCAAAACTAAAATACTTATAAAATCGGCATCTAATTTCTCTTGCTCAATCTTGTCAATTTTTTCTGTCCCTTCCTTGGTGTTGTTATAAGTTATGGGAGGCTTCGATATCACGACGTTATTGCTGGCAGACGTTGTATCAGAAGTAGCGGGCCATGTTAAAATAGGCATTTCTAAGAATTCGTCCCTCTCTAATGGGCCTATATCCTGCCCGGTAACGAATGTGTTTACGTTAGGGATAGAGCTAGGGGTGTTGATATTTGTATTTGTGATGGCATTTGAAAGTAGAGAAGTTGAATTAGTGGTGGTGGTAACAGAATTAGTAAGAGCTGTATTATTGTCCCGCAATTGTTTAGCTAAATTGGTAGCTTTTCTCATAAGGTCTCGGATGTTTCTTTAGGAGTTTATGTTGGGTTAATAAAATTATTCATAAATATTTAAAAGGTTTGCTTTCGGTATTTATTTCTTAATAAAAAAAGTACCATATTTGTTTAGATATGGATGAAAGGCCTACAAAAAACCTTACGAATTGGGCCAAATCCTTAGTAGCAAAACTCAGGTATATGCTTAAATATTGTTTTAACCAAGGCCTTACAAATAATACTTGGTTTAGATTTCATCTGTCTCCTAGTTCTCCTCTAACTTATTGAATAGATTATAACAGAAATGTCACAAATTTAGAAAGTACATAGAACTTTCAGATTTTCATTTTGTATTTTCACCAATTAGTCCTTAGGCTGGCTATCATTTATTAAAGATTTTATGTTAAAAAAGATTTCAAATCATTGGGGATTGTCGTAAATACTCTTTTTAAATTTTATTTCAACTATAAAATAACGACAAAGGTGAGTGCCTGATTAATGAAATAACTAGATTTCAGTATACTAAAAATAAAATGAGGGCTTATATAGGCCAGGGATAGGGAGGAAAAAAAGGAAGATCTAGCCTTGAGTGGGTATAAGACGTTGGATAGCAAGAGGCGTATAAAAAATAAAAAAATAACAATATGTGAGAGCGAAAACTGGTTGTGAATGGAAAAGAAATAGCTCATGACTAGATTGTAGAAAGGAGACTTATAAAACTAAATTGATAGTTAATTTTTCTTGAATTTGAAATCAGGAATACGTTCTTTATAAAAAACCATTTTAAAGCTAACCAGCACAGTTTAAACAACTTTTTTAAAAATAGAGGATTCCTTTAAACAAAACACTTTTATTAACTTTCTAGAGATGAGAGAATTGCTGGAGGTCGTAGCAAGGGAAGAGCAACTGGACATGGCGTTAAGTATAGAATCCATGGCATCCCCCATGCGCGTCAATCTTTCGAGAGAATTCGATAATCTATTGGAAATGCGCGAAGTGGTTTCACCTTTTTTATGCGAATAACAAATTATTGGCTATTTATATAACAAAATTAATTTTTTTTTAACCTTTGAATACACTTTCATCTTTGGCGGTCGTCGGTTTACACAAGTCGGCCAGGAGATGTAAAGGATTGGAATTACAATCAGAATATTCGTTGTCCGGAATTATTTGAATTCTAGTTGATTTTGTCGATTCTATCACGCTAAGTATGCCCTGTTCGACATCTTCGTCACTGATATTAGCTGTGCGTGTGGAAGAGGCAAAAAAATAGAAAAAATATTTAATGTACGAGGTGAGGTGTTAAGTTTACGATTGTTTTTATTATTTTAATCTGAAATCAACTATTTAGTTGTATTAAGAGCCCACTTATATAGAGACTGGAAATTTAAAAAGTAAAAAGTGGGAAAAATATAGCAAAAAAATATAGACCCTATTAAACTTTTTTATTATAAGCTGTTTGAATGTTGCGTGTAAATATAAATCTTTAGTTTTTTATAAGATACTACTATGCAAACCATTAATTAAATTACTATTTAAAAACTTTCAATTTTTTGTTTCGTGCAAAGTTCAAATAAATAACCAAGTTTTAGTAAACCTTTATTCTGGAGGTTTATGATAGGTTTAAGTCCCATCTCCAAGGTGTTATCATCTAATGCGTTTATGGCACCTAAAACCCCGGTATAATCGCATCTCAGAAGTGGTAAAAGGAGTTGTGATGGCTCAAAACACATTAGAATTATCAAGGCTTGGTGATTCGTGTTTGACGACGATGATTTATAGTTATTAGTATTGTTATTTATCTCACTGTTCAAATTAGAAGAGGCTGAACTAGAGGATGAGATAGGAATAGAGGTACTGCTAGAACTGGAAGAGGTCATGCAACTATTGCCTATGCTAGTATTAGACACAGAACTGTTATAAGTATTTGTGGTTATTAGATTAGGCAATGGTACTCTAACCAAATGTAGGCATTGGAGGGGCAAAGAGTTCATGGGTTGGCATTCCTGCGTAAAATCGTTGCCGCTTATAGAAAAGGGGCAGAGGGCTGAGTTACCGTCTCGGATTAGCGTGAGATTACATTTCTGTCCCAGAAAAGTTTTATTTGGTGTAAATAATTATTATTATTGGATATTATGGTAATTAATTATATATGTGTAGATAAAATGTTAAAAATTATATCATTTATTTGGTAAATTTTGAACTTGGAAAAATAAATGTTTCAAATTACTATCAGAACAGAATTAATAATATTTATATTCAGATTTACGTCAGTTTTAGTGGTGTAAATTTGAGCTGACAATTTATCCCCGCAAAACTTCGAGGCTAAGAAAGGTGTTTCTTTCTCAACATCCAATTTATTTGAACAGCCAAAGTGCCCCTTAAGAAAATGCAATTTCCCCGTTATATTGTGCTTCGCCAAAGCTTGAATTTCTATAATTTTTTTATAACGAAAAAATATAAAAATCATTTTAATTTTGTTTTTATTTTGTAGATTGTTACAAGAAGTGAATACATAGAGACCTGCACTAAGCTCGGCCTGGGTACACGGTTTGGGCAGTATTTTAATTTTTTTAAATAGACACAAGCCGGGTCTAAAAAATTTTTTTTTAAAAATACCAATGTCAGGCCGTATTTTTTAAAACCAAATATTTTAAATAGTCATTAGATAAAATTTAAAAATAAACATAATATATTTTTTAAAAATCCGGTTAAAGTATAAAACCCAGCCCAATAAATCGGTTCAGCCTGGATATATTTTTTTATAAAATTTTAGGGTCTAGTACGACCCAGGGCTAGCTTTCATCTGGACCCAAAGGCCTCTAATATAGCAGATTATGCGAGGTATTCTTTATAATATTAATATGCGATCATCGATGGTGAGAAAAATCTATTTAACGCCGTCTCCCGCCCCTATCCCAACTCTCTTGTGGTTATAATATAATATGTTAAATATTGATTACTGATAGGGTCAATCGAAAAGGATACAATATCATAATTGTTAGGCAAATTGAATCTTCGAGGATTTTTAATAAAGCAGTCCGATCTCTTCATATGATTATGGTGCGAATTTGACGATATTGGCTTTGTGTGTCAAGAGTATAATAATATAATTAAAAATTAAGCGAATTCACATTTTTAGCTTCCAATAGGGCTATGCCGATATTAATATCGGATCGGATCAGCACCGATATTTAGCCTTTTCAAAAAATATCAGATAGGGTCGATCTTTTGTAAAACCTGATCCAATCCAATATTTTTTTGATAATCATATCATTTTTTTTATTTTATAAATAATTTCATAATAATAAATTAAAGAAAGGAACTAATACACAATATTTATTGTAATGTTTAAAAAATAGTTTAAAATTTTGCAATATTTTTTGTTATATTATCTGTAAGATGAAAAGAATTTATATCTAATGAGTCACATGCTAAAAGGCTCTATTCAATTTTAAAAACGATAAACTTAAAATTTTGGCCTAGAGTAAATTTCCCATGCTTATATTAATTTTTCCCAAAGATATCAAAACGGGTTGGACTTCTATTGGCGAAATTTCGAGACATGGGTAATAATATTTACTAAAATTTTGATTTGGCCCTTTTTAAAAATCGGCTAAATGGAGATGTTTAACAACACTACATTCACCCATAAACAATGCAAATATTTTAAATGAGAATAAACTTATGAAAAATAAAATAAGTCATTCATAGTTGGTTGGTTTTTTTAAAGCAGAAAATATTGATATATTTATGACATTGATACAATGATAGATGGTAAATAAATATTAATATAAATATTGGATCGGGTTTTAATAATATCGAAAAATATCGGATCGGATCGATGAAAAATTTGTGAATCAACACAGTCCTAGTTTTCAACATACTCGCTAAGAAATGGCAGGCGCCCATCTTACAATGTATGGTGTGAAGCCTTAAGGATATCATTTTTATAAAGAATTTATATTGTGTTGTTAAACGGCTCGATTTGAGCCGATTTTTAAAAACGGCTAAATCAAAATTTAGCCAGGGAAATATTACCTAAGCGTCGTGATGTCGCCAATAGATATTTAATCCTATGTGCCTTCTATGAGCAAAATATTTAGGCTTGCATAATTTTCACTGGTTGAAATATTAATTTAGCTTCTTTTAAAAATTGGCTCGAATTGAGCGGTTTAACAACACTAATTTATATAGGAAATAGAGGGCTTATAAAAAAATATTGTGAGGACCCCAAATATTTGTTTGTTAAGCTTTTTCGCATGAATTATGTGAAAGTTTTACACAACCTTTATCGTTCATAAATAAATAAAATTAATAGTGTACTATTAAGTCATCTTTCTTCAAGACTTTACAATTCCTCAAAATGGATGAGAGATCGTCATGGAAATCGCTAGATTTATAGCCTAGATTCTGTACTATAGCGTAGGCCTCGTCCACCTTTATAAAAAGAATGTAATCACATAAATATTTAATGAAAAAATTTATTAATAATTTCAAACCTTTATAACTTTCCCAACGACGGACTCATAATTGTCTTCCAAAACAATCATTTCGTCAACGTTCCAGAGTTCTAACTTACCTGAATTTCTTTTTGAATTTTCGACTAATTGGTAGTTATCTAAAGTTGACCTTTCAGAATATTTTTTCCCTTTTTTTGAAAAAAATGTTATAAAAAACAAGATAAATAATAGATTATATGGGGGAGGGGGATATTAATTAATTTGATTAAAAATAGAAGCACAAGTATGTTATTTATAATCTAAGTACCAAGCCGTTCACCAAGGTGGTCTAGGTATTTTTTTTAATTTAGCGATACAGGCTAGGCCATTAATAATGAGTAATTTTTTAATTGCCTAACTAGAATAAGAAGGTATTAAGTGCGTGAAAATTTTATATGTGATATATTTTTCAATTAAAATAGTGTCAAGAAAAATTCAGCTTGTTTTTAAAAAAATCTTTTTTATACAAATTAAGAAAACACAATAAAATCGGACAAACTATTAATGTTAATTTTAAAAAAAAAAAATTTCACCTATCTTAAATAATAAATTTATTATCAAAACTTTTGATTGGCATTGAAGCGTCGATTACATTATCGGTAGGCGTACTATGTACCTCCTCATCGAAATTTGAGTTTGTATTTGCGAGTAGTCTTTTAGCTTGCAGCCTAACATTAAAAAAAAATTTTTTTTACATCATAAAAGGACATTTTTTCTTCTATAAAAATATCATTCTAACTCATATTAAAAATTATAAAATGCCAAATGTTTACTCCAGAAAAGAGGTGTAAGGGTTAAGCCCTCAAGCTGTCTGTGAAAAGTGACATAAAATTATTGGATCAAGACTCAATTTTAAAAAAAATATCAAATGAAGCGTCTCACTCCATGTATTCATCAACAGTCACCACTTTAACTAGGGCCTGTCTAACCCATTTTTCGCCTACATCTCGGTCTCTTTTCTCCTCGAGATTCTTTTTGTCATCCTCTTGGCCTTCGCCTATCTCCGCAGAAGTATTCCTCCCTTTGTAATTATAATTATTTGTATTTTGAGAATTCTGCGTGAAGTTATTTTGCACATTTTGCTGAAGTATAGCTAGAGCGGGTTTACCACTAGGCGAGTCACAGGACAATACTAGGGCACCGGCTGGGAGAGTCGGGCGAGCTTTGAAGGTGACGAGTGAGCCAGCTGATATATGGCTTGCCGTGTGATGGGAAGAGGAGGCGCTGTTGAGAGCATGAGGCATTATCGTAGGCGCTGTCGGTGTAAATGTAGCGGGAAACGGGGGAGCAGGGTTAGATAGCAGAGGAGTAGGGAGGGAGGAAGAATGAGAAAATGAAGGTTTTTCGGAAAGTTTGGTCCTCAGTTTGGGTGGCATGAATCCCCTGAAATAAAATAGTATGAATATGTATAATTAATTAAACGAAATTGAATAATTGTTTTATTGAAGGCTACTCTAAATTAGAGGCCTGCAAGAGATCTTTTTTTTCTATACCCGACTCATCAGTGGGTTAAGCTTTCTGGATGGGCAGGTTTCACAGGCCTCTTCGTAATTTACATTTTATTTTAAAAGAGAAACATTAAACGTACCACCAAAACAATTTGCCAGAATCTGTGAGTACCATCGTATAATAATCACAAACGTCCATGGATTTTATGACTTCATTTTTCAGTTCGGGGAAAAAAGTGGCTGGGTGTTCAAACTTTTTAGCCACGGATGCTATAGTAGGATCAAACCAAGTGGCAATCTGCGTTTAAAAAAATTAGAACCCAGATGATATTGATAATAGGATTATGAACATAATTAAATGATTAATTAATTTAGGGTATTTAATTAATAATAATTAATAAAATGCAATCAATACCTTATCCGTTTCAATAATGATAGATACCCTGATTTTACTGGAAGAAATCATTATTATATTTTGATTAAGTAGACCGAGTTCAACAGTTCTTGGGTGGAAAATTTGCGTTTTATCCTAATATTTAAGAGGATTCAATTCAAAGTATAAATATTTTTAAATGCTAATTAAGTGCACAATTTTAAAAAGGGTACATTTTTTAGAAATCTAAAATTTTATTTATCTATAAACTCTAGATAAAAATTATATATTATATTAAAAGAAACACCAATATTCATGGTAACGATATAGGTAAATCTATGATTATATTAATTACTTCGAGTTGCAGGTAAAATGGCGATTTGGCATCCCAAAGCCACTGGTGTAGTTTACAGTCTACACTAACGCCCAAAAGTTCCGATTCTGTGGCTGACATATCAGAAAACTTTATCAGAGTATTTTCCTTCAAAAACAAATAATAATCATTTTAAAATCAAAATGATGGCGAAAATAAAACAAAATAAATATATTTGATCGACAGAAAATTGTTTAAGGCCAGACCACAGATAGAATCATTGAAAATCATTACCTCTACCCGAATTTTATTATCAAATTAAAAGCTTTTGATTTAATATCTTTTTATATAAAAATCAATTTATATCACAAATATAATATCATTACATTATCCATCCAATAATTAAGGTTGCCAGAAATGGACAAAGAATAATTGGTATCGCTTATGGCAGAATTATTGTTAACAGTCTTGGTAGTATTACCATGGCTAGAGTTAGCCGAGACGGCATTGTGATTCTTATTCCTAGCTGAGGATATCTTGTAATTCATATCATCCAGGTTGATTTTAAAGGTGCTGTCGTTGAATTTGTTCCTCTCTTTGGTTATAGTGCTCACCGATGTACGTCGTTCATCTCTGTCCCCTTTTAATATTTTCATTTGAAAAAAAAATAAAAGTTTTTTCAAAGATTCAGAATTCCTTGGCTATTTGGTAAATTATTGGTATAGTGGAAAGTAAAACATTTAACCTAATATTAAGTGTTAGAATAGTAGATATCCCTAATGTGGTGGTTTGGTTAATAATAGTGATGTATTAACTTTCAGGATGATAATATCTATCAGAAATCTGCAAAGGTATCATTTTTAGTTTTCCTTTATTTAACAACCCCAGTCTGGATTTTTTATTTAGCCCACCTGGATATTTAATTTTATTTTTCTATTATTTCACAACCGAAATTTTAAAATTTCGTATTTTAAATTATTTTAGCTGTATTTTGAAAATACCATTTAATGGATTGCTCCAGGTCTAACCTGATTCTGGGTCAGCACATATTACTTAACCACAAACGAAATTAAGCAGATTTTTTTACTAACCAGTAGAGGGTAGCTGCCTAGTATAATATAACCAATTTGAAGATCGGCCAGAAGTGGTTGTACCACTTGATCCTGTTCCAGTAGCGATCCCACTAGCATTAACAGTCGTATCAACACCATTAAAGTTATCACGGATTCTGGCATTAATATTTCCCTCGCCAACATCATCAGCGTTATCGTCCAAGTTATTAACGATCTCTTCGCGTTTTCTTTTCTTGATAGCGATCTTCCCGTTGGCTTGATTATTATTTCCTGAAATATTCGCGTCTGTGTCCAAGCTTAGGTAAATAAAATATAATATAAAAATATATTAAAAAATGCATTTAGGTCTATATTAATAGGCATAGCAAAAGAATATTTTGAGAAGAGTTTATTTGATGACTCTAATATAATAAAATTAAAGTAGTTATAACTCAAAAAGATAATGGAAAAGTATCAAAACAATCATACTAAAGATCCAATAGGTAATTCAATTTAAAAATTATGAATGAAGCATTCGTAATAAAAAACAGAAGAATGAATCAAATCTTTTGAATTCAATAAATAAAGATTCAATCTGGTAAAATAAAATATAATGGAAGTATGGCTGGGGGGGGGGGATACATAGTTTTCTAATTATATTTTAATTTCATTTTTATTAAGCGTTTTATAGAAAGTCTTTTATCAATTTGCATAATTACATTGTGATCGGATATTTAAAATACAATTTTATTTTGAATTGCTCTCCTAAAAAACTTTAAAAAATGGATATAGAATACTATAATATCAGTCAACAAAGTTATCTAAAGGTAGATGAAAGATTTTAAATAGATTTAAATTTTTTGGGATCCACGAAATTGTAAATACACTGAAGTCACACACTTGAAATTTTAATGATATTTAAATATTGAAGCAAACCCTGTGCTCCTGTGATTATTTTGATCTAGATTGAATGAGGTCAGCCTGGCTAAGGCTGAGCTTCCAACTCCATCAAGAAGTGCTACGAGATCGTCTGACACTGGGGTAGCTGTCGGGTTGGGGGTTAAAGTGACTGGGGCGTGTGTGGTACCATTTCTAGAAGCGCTAGGTGGGTTGGAACGACGGGCAAATGGAAAGTAGGAACGACGAGTGTGATGATTGTCATCTGCAATGAACGCATGAATTAAATAAAATGAGAAATAGGGGATAATAATAATTATATAAATAAATGAGACGAAATTTTATCTTAAAAAATGTTTATGTGTTATAATTAACATGTCACTTATTTTCTTCAAATTATTATAATACAAAATTTTAATATTTGTGGGATCATTTAAGGCAGAACCCTGAAATCCTATGTCAAATCTAAAATGGTGATTTTAAAAACTCAAAAATATGCCTTAAAAAAACTTACACACCTAAGCCACAGACTGATATTAATAAATTGATTAAATTATATCAATGAGGCAATATAATTTCATATTTTCGATTTTCCTTTGTAACTATTTACAAAATACAACCAAAATTATTCAAAGAGGTCAAAAAATTCATGCTGGATATAAAAAATATTGTTGGGCAGGAAATGGTTCTATATTTAAACTAGACCTGGTTTTACAATTTATATCTTTGTAGATTTCCAATCTAAAAATATAATATAAAAAATTAAGGAAAAAAATTAATTCAAAGACATTTATTAAATCTCATTACAATCCCCATCCATGATGTAATTATTATCAACATCATATCGAATAACATCATCTGCCCGGGGAGCATCTTGGTCATAACTATCATCAGCAGTTGTCAGATCATCACCACCATCTGGATCATCTTCTTCTCCCTCTCCTTCATCTTCCTCTTCTTCTTCCTCCTCCTCTTCCTCCCGACTTAGGAGATTGTTAACAGCCATGTTTATGTCTAGATTCTGAGGGATAATTTGCATAATTTGAAAAAAGCATTAATTGTATAATTTAATGATTTTAAAATATAAAAATGTTTATCCTCCTTTGTTTTCTTGTTATTTCTTTACCTGGGCAATCAGAAAATAAATTTTTTTAAACTTCAAATCAGATGTCTTGAAGATTAATCAAATGTCAGTCAATAGTGATAGAGAGAGGGGGGGGGGTATTTCAATAATTTTTTGAAGCATAAATTGATACTTTGGGATTCTCATGACCATTTCTTATAAATACATCTATTTACAAATTCACAAAAATCATTACCATTTATTTTATTCAGCAATAATGGCCTTCCTTATGTATTAAAATTTGCATTGATATTTAAATTTTGATTTGTAAACATAGCATAATAGTAGGAAAAAGTCTAGATTAATCATTTTAAGTTATTTTTTTAAAAAAATTAAGACACGGTCAAGTGTAAATATTTCATGCAATTTTTTATTTTAAATTATTTATTAATATGAGGTATTTTACTGTTCTTTGCAATTCTCTAACAATTACAGCCCTAGATTTTCCTTGAAGCACAGCTTGTGCTTGAGTTATAAACTCTTCTGGTACACTTGAAGCAGGTATTAAGGTACGATGTGTTAGTAAAAAATTTCCAGATCGATTTCTAAAAGTAGTAGGTATAGTTCTACGAATTCTTGATTTTGTTAGTGCAGTGGTTGAATTTTGGTTTAAAAAAATACTAGAATATGATGATAATGCTGATGTTTTAGAACCACCTAAGTTAGTATTTTTGTTATCATTAAATTCTTTTGGAAGTCTAATACACAAAAATAAATAGAAAGATTAATAACAAATATATCACTTTTTGGTAGGTTGGGGGGTGTTTTCTATTTTTTCAGCTTTGATATTATATTCAATTCGACAAATGTATCCATCCTAAATTACATATAAAATTATATAATTTATTTTAAAGTAACCTCAGTAAGAAATGCTAAATAATGCTTATCAACTAAGCATTTCTTTATTTTCAAATCCCCCAATTGTAAAAAGCTTATTGGAGTCTGATAATTATTGGTTGATATTTTCTGTGCTGCATCTTTTATTCTAAATAAATATGAGGAATGATAAATTTTTATAATTTTAATACCTTTCAAATATTTTTTCTGGTGTTATATTTGAAGAATATAGTGTTGAACAAATTATACTCATCACTTTTTCAGAAAAACAAAAATTTCGATAAAAAAACTAAATTTATAGAAGATTCCAGAAGGAAAATATTATATCAGATTCATAAGTCAATTTATAAGTGAGATTATAACTTACAAAGTCTATTATTATAGTTTTATCGCATTGAAAATTTAAAATTTAATGAGATTTGATAACTGTTATTATTTATTATGCACATAGGTAGTCTTTATATATTATAATGTCATCCCTTTCATATAATTATGTTAAAGGTAAATTTTCTATACATACATTATCTTGACAGAATAGAAATTATATATAAATTAAAAGAGAACAGAAAAGAAAAGAAGTTAAAAATATTTTTTACATTTTCTTATATATTTTTATTCAACTTAAATAAATATTACTTTAAAATATAACATTATTCCCATATATTGAGAAAATTTAGTATTTTTCTTAAATCTATTCGATAGTTTTATTGATTTATATTATCTTCTTTCGAATTTATAATGCACTCTTGTTGTAACAATTAAATGAATAATTTTAAACAAAAAATGTCTTATTCAAATTAGAAGAATTATTACGATATTACTTAATTTCATATCATATAGACTATGTAAATGAGGATAATATTTAATAAATGTAAATTTTATATGAAGGGTATATATTTGAGATTTTGTATATATAATTATACTTTTCAAGTTTTGAAAAGAATTTTTTTTAGTTTATTTTTTTATATAAGTTTTTACTATATTATTTTCTAATGATAAATTAGTATATTTTTAATTAATGTAGATGAATAAAAGAAAGCATAAATTTTGTTATTTTGTTTTAATCTTCCATATGCTTCATTATTTAATCATCTGTTTATTTAGATTCAACTATGTTTTTTATCTTTTACAATGGTGCTCAAACCTTTTCAACTCAATAACTCTAACATTAACTATATTTTGTCAAAAGCTTATAATAAATAAATGGGTTGCGATACTTGCTAGATCCCTTAAAAAAAACTTCTCAATTTAGCATATATTTATTTCTTTTAATATTAGCAATTCTAAATAATCTTCTCTGTTATTAATATAATTAATGTAAAAATTACTAAGACTAGGTAGGAGCTAAAAAAAATTGAATATTATACATAATTCCCAAAATAATGACGAAATTAAAATCTATAATGGTTAATATTAGTAAAAGTGATGCAAAATGCTTGTGTTTATTTTTTAAAACGGCTTACTCAATATATTATATAACAATATCACTCATGGTTGAAGATTTTTCTCATAGATGGAACTAAGGTTTAAACATCTATTAGCGAAACCTCAATGCTTAGACCATATGTTTCTAGCAAATATTGAGTTAGCAGTCACTAGACATTAAATAATAAGTCAATTCTGAAACAAGTTATCATGAAATGTTTCTTATAAGACATACGGAAAGAAACCTAATAAATTCTCTGACACAATAATTTAATGTTCAAATAAAATGTAGAAAATTTATAAATAATAAGAAAATTTTGATATTACATAAACGACCAATTGTAAACGACACTTGAATAAAATTTAAAAGAATAAACTGGTATTCAGATAAACTAACCAGAAAATTTTAATGACCAAAAATGTCAAAGAAATTTTTACCTTTATTGCAATACTTTTATACCAAAGACAAGTCTCACCATCTTTCAATTATATAGATATGAAGCTACAAATTTTAATCTATATATTGACATTTTATTGTGTTTGGAGTTCTTTTATAATTGGGAAAATGAAGTACACTTGTGGTCAATGTTAAATATGGTTTAGTCGACATAAAGCAATTTACAAAACAGCAGAATATTTGATAAACATGCGTATTTTTTCTAAAAATGCAATAAACCCCATTTTTTATATATATTTAAGAGACGGGTTCATTCGCTCACTTACGATAATGCATGCACTCAACCGACTAGGCCACAATGGCTTAATAAAAATGATAATTAATTTAATATAAATAAACATTGGTTATCTGGATCAAATTTTAGAGTTCGCGTATGCCATATTTTACAGGTTAATGACAGATAGCGAAGTTTATATAAAGCAATTTACGATTATTGCTTCTTTCGCGAGGTTCCTTAAGTCCTTTTATTATATTTTTTTGTTTATTATTTTTTATATTAATATTGGATTGGTTCATTTACTGATTGGTTTTATTTAATTTTAAAATAAATATTTTTTTAAATAAAAAGCTGTAAAATGTCTAAATATAAATATTATCAATTCCGCGTTTTTAAATTTTTAACATGAGCTATAATTATTAGTTACTTTTATTATTTAGAACTATAATACTTCGCTCCATTATTATTAAATATATAAGATTACTTTCTTACAAATTTAATATTATTTCCTATCTTATTTAAAATCAATATTTTTAAAATAGGTGTATATACTCAAAATGATAAAGCAACTTATGAGTTTTGTTTAAATAACCAATTAATACTGTCGGGAATAGAACATAAATGTTGCAATTCCATAATGCGGGTAAAAAAAACAAAATAAGTTTTCGATACCGATGGAATAGGTCTCGTAGATCATATTCAATAGAAGAGGTAATATTAATCTTGATATCATAAATGGCACATTTTATATTCTATTTTTGATAAGATTCGGGACGTTGGAAGATTTTTAAGACTAGTCTACTTGTACATAAATACAATTATTTAAAAAAATTACAGAACAAAATTATTTTTAAGTCTTTATATAATTTTAAGGCTTCGAAGTTATTAAATTAAGATAGGAATGTAATTGCAAGATGGTAATTTAAAGTAAAATATGGTTTTTAATTTCACTTATATAATATAAGAAATTTCGCAAAATATGTTGGTTCGATATAACTTCAAATCATTCAAAGATATGAGGGGGGGGGCAACAGCGTTATCAAAATTCAGGAATCCAAACCGAACCTGAACCGTTAAACCTAAAAACCTGTATTTTTTATCAAACCTAAATCTCTAAAAAATTCCTAGCTGAACCTGAACCGCTAAAATGCCTCTGAACCGATTCAAGTCTCATAATTTTATGCTTATAAAATAATGTGTAAGTTATTACTAGTAGTATATTGCAAAAATTTTAATTATATTCAAATTGTTTTAAAAATTATTATCACTCACATTTGATTGATAAACGACAGTGATAATTTTTATAACTTTAATATATTGCCATTTTGCAATATTTTTTAAATATTTTAAGCTTATAAATTATAATGCCTAGAAAAAAATTTAATCTAATATATAAATTATTTACATATAGTATTATAAATGACACATCAAATCTGATATCATACTGGCAATGCCAGCTACCCAAGTTAGTGTGGAAGGATGTTTTTCAACAATTAAATTTATATTATCTCCTTATAGATGTAATTTGAGTGAGACGAATTTTGAATATATATTAATTGTGCAGCTTAGTAAAAAAAATATAAGTAATTGTTCATATTTAAATTAATCATTGATATATTTATTTGTTATATTTGTGCAATTAATAAAAATGAAGGTTTTTATTTTAATTATGAAATAAAAAAAAAATTTTCCTGATACATAATCCTAATGTAGGTTTGAATACAAATGTGTTCAAACCGGTTTTTAGAGGTTCGAACCGAACCTATATTTTTATTTTTTGCGAACCGAACATGAACCGTTATTTCTATCCGAACCTGAACCGATATTCGTTTCGGTTTGGATCCCTGTCAAAATTGATGAAACACATGTTTGGAAGCGTAATAATCGTAGTCGGCATTTGATTTCCGAGGATATATGGATCATCTGTGGCATATGTCGGGAGACAAATGTCATATTTCTAAGTGCCACAATAAGTAGGGATCAAGATACCACACTGCATGTGATTAAAGATAATGTCATGCAAGATTCGACAACAATGACTGACTTGTGATTAGGGTATATAAATATATTTTTCTGTAAATCAAAAATGGTAAAAAAAAATCTTTTATCTCTATTTATCTTAGATATAATCGGCTAGAACGCAAATTATTTCCACAATCGGGTCAATTATTTACGAAACTTTGTTGATTTAAATGACAGATCGATCCACACCTCAAATGACTGGCGAGATCTAATGGCAAACTATAAAAGATATGGTGATCGATAATATTCATGAATATCTTCTAGGATATTTTCATTAATTTTGATTGTATAAATTTTAATACTATATTTCGATTTAATGAATAAAACTACGTTTCATATAAGAATTTGATAACCCCCAAAATTTTTTATTAATGGTTGTATTTATTTAAATTTAATGAATAAAAAACTGGGTTACATACAGCTAAAAATTTAATTGATAAACCACAAAAATTTACTTACCACTAGCCTAACCCCCCCCCCCCCCCCCTTGTATATAAAACGCTGTATACATTTTTAGAAAAAACTATTTTAAATAAAAATTAACCAATTACTATCAGAAGAACCAATCCAATATTTATATAAAAATTAAGCATAAAAAATTAAAAAATAATAATAAATGAAATAAGCTTTCCAAATGAAGCAACAACCGAATTTTCAAAATAAATAACGTGGTGTAGTTCGATATAATAGATATCATCCTCATCCTTGCTGGATACGAACCATAAACCATTAGATTGACAAGAATGGAAAATAAACAAAATACCAAATTAACATTGACCTTTTTCGATCACTTGATTTTCTTAAAATAATTCCAAACCACCTTGATTTTGGGTTATAGTCATTCCATCAATCGGTATTTCTTTTTTATTTGGATCTAGAGCGCCACATTTGTATAAGATATATCTAAAAAAATGGTAATTTTGGTAAGGCGTCTGTGACCTAGTCATAAAGGCATGACTTGCCAATCCGATAGTTCTGGGTTCTAATCCAATAGACTATTTTTTCCTGCAGCAAACAAGATGGATCCGTCCTATGGGTGATATATAGTAGATGGGAAGGGATGACATGCCACCCCCTAATATATAAAAATATAGATTTTATTGTATTTAAAAAATAATTTGTTGTTATTTAGTAAATTAAGTCTTTTTAAAAATTGCTATGAATTGGCAGTTTTCAACATAAACTTTAATTTTGATATTGTACGCTATGATTTATTTAAAAAATGTGGAAGAGGATGTGGGTCAATGAAGTAACATTAACCAGTGATCTAATAATTACCCTTTTTGAAATAAATAAAATTGTAAAATAGGATCATTGCTTCCTCGACAGGGTCAACAAAAGAGGTTAATGTCAGGAAAGAAATATGATCAAATACTTGCTCCAATACTTTTTATGAACCCATCCGTTAGCCATGTCCTAAGCAAATGGTGATTGGATAGGTAGATGCTATCTGATGGGGGTGGGAGGAACAAGGTTTTATGGTAGATAATGGCGGGAAAATGCTAAGTTAAACCACTAGTAATGCTCAAGAGGCGGAAAACTGATATAGAGAATCCGTATAGTATTTTTTCCCCGGGTGAACCTAGAATAGGGCCACAAAACAAAGGTAGAGAAAAATAATAATGTCACTCTTCGAAATAAATAACAAAATAAATCAAAAAATAAAACATTTTTAACATTATAATGATTAATGTGACGATATCCTTATAGTTTTAGGTTTATAAAATTAAACACATTAATGAATATGATTTTTTTACAATTTAAAATTTTGTAATTAATATAGCGTGTTACACTTCAAATTGATTATTAAAATACTAACAATTCCTATTGCATTTTTCCAATTTCAAATCTTCTAATATTTTCTTCCTCTTCCGAATCTAGAATGTTGGGTAAAGCGCTAAAAATTATTTAAAACATAGAATATGAATAAAATTTATATTTTTAAAGGAGATAAATGTATTTAAAGTTGCTGAAACTATTTTTTTGAGAGGGGGTGTTCAACCTGAATTATTTACATTTCAACACACTCAAATATGAAAAAATAAATTAATGAGCACTTTTACCAACCGAAATCTAACGATAGATATATTTCTAAATATCAAAGCAAAATAGATTTAGATTGTAATAATATTCTAAGTTTTATCATAATAATCTTTAAATGCATTAAAATTTGAGTTATAAAAATGTTAAAGTTATATTTACGTGTCGGCTATCAATGGAGGTATGTTATCCTCAATCCATTTCAAGTCATCTTCCTAAAACAAAATAAATAAATAAACATAGATATTATTAAATAATAAGTAAATTAGAAATAAACTATTTTCTTCCCTTTTCTTTCTTTCGTTCTTCTGTCACAAACATAAGCAGTAACAAAATTTTTAATATTATTTATAGAGACATAGTTATCGATGTTTAATAAAAAATTTTATATGAATAATTTAACAAAAAATAAACAAAACTTAATAAATTTATTATCTAAAATCAGGGCTGTGAGAACCCTTCATCTAAAAAAAAGAGTTCAGATTTTTGTTTCAGTTAGATTCAGGGTTAGTGGTTCAGAAAAATAAAGATTTATAAAATTTAGTAAAAGTAACAGAGGCATCAGTTTTTTATAAACTTTATTTTTACTATATTTGGCCCTTACCATAAAAATAATTATTCATCATTATAATTAGAATATAAGCGAATTATCATGATATCTTCCAAAATAGGGATATTAAAATTAAGTTTGATTTTTAAAGCAAAACTTTCATTTTTAAATATATATTATTATATTATACATTATCAATCAATAAAAAAAAATATTATAAAATATGCTCGTAAAATTTTTACATAAAATAGAGTATTGTAAATAAATAAATAGGAAAATTAATTTCACCAAAAAATGTTTTTGAAAATATAAAAAAAATTGTGTTTTATGTTTTAAATAATTGACATGTTTTTTATGTTTTAATATAGTTTTTTATACGTTATTTGAATTAAAATAAATAAATAAAATTTTAATAAATTTATTGAACCCGAACCCTAAATTTTAAAAAAGAGTTCGGGTTTGAGTTCAGTAAAATATTGAGGTTTCAAAGGATTTTCATTCAAGGTTCGGGTTCATAGTCCTAATCTAAATAACGAAAAATAAATCAACTGTAGTATTCTTGGCATGATTGGAGTTGCTTTTATGAGAAACCAACGGCCTTCTATCTTCAGAAGTAAATGATCTCATCTTAACGACACCTTTATTAAAATGCGAAAGGGTTATTAAAAACTTAAAATATTATCTATCTTTAAATGTTAAACTATTCATATTTGGTTAAATTCGAGTCAAACTAGCTAGTTGGTTGTTATGTAATGTAAATAATGTTTATCCTAAGTCTTGGATTTAATTGGATAAGATATAGATTTTAAACGTAATCGTTGAAAAAAGAGTTTAAATACATTGTCTTATGTTATAAAGAAAATTAAAAAATATATTGCTCTGCACCTTTGGCACTGTAAAGCTCATTTTCTTCATCTTCTTCCAGATCCTCGACGATCCCATTAATTTCATCGTCGGAATTTGCATCGAGCAAAGGAGAGAAGGCGTATCTTGATTACATAAATATTTTTTTTATACAAACGATTTTTAATATTGAATTATGGTTAAGAAATTTTTTTTTTGCTCGTAAATGGGAAATAGTTCGGAGCCAATTATAACATTAATATATTTAAGTGGTACATTAAATATTCCAAGTTTAAATATTATTCAGAAAACCTTTGATTATTTGCAGAGGGTCGCCATAAGATAATGATGGCAAAAAGAATGAGCGAAAAGAGGAGATGCCAAAATGCTTCGTCGAGCCAAATTTGTCGCCAATTCTTGATTCAAGAGAATTTATAATTAAAAATATATTAATTCATTATGCAATCTCCTCAAACTATTGCAATATTATATTTCTTCTTTCTTTTCCACTTTGTCTTTTATACATATATATATATTAAATCCCGAGGTAGATAAAAAATATTTAAAAAAAGATACCTTGAGGCAAGTTATCAATTTGTGTTCTTTAAACGACCAAAGCATGAAAGCTATAGAGGCTAGAGAGAAATTTAACAAAATATAGTATCCTTATTATATGTAATATGATGATTATAAATATATTTCGCTTTTATAAGAGATGACTAGTATATTTCTAAACTTATTTATTTTTCTAAATTTTACTTTCTTTAGGCTGTGTCCAAAATATCATAAAAATTAAATTCATAAATTTTAGAAATTTTAATGAAAATAAATATATAAGCTATTTTAATTGTAAAATTTAAAAAAATGAAACATAGAAAATTTTATAAATTGCAAAAATTTAACATTTCATTAAAATTTCAAAAATTAAATTTTATAACTTTCCGAATATTTAAAAAAAAAGATTTTATACTTAGACGTAAGAATTTTTTTTTTAAATTATAAAGGAGGTGCCCAAAATTTACAGAAAAACAAAAATGACAAAATAAGAAAACTTTTAAAAAAAAAATTTTGAACAAAAACGTGTCCAGAAAATTTAGAAAATTTTTAATAGTTTATTTTAAATTTGTGAAAGTTTTCGCATTTGTAAAAAAAAGAAGTTTAGTACATAGCTTATGCAATAAAAAAAAATTAGAAAATAGATATAAACCATTAATCTGATAGCCATATTTAGCTTTGTTAACCGACTCGATTTCAGTGATTTATAAAAATATCCATATCAAGATTTTGACCAAAATAATAATTCCTAAGTCTAGGGAATTTACCAATAGGTGTATAAACCTTTCTGTCACCCATGAGCAAGATTTCCAGGCTTGGGTAATATTATTTTGGCTAAAATCTTGAGTCCGCAGTTTTTAAAATATGTGAATACAACAGTATTAAAAATAAGATGGTGGCAAGTCATGTTAGATTCCCCATATAATTTGCTTTAAAGCTTTATGAAAATATTTTTAAATAAGTTATATTCATAATTTAAAAAAATATTATACGGGAAACAAAGGTGGGAAGTCACCTGCTGATTTTTATTCACCGAAGCTTAAAAATGCAATTAAATGAATTAATCATCAGTGTAGGTAAGTATGATATAACAATGCAGCACCTAATTTCTGTTTTTCGCATTGGTTTTTAAAAAAATCTTAAATTTACGAAGGTTAAATACCATTTTTAAGTATCGGGCACTTATATCGGGTAAATTTTTAAATATCTGTATACCGATATCAAGTATCAGCATCTCTGATTCTCCCTCCCCGAAGGGAATATTTAAAAAGTAATTAATTTTTATTACCTATTACGCAAAATACCAAAACGTTAGTGAAATATCGATACATGGTCAGTTTAACAACGTTGTGCCGTAGTTTCAAAGTTCTTAGGGTATTGACTAAGCCAGAAAACACGTATAAGGAAGGAGACATAATATAAAAGCTAGGAGTTAAAGGAAATTATTTTATACGTAAAACCTTTTCGTTACAATTTAAAATGATAGGAATCGGATGGCACCGATTTTGGCTGACATTCGATTCTTTTCGAAATAAAATCGCAAAATAAATTTAATTATTGCAAACCCATTTATTGATCGAATAGGTTAGAAATTCAATCTCTAATAGAATCGGATAGGCAAAAAAAGTAGCTAATCGGACATCCCTAGTTAAGCGTTTTTTATTGCATTTAGAATTAAGATTTCTGATCTTTAAAGTATATGGGTTCATAAAAAATTTTAAATTTTATGGAGGATTACTGAAATTATTTCTTATAAAACTTTTAAATGTTGTGTCATGCTTTTCCAATAAATAAAATTTAATAATCCTCGATATTAACAAATTTTACAAACTATTTTTAAAAAAAATAAAAAATAAAATATGATCAATAATTGATGACGACGAAAAAAAGGATATCCACCAGCAAATAACGGAGTCAAGGAAGGCAACTGGAATGGTGGCGAATATGATTATGCTGTTAGGATTAGCCTTGTTTTTGCTAACGCGCAAGATTCCGTCGATCCAGGCAAATATGAAATAAACGAAGCCAAGATATATGACGCGTTTCATGGTAGAACCTAGTCTGGGTCTGTAGATAAAAGTTTTAGAATAACGAATGGTGTAAATAACGTGTAGGCCAATTTTTGACCACCTAAAAAAAGGTGAATCTTAGTATTTAGCCAAAATATAACACATCAGCCTAGGGGGTTTTGTTTAATAATTATGCTCAACTTTGAAAAACGCAAAAATAATTTTAAAAAACCTGGCTAAGAATATTGACAGATTTTTTTTTGTGTTAACAATTTTAAATTTTTTCTGGGGTGTTGCTAAATAACGATTAAAGGAAAGATTCCACTGAGGCAAATTCTAAAAGAATAGATTAAGATTTTTTAAGGAATAGAATTTGCTTAACCTTAAATATAGTCCTTCTGTTCCAAAATTTGTTCCTCTAAATATTTTATTTTAAACACCACCCCCTCCCATTTTTTTTTAAAAAAAGTGTCTTTTTAGAAAACCTATTTTTTCTTATATTCTATCTTCTTCGCAAAAACGTTAAACTCGACGTTTCCATCACCATATGGTTTTTATTTTTGGAAACTTATTTTGTAATATTCGTACATAAAAGAACTCATTGATAATATTACTTGACTATCCCGTACCCGATACATGCTATAATTATGAGGATGCGTGATAAAGCCCGTTTAAGAGCCGATATTAATTCGGCAAAAACAAGGGCTCCATAAATCGAATTACCAGTAGAATTTACGGTGTGATACTCCCCAAGGAAAAGTGATTTCTCTAAAAATCCTATATTTTTTTATGAAAATTTGAGTCATAATAAAATATAACATAATCATTATTTATGTCTATATTCTCTATTCCATTTTTAAAGGAAATTATTCAATTTGTATGCTCGTTGAAATATATTATTGAACATTAATCTAATATTATAAGGATTGTAGTCTTAAAGGAAATTATCAATTTGTCGCGTATACTCATTATCGAAATATATATCATTTATTGAATGTATACTAGCCTTATAAGGATTGCTGTAAAGGAAATTATTAAAATTGGGGCATAATTATTATCGAAATGTATATTATTTATTGAATATTATATACTATCCTTAAGGATTGTCTTAAAGAAAATTAGTGGATTTGGGGATACTCATTATCGAAAATCATGTAAATCTTTGAGATTTTTTTTAATGAGGTTACGCCAGTGTTCATTATTTGTGTTGTTTTTTTCCTAAATATTGAAAGGTGGGAAAAGTATTTATAGAACATGAGGGTATTTAAAGAAGGTTTGGATATCATGGTGATTTGTAAATTACACTCCCTAGAAGATTAACTGAGTATTGGGTGTGAACGGGATAGTATGATTATGTAATTTAAATTTACTTTATGTAAAAATTAATTATTCATCAAAATAGAATAAAAACTAAGATATTTAATTTCTGGGTTTATAATTTTTCGATATTGCTAAAGTAATAAAACTATAATATATCATCATTTTCGGTATTTATCAGGGACCCGGAGTGAACCGTTAAACCATTATAAACCGTTATAAATATCAGAACCGTAACCGTAATCGAACCGATATAATTATTTTTTGAAGGAGTAAAAAGAACCTTTATAAAAAAAGGTTAAACCGGGTTAAACGGGTTCAGTTTTTATATTTTAGGAATCAAAAAAATTTGAATATCCAGAATTATATAAACTTGCTCTTATAGTACCGGCGGTTCCCGAAACACAAGTTTCTGTAGAAAGGGCCTTTTCGGGGCTAAAATTTATGTTATCGTCACAACAAACAAATATGAATCCATTTGTATTAGAAAATATATTACTTATAATATATTTAAAAATGAGTATTTTGAATCTTATATATTTTTTTATATATAATTCATAGATTCTTATAATAAAAATAAATTAGACGATGGTGTTGCTTCAATAAAAAAAAAATTTCTAACCGTAATGAACCATTATGAACCTTTATAATTAGCTGAACCGAACCTAACTTTTGCAAATTTTTCCTTAAGAACCGTAGCCAAAACGTAACCATTATAATATTTTACATACTGAACCGTAACCAAACTGAACCGTTATAATTAAAGGTTCCCCTGGTATTTATATATTTTCACAAGCTTTTATTTATTTACACGTGTTGTTTCTAATACTCAAACATGAAAATAAAGAAAAATATCAAAAAAATTAAATTCTTTTTAACTTAATAACTTTTTTTCACCATGCCAATTGCGATCGATAATATACTAAAATGAGCATGCAACCACTAAAAATATAATGCATGCATACACTTCTATAACATTGCATTATTTATCATCATCGTTTTTAAAAAAAATCACATACATGCAATATATAAATCCAACATAAGTGAACTTTACAATTAATTATTTTAAATTTTTTCCTTTATTAATTATATATGAAACTAATTTACGTTCTTTAAACACTTTCATTCTATAAATATTTTAAACAACTTTACAACAAGAATCAACACTAGTGTAACCTCAAAAAAAAATCACAAACATTTACATGATTTTCAAATAACGAGCATACCCCCAAATAATTGAATAATTTCCTTTAAGAAAAATCATCATGAGGCAACTATATATTTTGTGATAGTCGTGAAACAATGAAGAATTTTATTATATCAATGTAATTAATTACATCAGTATATATATATTTCGCAAGCCAATTATTATAATAACATCAATTAATCATATTACCAATTCATTTACTTTTCAAGGTTAATTTATTTAATTGATTCTATTACATCTATTCTCTCTTTTTTGGCTCTCGTTTAAAACGGTACATATTGTTTTCTTATCCGGTTAGGATCAAATTCAATAAGTAGTATACACAGATCTGATAATTTAAACAGGGAAACAACTTTCTCTTATTAATATAGACTTACCAATCATGATTAAGCAATGATAAATATGAAAAGATAATCAAATAAATAAATACTAATGAATCACCAAGGAAAATAACGGCCGCGATGCAATATTGAATTCTCAGAAGTTCTTTGTAATAATATATGCACCAAAAACTCCAGACGATCATGTATATCAGGTATAGAGCGCACATGCAAGCGTAAAACTTTGATTAATGAAATAACATTAATTAGGTAAATTTATATAATTAAAATTCATGTATACAATTTTTTTTTAAAGTCACAATGTGCCTTTTGTGGGAAAATTTAAAAAAATTAATTGTTTAACAGAATTTTAAGAGTAAATCATGATTTTACATTACACATTTTTAAATAATGATAAATCGATGGTAAATCAAATATACAAAAATAAAAACGAAATCCACTATCTAGTTTAATTCATCAGTATTATTAAATGGCTCGTTTTGAACCGATTTTTAAAAACGGTAAACTCAATATTTTATTGCCTAATCCTCGAGATTTCGTTAATAAATGATAATTCATTATTAATGCGTTGTCCCTACTTCTTCAAAAAAAGACAGTTATGTTCAAGTCAACATAGAGAGGTATGCTAAACGGAACATATTTATATGAATTCTAACAAGGTTTTTTTCAGGAAGGAATCTAATCCAAAGAATCAAATTAAGGAGGTGATCGCCATGAATAAATAAAAAGGTGGTAACTATAAAGGTTTTCCTTGAGTACTCAAAATCTAATACCTGCAAGCTCGCTATAACGTTTTAAATGAACCGTTTTCAATAAATTTATATTTAGTGATATTGACATTTATCACTGACATGTTAGATTTAATATTCTTTTTTTTTAGTGAAATTGACTTTTATGACTGATCTGTGTAAAACACATTGTATTTAAAGAGTTTATTTAAATAAGATTTTTAAATTATAATGAAGATAGTGTTAAGATCAATTTTTTTATTTTTCAAAATTATTATAAATAATTTTAAAATGTTTTTTTGCAAAGTAGATTTTATTTAATAAATTGATTAAATTAGTCTATATAATTTTTTTTCTAATATCCTTATAGAATAAATCAATTGATAATATATATGAAAACAACCAATTGCTGGCCTATAAAGTAATTGTATATTATTATTAAAAATATTGTTTTTATATTCTTCAGTTCTGATATTATTACAACGGTAAAATCAACAATTTATAGACAGGCATAAAAACCTTAGTATTATACCAATATACTCGCCTTTGCGAAGTATATTATTGCAATTTTTTCTAATAATAAATTTCAGTATTACTGACAAAATGATTGCCTAAATACACTGAAATATTGTTCATTTTCATTGAATATATTTTTTTATTAAATATAATAAATTAAATTTATGGATATGGATATGGGCTTGGGTCTAAAGTTTTTTCATTTCGATTTAGCTTATTCAAATCTTTGCTAACTTAAAAAAATATTGGAATTTTTTTCTAAATAATAAATTTCAGTATAGCAAACAAAATGATTGCCTAAATACACTTATGTATTGTTTATTTTCATTGAATATTTTTTTTATTTTTATTGAATACAATAAAATTTTTTGGAGTTTATTGAGCTCATGAATATTAGTGCTAGTATTTTAAAGAGCAAAGAAAATAAATGTAATATAAAACATTACTTTGAAAGAAAAGGTACATAGTTGCTTTAATTATTTAGTAATATAAATATTTTTTAAATGATGAAAACTCTGAGGTAGTGAGTAATAATAAGGAGGAATTAAATAACATGAAAATCACTTAAAAGGTATTATATTTTTACTTACCATTATTTTTTTAAAATATTTTGTCTCAAAATTACTCAACACAATTAATGGAAAAGAGGATGAGAATTGTGAAGCCCAAAAATATTTAATATTATAAGTCTTTTTTAGATGAAAGAGTTTTTAAGAGGATTAAGTTATCAAATGATGAAACGAAGATGATAGAGCTTGGTAGCCACCGAGGAAATAGTAATATTTCTATATATTGATAATAATTTGTTTTTTAAATTATTAGTTGTTATGCCTTCTAATCCTAATGTACCAGTTGTAATTGACATAATGAGCTAGTTTATTGAGAAAGGTGTAAATTTGTATTATAATTTCATTAGGCATATTTTTTTAGATATAACAGTAGAGACAATAATTTCCAAGAAAAGATACAAATTTTTTTCTTCCCAACAGAAATTAAAAATTTATCATTTGAACGCTTTTTTATAACGATCAGGAAACGATATCCAAAATATAATAATGGTGTGATGGGAGAAAATTTTTCCACCGAGTGGATTATTAGTGATGGAAATTGCCTCTTCAGGTATATATATTTACAATAAATTAAATTGTTAATAAATATTATAGATATATAAGCAAAGAATTTTGTAATAACGAATGCCACTATGATTTTCTGAGACAGTAATGCATTTTCGAGGAGCACAGATATGCTTGAGCAGATGGAATGGTTTCTGGGAGAACGGGTTGACATATATTTGGAGAGAACAGGGATGGTCGAAAACTTACGGAACAGAGGCGGAGATAGTTTCAATGATAACTATAATTCTGAAAAATATAATTATTCACACTATTTATAAATAATATTGTACGCCAATTAAAAAATTAAATAACATCAAAAAAATTAATTTGAATATATATATAAGAAATTAACGCGATCATTTTGACCGCATTATAAATTTTAATTAATCATATCGCATATCTTATTAATATATTTTTATAATTATATATAAATTTTATATATAAATTAAATAAAATATTATATATAAGATACACATTTTTTTATTAAATATAATATGATACCAACATATTGCCCGTCTTTTTTTTGTAAAATATATTATGGCTTGAAATAAACTTTAAAAAATGTTAATAACTTATATATTCTTTCTATCCCTAAGTGGTAACATGAAAATAAATGGTGCAAGTGGTTATCTTACCTACATTTTAAAACTGTTATCTCACATTTCATTAAGCTTTGACATTTTCTGACTTAACCTTAAATTAATAGAGTTAATATTAATAAATACAAAATTTTGTAAGGAGAATAAAAGAATAAGGCAATAATGTCTTAAATATCAGTATAACAAAAGTATAATAATAATCGTCAACAAAAGCGGAAGGGGGGAGGGAGTAGGAACAGTTTGTAACCTATTTTTCTTGAGGGGGTTAGGGGGTATGCGCTTTTAAATGGAGGTAGGGTAATTGGGGGGTTATCTAATAAATTTTTAGATGAAATACGACAAAATATATTGCTGTAAAAATTAATACTTTTATTATAGACCTATTATAATACAATTATATTGGTGATCATCGAAAATCTATATATTACAAATAAAATAATCATAGACATTATTTTCAAAATAAAACTATATGCTATTCTTTTAAATGTAATTCAAAAGGATTAGACACTCTCGGCAAGCTCATATTCATGCCAAACAATATACTATAATAATGCATTTATTGGGGTTTTTTAATTGAACTCATGATCTAAAAAAGGAAATCCATTATAATTAAAAAGGTAAAATTAATAATGGGAAGGCGAAAATTTAGGGGAGTAGGCATAGGTTTTTGAGGGGGGGTTTATATTCAGTGAAAATTCTGTCATGTATATTCTGTTTACACTTCAGTCATAAATGTCAATATCACTTAAAATATGAGATATAATTGGTCATAAATGTCAATATCATTAAAAATATTATATTTAATCATTACACGACAGTCAAAAATTCAGTATCACTAAAAATATCATATTTAATCTATGCACGTCAGTAATAAATGTCAATATCACTAAAAATATCCTAATTAATCTATGCATGTCAGTCATAAATGTCAATATCGCTAAATAAAAATTTATTTAAAACAGGGTTCATTTATAACGTTAAACCGGCTTGGACTGAAAAATTTTATGATTTCAAAAATTAGATTGTGTAAAAAAATTATTTATTCGGGCCCAGTCCGGGCCTAAAAATTCGATCTCTGTACAAGTCTCTTGCTATAAATTTAATTCTCTCATTTTAAGTTATCTTGGTTGGGTTAGATCAAACATACGGTAACAAGGGGTGTGAAATTTCATTCCCGAAATTTGCAGAAATTCGTTCACATTTTTTAAAGGAGCATATTATAAAAATTATTTACTGGTAACATAGGCCAATCGTGAGCAGATAAATATTTCCCGGAAGAGCTTTTCATTTCCACACGAACTTTTATGAAAAATAAATGAAATTTTATTCAACGATATCGATATTAACAATTAAATACACGTAAAATATTAAACATGTTTTTTTATTTTATTATTAAAAAATATATCGCAAACCGTCGGCTGTTTAAATATCTCTCCGACAAATATTACGACTGATTTTTTTTTAATGTTTCAAGGGAAAATCAGCAACGCACAATGTATTCGCGAGTGCTTGATAAAAAAAATGAACTAGGGCTACCGCTGCACTCATAACGATATGGGCAAAGTTGTGGAGAGTGTAACGAGTATCTACCTAAAATATTGGAACTTTGATGGGAAAGATCGATTAATTAACAATATATTGCAAACGATGTTGAGGTTGATTTCTAAGACATCAGAAAATGACACTATATAACGTGTCATAGAAAATAAAGATGCATATAGTGTGCCTCCAGAAAACAAGATTGAGCAGAACTAGGTAAAATTAAAAATTCAAGATACTTCCAAGGAATAGCCATGGAAGATGCCTTTAAAGACAAAGTGGAGGAGGTTAAAGTGTGCTCATATCGGCTGGTGAAGGTAAAATTGGTGGACAATAAGGGCAAGATACTTTTTTAAGGAAGCTATACGACCTAGTGGAAATATAATTGGAGCCTGATTATGATAGATATTAAATTTGGGTATAAATAGGGACGGCGTCGAACAGTAAGATTTACTCTTGCGGCTCGTACTCGACCAAAATTCAATCAAAGTTCGTAATTCGATATTGAGAGGAAGATTATCCAGATATAAAAAGAAAATATATACGCCAAAAATACTGAGAATGGGATAAGGAAGAAGAAATAGGCGAAATAATATTATAAAACTATATCAGCTCTGCTGAAAGGTTTAAAAAAAATAATTCGGCTCAGTGAAAATTGGGCGCATTATTTCAAAGTATTAAAAATAAATTCTTTAAACCTTTAAAATATAAAAATATAAAAACTCCATTACAATATAGAATAGGGGAAATCTTTTGGGCAGGATGGGTCATTGATTAAGCCTGTCAGATTTTCGAGGTGAGTTTGAAGGATTATCAAAGATCAAAATTGCTCAAAAGCGGGACTACTGGGGACAAGTCATCGCATTTTATTAAAATTACTGTTCAAATACAAAATTATCTATCATTTTTTAAATTTTTTATTATATAAATTAAATAGCAAATCTTTATTTAAATATTTGTCACATTTAATATAAAAAATACCTTTTTTTAAAATTATTTATCTAGTGTGCGGGTCAATTTTATTGAAGAGTCGTCGAGTTCGTGAAAATAAGATATGATTAATATTTAAATTTTGTTGAACCAAACCGAACTGCGAACCGTTATAAATTTCACACCCCATAACCGGGTTATAAGAATATTTTAAAGGGAGAGAATCGAGCCATTTATAAACCATTTTTTAAATTATTTTTTTTAATGTGTCATAATTTGATTGTGGTTCATTAATTTAGGTTCGAAATTAATGAATATTTGTTTTTTTTAAATTTATTTCAGAATCATTAAATTATATGGACATACATATTTTGTAATTTTATTGATTTTTAGTTTAGTGGAGAGTTTTTTTTTGTATTTTGTTTTTTTTTGTATTTTGTTTTATTTTGTCATGAATAGAAAGACATTATGGGTATTATTTTTTTTATCATAATTATTGTTAAAGATAAAAATTAATAAACGAAAACCTAGATCTCAAGTCTAAGAACAATGTTTTGTTAATTAATTTGTTTTTAATAATTCACATTTTATAATAAAATAAATTAAATTTTTTCTCTCATTTTTCTTTGGTTTTTCAAAGTTTTTAAAAGGGTTATTATGATGGTCAATTAATAAAATATATTATGTATTATTTATAAATATTCAAAACTTATGAAAACCGTAACACCGAACAGATATAAATTTTTAAACCGAAATTAAGCGTTATAAAATTGTTCAAAAACCGAAATGTAGCTAAGCCGTTTTAAAATTTTAAACTAAAATCGGAATAAAAGTAACTAAAAATTGATAAATTTGCTAATGTAGGCCCGATTTTTATCAATTTTATTCTTTTAAAATCCAGAATGCTGACGGTGAGTATCTGTCAGGTCTAGTCGTAAGTATTAACCCAAACTGTTTAAAATATTAATGAAAGGCAAGATTATAAATGAGTGAAAAAAACAGCGTAATTATTTTTATCGACAAAGAGAAAAGGAAATCCGAATACTGTAATAACTTTATGGCAAAAATGGTATTGAAAGACCGGAAGAAAATATCAGAAAATAAATTAAATTTCATACTGGAAAATTCTATTGTAAACTTTCTGTTTATTTCAATCTAAAGTCATTTTAAATATTTTTTTTAGATTTTAGACACAGCCATATTAAAAAAATTATCTCAATGGATAAATTAAAAAGAATTGGTGAAAAGATTAAGACAAAAGAGTATGAAGTAAGGGAGAATCTTAATGGAAAATCCGATGTATGGAAGAAATTTTCATTTATATATGATGAAAATAAAGAAAAGCTTAATTATGTCATTTGTATTATATGCAAATTTATTTATGTATATAATTCAATAACAACAGGTTAGATATTTATACATAAAATATGATCTTATTAAATTATTTTAGGCACAAATCAACTTAAAAGACATAAATGTGTATATACAAATACAAGTACAACAGCAGAGAGTAAAAAGACACAATTAACAATTGATAGTCTTTTTGATACTGATCCGAAAAAACTCAAAAATTGTACAAAATTGAAAAAAGAGTGCACAAAGGTGCTTACTATGTTTTGTGGACGTGATTTGAGACCATTTGATACAATTCACGGGGAAGGCTTTGTTGATTGTTGCCAATATTTTGCCAAAATTGGTTCAATATATGGAAATATTGATGTTTTAAACATCATTCCAAATCCTACGACAATTTCTAGAAATTTAGTAGATACTGCTGATGGTATCCGCAATAAATTATTTCCTATATTAAACTCATATATAAAAAAGGGTCGATGTGCTGGTAACAAATTTATGAAAATATGGTTAAATTATTAATAATTTTTTATAGCCCCCACAGACCTTTGGACTGATGATTATAAAAAAATATCATATGTAACTAACAATTCATTTTATAAATGATTTCTGGAAACTAAATAAAATTGTATTGTTTACATGCAAATTTGAAGATGAAAAAAAGACAGGGGAAAATATCAAAAAGGAAATTATTAGAAATTTCACCTTGTTAGGTATTGATTTCATTAAAAATATTTATAAAAATCCATGTATTCTTTGTATCAGGATACAGCAGGGCCTATTTATCGGAAATTCCAATTATTACCGACCAAGGAGCTAATATGATTAAAGCTTTTGAAAATCATAAGCGTTTAAATTGTGCTTCTCCATCTATTAAATACAGTATTGAGAAATACTTTTGATAACAAAAATATTGAATCTTGTTCGGAGATAAATCAATGTTTTAATGACTGTAAAAGTTTAGTAACGTATATGAAACAGAGTGGGTAAATTAACTTTTTATTAAAATATATCATTACATTTTAGATTAGTTAATCGCCTCGATAAAACTCTCCACATGTGTGTTGAGACTAGGTGGAATAGTAGGTTGAATATGATTGAATCGATCTTTAATCAATTTAATGACATATTGGAAATCCTCAATTCAGGAGGAGAGTCGATTAGACTTGAAAATATTGATTTTGAAATGATGAGGGATCTGATCAAGTTTCTGACGCCCTTTAAAAAATGGCGAGTGATGAACTTGAGAGTGATTTAAAACCTACTATTCACAAAGTTATTTTATGTTATCATAAAATATTGAGTTTTTTAGCTAATCCTAGCTTAAGCTATCAGCTAAACCAGCTTTCATTAAGATGCCGGGAAATATTGGTGGATAAATTTAATTCCACCAAATTTCGACGTTTTTTTGCCCAAAATTTCGGGATATGAAAATGTTATCCCGGGAACATTATAAAGATTTGTGTCAACATATCAACACGTTGATTAATGCAGAGAAAATCAACAGAGATGGGATTGAGCAAAAGTCTTTAAACAACTCACCACACCATCTAACTCGTGCTCAACCGATAGAGTAGTAAATAAAGGTTTATTAAATTAATAATAAAATTATTTATTAAAAAATAATAAAGTAAATATATATCTTAATATTATTAATGAATATTTTTTTCTTAAGAAACTACAGAGGTGGGAGATACGTTTTTGGACTTCTCTCTATGGGAGGCTGACAATGCGTATTCTGATGCTAGCGCTGAAGTTGACGAGCTAAAAAAAATACCTAGATCCGAAATTATGTATTGATGACGATAATATTTTAAAATGGTGGAAAATAAACCATTATGAGTTTCCAAATTTAAGTATTTTAGCTCTTAAATTCCTGGCTATCCCTGCTTCGTCGGCTAGCAGTGAAAGGGCGTTTTCAGCTGCTGGTAGGGCCTTTGAGGAAAGAAGGACTCGTTTAAAGCCAGATAAACTGGACGTCTCTTTATTTATATATCATAATTATTCACTTTGTGATAATTTTGATAATGATATTGATGAGGTCAATATAATATAATATGTTCATTATATTTTTTATATATTTATTAACTTTTATATCATATCTATATTCGCATAAATGATGCTTATTGTATTATATAATCGTTATAATTTTTAAATTCGCTTGTATATTAATCGTTTTATAATATTTTTTACAAATTTAATAAAATGCAACTTAATATATATCTTGAATAGATTATGGCCGTCAAATAAACTATTTAAGGTGGCTGAACTGAATAATACACATAAATTTTTTTTTGGTTATTATAATATTAAAACTTAAATTGCAAAATTTTATTCGGGCTCAGGTCGAGTCGGATTGGACTAAAAAATTTTTTTAAAAAATTTTTTAAATTCGGGTTCGGGTCGGGCTCGGGTTGCGAAAAAATACTTTGCAGTTCTCTAATGATAGAGAATCTGCTTATTTGGTAGAAAATAAA